ACTGCATTGCATTTCAATTTGCCTTTTTATTATTTATTATTTTTTGTAGGTTTTTCATTTTTGGAGTGGTCTTCAATCCATGGACATGATAATTGTTAGTAGGTTCCACAAGGTGTGAATCAAGTGGACTGCCAACTGGAAATGGAACTGCAGCTGGGAACTGGGAACTGCGAACTGTTGACTGCCCGTTACTTACAGCGAAAGCTAATAACTGCGTGTGTATGTGCGTGTGTGTGTGTGTGTTCGTTTTGGGCAAATAATTAAAACTCGATGAGAAGCATTAAAGCTACTGAAATTTCACTGCCAAAAAGCAAAATGTAATTACGAATTACGTGCCTGCCGGAAATTGAAATTCGCAATGACAATTGCTGTCTGTCTCTCTGACGGGCAATCTATACCCGATACTATATAGTTATACTGCCACAGATCAACGTTACGGCATGCACAGAAGAAGAAGAAAAGGAAGAAGCAGCAGATAGAGAGAAAAGTCACGCAAATTCATTAACATGAATGCGATATAATTCGTGATCGGGTCAAGAAACTGTTTACTCTGCCCACGATGTGGGCTTGGCTCCGTTCGCATTAGGCCCTAATCTCGGCCGGCTTGTTGGCAAATAATGCCCATAATTTCAATTTGCATTTCAATTTGAAGCGCCCAACTCCAATCTGCCAGCTCCTTGTCGCTGTCAATCTCAAGTGCACCGCGCTGTGCCGTCTCGCGGCTGCGTTGCGCTGTGCTGCCCGTCGCTGGCGGGTGAAACTATTTCTGTTGGTCTATAACCATGCTTCGAGTGCGCATCTATTTTGACATTGCTTTGCATGAAAATTAGTAGCAGCAACAACAGCCGCAGCGGCAACAACATGCTTAACAACAAGCCGCAGCGCGGACTCGCCTAATGAGCAGCGCACAACACACAACACTGCGTATACGCAATGCGATCTCTTGCAGCGCTTGTCCAAGCCCTGCTTTCTGCGGTCATATGGCGCACTTCATGCACATAGGTTTTGCGCATTAATGCGTTGCTCTTGTTAAATATACATATACCCTGTATATGCTTGACAAGGGGTATAACAAACGATGTAAGGCTCGCTTTTTTTCCTGATACGCCATATCTATGGGAAAAGTGTATCAATATTAATTGGAAATGAAAAAATTATAGCTTGATAAGGAAAAAGTGTTCTATACTATTTGCCCTTGATTCTTTTTAATTAATCTTTTTATTCCTAGAATTGTTTGCATTCATACTATTATTCAATTATCTATGGGAAAAGTGTATAAATATTGCTGGGAGATTAAAAAGGAAATACACCTAATTAGAAAAATTTGTGTAATTTAGTATTTATTTCAATTCAATGCAGAATTTCATATACAAAATACATTTTTATTGGCTTTAAATTTTCCTTCAAAATTTATCAATTTACAGGGTAGCAACACGTCGTTGCTCGACTGTTGTTAGCATTCTTAATTGTTGCTGTTTGTTTGGTGTAAATTGTTTAAAAACGCGCTCTCACTCGGTCATTTGTTGTTGTAGCTGATGTCGATGTTGATGTTAATGTGAATGCTGTTGTTGTTGTGGTTGCTGTTATTGTTGCTGGTAATGTTAATCATACGCTGAATTGCACTTTATGCGTGTGTTAGATAAGAAGGTGTTGTAGCTGTTGCCGTCCGTTGTCAACTGTCAGCCTGACAAGTGCTGTGCCCTGCTTATGCAATAGGATGTTCGTCCCCGTTTTTGCTGAACACTGTAGTCGAAAAACTCCTCAATCGAATTCCACTTGAGTAGCTTTTGTAGCCGCAGCTACCCACCCACACCCTGGTGCTGCAGACGCGCTGACACAGATATCAAAATACTGCGAGGCAGTATGACAAAATCATTGCGGTGGACTAGCTGCAAGATCGGGTCAGAGACAGACTCCTCCATCTGTGCGGAGCAGGTTCTCTGGCTGGCGAAATCGTGTTAGTGGCTTTTTGATAAAGCATAACGACGCCGGCAGCGACGCCGGCAGCGGCGCTGGCGTTGCATAAGCGGCACGTAAAGTGGCCGAAATTTGCGAAACGCAGCCCCAGTTGCAATTTCATGCATGCCGACTTTATGGCCTGGGCACAAACAACTGACAACAACAACAACTTTCAACAACAACAACAACTGACAACAACAACAACAACTATTAACAACCGTAAACAACAACAACAAGCATAACCAAATGATCAACAGCTCGAAGACTCGATATTTCCAATTGGCGCATCTGGTGGGAAAGTTATCAAATCGAATACGATACAAAAAAAATGGCAAAAGAAATGAAATGTATATGCGCAATTGTATTTGTATTTATTGTAATAACAACTATTGGGCAAAAAGTGTGAAGGGCAAATATTGGTAACGAGGGTTCGCGTACGATTTAGGTTTTTGCAAACATTTGGAAATTACGCGTGCGCTTTAAGTTATGCACGACATTTGACGTAACTTTGCTCAAAGGGCAAAAAAAAAAAGAATGGAATATAGCGAGAATATAGTTAAGCTCGAATTGACGAGCACACACATTGATAAACGGAGCAAACTAGTTCAAGTTCAATTGATAAAATGAACCAATTGACGCCCAATAAACACACACAGAAAAGGGTAGCAAAAGATAAGTAAATATATATGGCTGCGCCATAAATCAGTTCATAACACAAAAACAACGAGAACATAATGGAATATTGCTGATATCAGCTGAAGCTTTAACTATTTGCAAGCTGTCGAGCTTTTAGCTTGCGCACAGTTTGAGCAGCGCTGGCTGCACAGCTTTTGCCAAACTATGCACACACACACGCGCACGCCCACTTAACGCCATGCCCCCAAACATCAGCCGATGTTGGCGCAGCTAAAAGATAAGTCGCCAGCGCGTGTTATTTAATTAGAATAAATACAACTCAACAAGAAAATAGACTTCCAGTCAGAGAGCTTTTGCTCTCTGTAGGTCTTATTGGCGCTTACTCTCACCGAGAGCGCGCGTTTCGATCTAGCAGAGTTGCCGGCGCGCCCAAAGCGGCCACAAATCCGGTTTCGCTACGCACTCGACTGCCAGCTGGCAAGCCTGGCGCTGTGGCGTGAGCACGCGCTGGAAAGAAGCCGCACTACGTGACAGTTAACGTCGTCCGTTGAGCAGGCTGTGCGCTCAGTGTGCTTTTGGCAGTGGTCCGATCGCGTAGAACCTTCAGCAGTTGCCATTTCCCGTTCGTTTCTGTTCGCTACAGGTGGGTGTGTTCTTTAATGGAGGAAGGGGGCTGGGTGTGCACAAAACGCTTACATAACACAATCTTTGAATTCAATTAACAGCCTGCAGCCAGTCAACATGTCGCTTCGCATTGTGTCGCAGTCCCTGTTCAACGCCTGGAGCCAGACCCTGGTGCGTGGCATGTCCACGCAGGGCGGCTCCAAGAACATCGGCTTCGTCGGTCTGGGCAACATGGGCGGCCACATGGCCAGCAACCTGATCAAGGCCGGCCACAAGCTGCATGTCTTCGATATCTCGCAGCCCGCCTGCGACAGCCTGAAGGCCAAGGGCGCCACGGTGTACTCCAAGACTGCGGAGCTGGCCAAGAACTCGGACTTCGTGATCACCATGCTGCCCAACAACGACATTGTGGACGCCTCGTACGAGGAGATGACCGCCAATGGCGTCAACAAGAACACCATCTTCATTGACTCCTCCACCATTGATCCCAACCTGGTCAAGTCGCTGCAGAAGCGCATCAGCGCCAAGGGCGCACGCTTCATTGATGCTCCCGTCTCTGGCGGCGTGCCCGGCGCCGAGCAGGCCACGTTGACCTTCATGGTGGGCGGCACCGAGGCGGAGTACAATGCGGTTAAGGCTGTGCTCGAGTGCATGGGCAAGCGCATCACCCACTGCGGCGACTATGGCATGGGCCAGGCCGCCAAGTTGGCCAACAACATGATGCTGGCCATCTCCATGATTGGCGTCTCTGAGGCCATGAATCTGGCCATGCGCCTGGGCCTGAATCCCAAGACTTTCGCTGAGATTATCAACTCCTCCACCGGCCGCTGCTGGGCCTCCGAGGTGTACAATCCCGTGCCCGGCGTCTCGCCCACCGCACCAGCCAACAACTCATACAAGGGTGGCTTCTCCACAGATCTGATTACCAAGGATTTGGGTCTCGCCTCGGGCGTGGCCACCGCCTCCAACACGCCCATTCCCATGGGCGCCCTGGCCCATCAGATCTACCGCACGCTCAAGTCCCAGGGACTGGGCAACAAGGACTTCTCCGTGGTCTACGACTTCATGAAGAACGACAAATACTAAGCAGCTGCCCGAGGATAGCTCTTGACGGGCTTCCACCCACCAGTTTTGCATTTATAGCGCACTAAGTTAAGCAGTCCAATTGGGATTCAATGTGCTGGCGCCTTTTAAGGCTTCCCGAGTTCCAATTTTGATATATATGTATTTGTGCTAAATATATATTAAAGTTGTATTTATACAATGTATTTTCATAAATATCTGTGTTTATCTTATTGTGTGGAAAAGTTTTCGATTGCATAACGATTGGCGAATTCAAGTGGAACTGTCATCTGATAAGCATATTAAATACAGCTGTTTGAATTCTAGTTGGCTTCTGACTGGATTCTAGTTGGGTGCGAATTTATGATCGACACTTAATTTCCAGCACGAGTTGTGAGCTTTTGCGCTTCCAGTGAACGGCGTGCGGTATTCAATTGTAAATATGGAAGTAATTGAAAGCTTTTTGCAAGTAAACAGAAATTCGAGCAAAACAAACGGCAATAAACACAATGAAAGCGCAAAGAACGCGATGTAACATAAATGAAAGCACACAGTTTGAGAGTGACCAACTTACAGTTTGACAGCCTTGGAAAAGTAGCTTTACATAAAACGTTTTTTTGTTGTTGTTTTGAGCGAAATCCAAAAATATTTTGTTTTGTATTTGGTTGTCGTATTTTGAAAAATAATTAACAAACTTAACTTAGGTGCTATTTAATTAATGTTAATTAATTAGGACTTGTATGTATATAAAAACTTTGTTGCTGGAGTATAAAATAGTTTCGACTATCTAATTAGTTGTTTCTCATGCATTTCTCGGAGTTGTTTGGATTGCAATTCATATGGCAACCTATGTACTAGGTAATTGTTGATCAATTTAATTACAATAATTAGTTAAATAGATCTATCATATATGGTTAAGTATAGTTAGGTATGCATATAAAAAGCCTTAAATTAAATTGAGGGCGATCATTTAGAGTACAAATACATAAATACATTCATATCGTAGGGTAACTTCAGAAGTAAAGGTATTCAAATATCTTTATATATATATATAAGTATTCTCATATATTTTGGATAAGCCACATAGTACTTCTAGCTTGAATTCTTTGAAAAATATCACAAATTGAAATATACAATAAATAATTAATTCATATTCATACGATTGCAAAGGAATTGCTCGGTTAGCGTTTTGGTAAATTTCTTGGTAAATACAGATAGATGTTCAATAATAATTTTAGGTACTGGTTCTATATAGTATGCGTTTTAAAGTACAATATGCTGTTGGTGTATTTACATAACTGAACCACATAGTTTTGCTCAGTGTATATCCATCAAGTGTAAATAGTTTGATTCGATTTTAAGCTGAGATAAAAATATGAATGTTGCCTAAAATATTCGAATACTCGTTCACAAGTTAACGAGTATATTGGCTCCCTCGTCTGTCTGACGGGAAACATGGTTTGTATATACTCGAGTATCTATATTCTATATATATATTCGACAGCTTAAGAAGTTAAGTATGGAAATTTGGTATAGAGACTATTGAGGAGTTGCTCTAGAGATTAATTTGAATTAATTGGGTTTCTTTCACGGAGTTATTCGACTGTGAACGAGCATTAGGCAGTCGGTTACACCCGACAGCAAGATTTCTACTTGTTTTTTTTTTAAGCTCTTAATTTAAGCAAAAACTTTGGTGCATTTAGTTAAAGTTGCATCTGGGATGTTGCTTAGGTGCCGTTAATTTGTATACTAAGTGGACTAATCGCCTTGGCTTAGACTAAGGCTCTTGGCCTGGCCAAACTTGTGCTTCAGCTGGCTGGTATTGGCGCGGAAGCGTGTGGTCATCTGCTGCATCAGATGCTGTGGACCAGTTGCGCTGTGGTGCAGCGGTGCCACTAGCACCGCATCAGCGCTGGTTATGGACTATGAGCCCTTGAGTTTCTTCTTGGGATTATTGCGTGCCTGGTCGGTGGTCGCCGACGGCGGCAGCTCTCTATACTGGTTCTGCAAGGCAAATCCAATTAGACTGATAAAATTTGATGATCAACAACACTTACAATCTCCTCGTTGTCGGGCACGCGCGATAGGAAGTCCAGCAGCTCGTTGTTCGGTATGGTGTTGGGGCGCAGCAGGCGCCGCGAGAACTTCATGAAGCCCCAGAAGAGCAGCAGCCAGCGCAGCGGCACGAAATGCAGCACGAATATGGCGCTCAGCAGTAGCACCACCGCCAGCCAGGTCAGTTCAGGGACGGAAAAGTTAAATGTGCTGGAAGGAAGGCAAAAGCGAAAGCATGAGCTGAGCACCACTTGGTCTATGGGTCTATGGCTGCCACCCACTTGATGGTGCTCTCGCCGAGGGAGGCTAGATAGCCGATCGTGTTTTGTACGGTCTGCGAGACCTCCTGTATGGCCTGGAGTCGCTCCTTAATTGACTTTTTCTCCTCCTTCTCCTTGTCGTCATCGTCATCCTCGTCGTACTCGTAATCATAGTGGCCCGCATTGGCGTCTGTGGTGCCTGTGATGAGCCTGATGAGCCATTTTCTGCAATTCAAAGGAGTTAACTCGAGTTTAACTTAGATTTATCACGGATCTGGGACATACTTCAGTATGATGAGCAGCAGCACCAGCGGCACCGTCTCCAGGTCGCCATAGACGCAGGCGACAATCCACAGCACGAAGGCAATGATCGAGCGCACGGGCGATTCCCACTCGAAGCAGCTCCTGCAGGAGAAGAAGAGAGAATGATCAGCTGCCACACCCCACTCAGAGCGGACTACTCACTGGACATAGCGTGCAGCCTCCAGTATGTCCATTATAATCTGCTTGAGGCGATTGACATTGCGCAGGAAGAGCTGCCGCTTGAACTTGGCCTCCTGCTGGATGAGCTTCTCCTCCTTGGGCTGCAGAGCGCGACAAACTGCCCGGACCTCGTTCCAGATCACAATCAGCTCTAGCTGTATCTGCGGCGAGTTTCCCTTGGCGCGCACGCACAGATTCTTATCCTTGAGCGTGTACCAGCGCTTGACGCCGCTCTTGATGCGCAGCAGGGGAATCACGAGCTTGCCCAGGAACTCCACGCGATGATCGCGATCCTCGTCGTAGACTGTAACCTCCAGCACCTGGGTGATGTCCTTGATATTGCTGTAAAGCGAAAGGAGATGAGCTACTTTCAATTGATACAGTACGGATGTCACCTACAAGGTGAATATCTTGTTCCAGCTGGGCGTCAGCGTCTTGTACTCGGTCTGCGTCTGGAGACGCGCATTGCCCAGCTCCAGCACGCAGAAAGGATCAGATTTGCCGCCAATATCGGCCGCTGCCAGGCCCGTGGCGCCAAACACCTTGACCGTGAGATGACCCACATCCCGTAGATTCTGCAGACTGCGCAGAAAGCGATACCGCTCGCGCAGCAGCTGGGTCTCGCGCGGATCCTCTTTGAATGCCTTCAGGTCGCTAATCGTCTCGAGCGCCGTGGTGCCGCTTATGGTCAGCATGAGGAAGACCTCGCCGCAGCAGTCCTCCAATGGCTTCCAGATGCCATGTGTGGTCTCGCGCTGGAAGACGCTCAGATCAATGTTGGCCTTGCCGTACAGCGTATTGCGATTCCAGAGAGCCAGCTCCAGATTCTGATCCTCATCGAACAGATGCAAATCGAACTGCTCCAGCCAGCGCTCCGTCCAGGAAGACTTGCTCTTGTACTTCTCGTTGCCCAATCTGTGGCCAGAGTTCTAGATGGTTCACACTCTTCACTAGCCTAGTCTCAATTACTCACCTGAACTTGAAGTGTATGTCGATGAGCTTGCTGCCATCCTCGGCAAGCGGCAGATCTTTGGCCTTGACCAGAAGTATTGTCACCACGGAGCTCCAGATTTGCGACTTAAGACGCTTCGATGACTCAGCTAGTTTGGAATTGCGTTGAAAGTGCTGTAAGATTTAATGGAAAGCTGTAATTGAAACCCGTTCACAACATCCAAAGTGCATTTTGAGTTGACCTCCTTTAGCTCCTCGCAGCCCAGCTCCAGCTGCTCACGTAGCTCGCTGTGCTGCTGGCGCAGCCTCTTGAGCAACATGCGCGGCGCAACCCGGTAAATTGGACCAGGCCAATCCATAATCCGCACAACCAATGCACAACAACAAGCACACACACACACGCACCTCACAAATCAAAGTCCCACTTCGCAAACGAAGCGCCGCGCAATGACTAAAGCCAATTCGTTGGCGTCGCGCTCTCGGCTTTAGCGTGTGTCAATGAATTCTCTAACCTTGAAGTGGGCATATACACTTCCACATGCACTTTGCCACACTACGTGCTCGCAAAGCGTCGGCTCTGAGACAGAGCTGAGACCGAGGCGCTGATAAGCAGCGACTGCCTGCAATTGGTGTCAAGCGACCTCCAACTTTGTACAATTGGTTGTCGGCAAGAGCCCATCAAATGCGTACTATCAGTATAAATATGCACATATAAAACAATTAATTTCGTGTACAAACTTAAAAGAGGTTAACCCAATGGAGCTCAAAAAGTAAGCATTAAATTCGTTCAAGTAAAAGATAAAGAAACTTGCATAGAAGGGCAAAACATATGTGATAATTAAAGAAAAATAACTTGGGACAGAGGTTAACAGAGGGTGAAACAACGGTTGTGTGTGGAAACTGTTTAATGGAATGAAAATCGCATAGAAGGGTGATAATAAGAAGAGGTAGAAAACGAATGAGAGAGAGAGAGAGAGAGAGAGAGAAAGAGAGAGAGAGAGAGAGACTGAGAGGTAGAAAGCGAATGAGAGAGAGCGTGAGATGCAGAAAGCGAATGAGTAAGAGAATGAGTGAAAATGGGAGGGCCAGAAGAAAGACAGTTGATTATATTTCTTTCGTATAACTCACTGACAAAAACCAACCAAATTCTGTAAGCCTTTAAATACTTGATATTCGCGTAGAAAAGCACACTTATTGTGTATTCCAAATATAAGAGTATACCAGTTCTGTTGTGCTGTAATTAACTTGGCCCATTTCAATGCTGTTTACTCTGGTTTATTCGGGGTATTTCCCCTATGTCATTGTTAGTTGTAGCTTTTTGTTGCCTAAGTTGAGCGCTTTACGTATAATTGTAATGAGCAGCGATCAAAGCAGCGCCGCAGTAAGTGTACCGGGGCTCACACGCTCGGCCTAACAATGCCCAAGCTGAACTGAGTATATTTAGTCGGGACTGAGGAAGTGGCACATTTGCCGGCTGAGTGTTGTTTGAGTCGCTTACTAATTGAGAGAGTTGCCAAGAGTCAAGAGTTTGAGTCACAGCTGCCATAAATCTGCACGCAATCGAAACAAACTTCAAGCTGCTAAATGTTGTAACGATTACGAATGACAAAACAAAAGTAATGGGCGATTATGTGAAGTGACTGGGCAAAGGGAAAGGTCGCACAGTCGGAAGTAGCTAACATGTGACTGACTGATGAGCCCTTAACTGTAGCTAGATAGAGGTGTACCTTTTGGTAGCCAAGTATCTGTATCTGTGAGATACATTGCATGTGATGCATAACTTCCGGTTTGCCAGTGACTTGTAGCTCCTCCATTTATCGTCATTTAACAAATTGTTTATTGAATTTAATTCGACAGCCACCTACCATTTCCTTATCCTCCTGACTGCGCGGCCACAGCGTCAGATTGATGAGTATCTCGCCCATGCTGAGGCCCGGCTCCCCGTTGTTCGTATCGCTTAGCTGCAGATTGATATCTTCCGCCTTGCCCAGCTCCAGTTGAGTGAGATCGATTTTCGCCGAGCCCATAAAATCATCCTGCAGTCCCCAATCGTAGTCAAAGACCTGTAGGGAATTGCGTTGGCGAAAAGCGGAAATTGGTTTCGGTTAACTGCTTGCATTCGAGTGAATGTGAAGCAATTTGCCAAATTGAATGTCATGTTGGCAATTATTTTCGTAGCTGATTGTTGTTGTTGTTTCTCTTGGGAAATTGATTTTCATTTTTGGCAGCGAGGAGTGCTTTCTAAATTGCCCTTTCTTCTACCACAAACTTTGCTTTAGCTCAATTAAAACTGTAGCTTAATTGCATTAGACCTATTAAATTGTTCCCAATCAAAGCTCAAATGAATACTGCAATGTAAGCTCAAAGATCTTAAGGCACAATCTTTTGTCTAAATATTTGCCAAATATAATTCTCTTTTTATTTTCTGATAGTTGTTAATAATGAGCCTCACAGGCCACTGAAAACAAATATTCCTGAATACTTCAAACAAGTTTAATAACATTAAAGCTATACAACTGCTCTTACTCAAGGCCTAAAGCTCAACTTTAATATAAGTGACCTGTCACATACTGAATGTTACTTAAATAACCAGCTGGACGTGGGTCCTTATATGAAAAACTTTTTACTATCAATATATCTTAACCAAAGATGGCATTCATTAATTAAACTATGCTTTTACATTCTCATTAAAATCGAACTTCTATATTATATAGCACTGAAGGAAGAATCTAAGATGTGTTTTATTAAGCCCAGCATTTACGAGCTTCACTATTCGCACACAATTGCAAAGTAGCAAGGCAAATATCTACAAGGGTATTTAAACTCGGCAAATGAGGGATATTTTGACTTTCTCGTTTTTAATAGGTTTTTAACACAACAACGCGCAAATAGTCTTAAAAGCTTTAAGCAAGATATATTACATTACAGCTAGATTAAATTAATTTTTATTCTCACTTGAAATTAAGCTGAATACTGTGAATTTAGTTTCAAGAGCTTAAATCTGACCTTTAGTCAGGATTTAATCTCACTTTAAGCTTAAACTCCAACTATTTACTGCATTTTTAAAATCGCTTTTTATATTTTAGATAGTTGCTTAAAATTTAAACGCTCCAACGACTGAAAACAAATAATCTTTAAAGCTTAAAGCTCAGCTAATTGGCAGCGGTTCGGCAAATTATTTTAATATTTCTTCTTAAGGAAGTTTTGAAGAGAAATGTATTTTCCTTTAAGCTTAAAGCTTATCCAGTAATATGTGTCTCTATAGCTACAATTAATCTGGGCTCTAATTAAATTTTATCGCCTTTCATTAGAATATTTCATAAGCTACTCTCGTTGTGGCTTTGCTCACCTTGACAATAATCGGCTGAAATGGGTCCTCCACGGGCACAATGAACACCTCGTCCCACACAGGATTGAGGTCGCGGTGAATGGTGCGCGACTTGTGCAGCAGTCGGCCGCCCACCTTGAATTTGACATAAGGATCACTCAGTCCTGGCGCAGAGGAAAACACAAAGAAACATAAGTGACAGGGCATGTCGGTTGCATGTCGGTGCGGGGCGAGGGAGGGCATGGTCGTGGGCGTGGGCTTGTGTGTTCGAGTCCTTAACGGGCTTACCATTCTTGTCCATGGCCACCAGGTCGCAGCCGGATTTAAGATGGACGCGTAGCTGAAAGAAGACGAATTGTCGTAATTGTGTCTCCCGCTTACGACGCAGCTCGTCGGCCTAGAGTTGGGCGTTAGTGATGGGCAGTGGCATTTCAATTGTTATCGTTTATCGATATTGTTATCGACAGTTGCCGTTGCGTGCGTCAAGTTTTTGCCGAAAGAAGCGTAAACAAATTTTGAAAATTGTTTCGTTTTTAGTGAAGCAGAAAACGGAATCCAATTGAAACAGGCAAATTAAATATTTAAAACCAAAAAGAAGTAGAAGAAGCATTGCACCGGAACTCACCTGCAGGGCATCGAGCTGCTGCTGCTGAGCCGTTGCACCACTGGCGCCAACTGCCGGGGCGTGGCTGTTGCCATGCTCGGGCTGCTCGTCGATGCGACCCTCCATGGAGCCGCCGAAGCGTTGGATAACCTGCGCCATTTTCGCAGTGGCACGAAAATCTCGCGCTAGCGGTGAGCCAATTGTGGTGGCCCGATGTCGGGGACTTTGCGTTACGGAGCTGCTCTCGGAGCTGTAGTCGGCGGCATAGTCGGTGCTCTCCTCCAGAAAATCGCTGGGCGATTTGCGGCCAATGCGGTCTTTGCTCTTGGCGCGACTCCAGCGGTGCCTCAGATTGTTAAAGAAGCCGTGCGTCTTTTGCAGCACGCCTGCGCCGCTGGACACGCCCACAACGCTGCTGCTGCCGCTCACGAGCTGCTGTGAGGCGGCGCTTTTGGCCCGCTTCGGCGACAGATGCGGCGACTCGTTGCTGTGGCAATCGTGACCATTCAGCTCCGATGCGGACTTGCTCAGATGCTTGCCCAGGCGCTGCTGCAGCTGCGGCGAGCCGTGCGGCGAGCCGTGCGGCGAGATTCCAACTCCACTCGGCGGCGAGGCGCTGGCAGCGCTGGCATCAACGCTGCCGGCGGCGGGCAAGCGGCTGCTGCAAGGACGTTGTTCCTCACGCTCCAAGTAGTGTATGCGAGCTGGCGGAAGAGGTGAAGGAGAGAGGGTAAAGGGTGGTTAAGCTAGTGCGTAGCAACTCGATAATCGATTTAACAAAAAAATTTGACGCGTTGCGATCCAGCGCACGAATCATATATGACTGAGCACCACGAAGATGCCGCATGACATCATTTGGATGCCACTTGCGAGAGAGAGAGAAAGAGAGAGTGTGGGAGTACGGGAGAGTGAGAGAAAGAGAAGGTGGCATGAATTCTCTTACGCTGCTGAGTGACCGCAGCTGGCTTATATCACAGCTGCCGAGCCATGTGAATGCGATAACTTAAATCACGGGCGAAATATTGGAATACCCTGTGGCTAAAAGAAAAGCGGGTATAAGGTTGATCTACAGCTAATAGCTAAATACCACAAGCTCATTTTGGGTTACATTTGCCAAGTCACAGTTTTGAGCCTTGGTTTTGCGTCAAGAGTCCATTAGTTAGTTAGTTAGTTAGAGATCATTAGGAAATCGCTGAACAATTGCCTGTTACAGTTTTAGAGTCACAGCTTTAGCGTTACAGTTGTAAGATTACCTTTGATCTATACATCGCTAAAATCATTATTTGTATATAAAGTCGCAGTTTTAGAAGTATATCAAGTCACTTTCTAAGAGCCACAAGGATACAGTTTTGAGTCACAAGCTCAACGTGAGATTTGCAGATTTACCTTTGTGATCAAAGACAAATCGCTGAAATCTTTCTTTAGTTTTAGAGTCACACTTAAATTATTTAAAATCCCTAAGAGTTACAATTGTAAGGCTACAGTTTTAGAGTTACAGTTTCAGCGTCACAGTAGATTGTAGATTAGGAGTCAACGCTTAAGGGTCACAGCTGTGGAGCCACCCTATTAGATCCACAGCTTTAGAGTCATACCTTTCAAATTACAGTTTTAAAGTTTGAGAGTTACAATTTGTAGATAACTTTTCATATGTTTTTAAGATCCTGCCAAAGGCAGGCTGGCTCCGCCCCTACAGTTTAAGGTGCACAGTTGGAGAAGTCACAGAGTTAGACCAACCAAAATTAGTTTTGCTGGATTACGGGTGATTATCTTTGAAAATATATATAAAATCGCAGCCATACCCACTGCCGCCTTTATAAAAGGGCTTAGCTGAGCTCATTTCACGTCGGAAATAGAGTATTCATAGGTCGGTAGCTTTCGGCCGGTAGCTACCTGCAACTGGAACAATTTTGTTTAACTTGTGGCACAGCGCAAATGTTGCCTGCTTCTGCTGCTTCTTGTGCAACGTTGATTGCATGGCCATCAGGCGGCTGCATTAATAATTAACATATTCACTTGCCGATTGCAAAGGGGCGGCAAACAACACGGCCGCACCCCCGACACAATATTCCTTAAATGCAGCACAAACAAATTATAGTTCAAAATAAAAGAATGTTAGATAAATTTTGCATAACTTGAAGTGGAAACACAGAGTTCGGCGAGGCGCCGCGCGTTGCGGCACGAACTGCACAGCAGCAATGCTCCTAAAAGACTGCCACAGTGGATGTTTTCCGTGGGGCACAAGCAGTGTTTGTTATTGTTAGCGCCATCTATAGGTCACATACACACACTAGCAAAAAGTCAAGTGGCGCACTCTGTGTATGTGTTTGTGTGTCTGTGTGTATTGTTTGGCAATGAATAGTAGCGCGAGACGCGACTGTAATTGTGTGGGCATGTGTGTGCAAGTTATGTGTGTGTGTGTGGATGTGTGGGTGTGCGCTGTAGTGTGTTTTGCGGCGATAGCTTTTGCATTATTAATGCCTTATGCTGTGTTGCCGCTGCATCACGAATTGGAAAGGGCGCCCATAAAATGCAAATGGAGGCGCACACAAAGTAACTGCATAATTGCCTGTGTAAGTGTGTGTGCGTGCGTAGCGAGCTTTACGCACTCATAAAAGCTTGAGGCAAAACGTTGCTCCCCACCCCCATCCCCCTTTACAAAGCGCACATCATGCGACACAGACTGTCAGCGTGCGGCAATAAAGTTTGTGAATGAAATTATTTTAAAAATCAGACGCAGCATTTTATATATGAATAAAGCGCACATATATGTGTCTGTGTGCGTGCACATGTGATTCAAAGGACACACAAAGGGCAAAGGGATACGAGCGAGATTTTACATAACCAAAATGAGCCCAACAAGTACAATATTTAATCATATTCAAGCTTCGTGTCCTGACAACAACAGCACAACATTTAACTTTTTTCTTGTTGCCCCCACATTTTAATTAATTTAATGCAAGGGGCGGGCAGCCAAGGTGTGTGTGTGTGCAAGTGTGTGTGTGTGAGGTCTCGTAAGTACATACTTATGGTAATTATTTTTTTTTACTCTAGCTGCGCCCGCTCTCTTAAAACGCTCCCAGGACGAGCGTACTGGCATTGGGGAATTAGTTTTAGCTGGTGTTGAGCATTTATGCGGTATAAATATTCTATTAGACAATAATTGGACACATGCTACAAAACTTTCTCGTTGGTGTGTGCGCAGAAGTTGGACATCTGTCCGAATATTTACGACGCTGGTGTAAATAGTTTTCAGAATTTGCTGCTAAGACTAACGACATACTAGGGATTTTGCTCTTCCTTGCGACTGAAATTAAACTAGTGCTGAATAGTCAGATGATCCCCATATCTTCAGACAAATCTACCCATCCTAGACTTCACTTATTCGATTCGTTGTATCTCGGGTAAAAACAATTTTTTTGTTGTTTAATTCTTAATCCTTTGTAATTTACCCAAAATATAACAAAACTATTTCTTATTTCTTTCATTTTGACTTGCTTTAAGTTAGTTTATTTGTATCTTTTCTTTGTTGCATTATTTAAGATCAAGATCGAGTTACAAAATTCCAATCTTTGCAAGAACAGATTTCATGTATCCGAGATATGATTATTTAAAGTGAACAGGAAATAAAATGTTTTGAATAAATGGCCGAGGTGTGGCCGATTTTGTATGTTTCATCCACATTCCACATCCTCCGGGAGAACAAATATTTAAAGTCAATGGCTCCTCGATTTGCCAAATATCCTCGTTTATTTCCTATCATAGATATGTTGCTGGTGAACCTGTTTGGTTTATTTACTCAATGCCTGCAAAATGCGCACGAATATGATTGAAAAACATGTAGGGCTCTTTGTTTTACCCGCCCTCCCTGTCGATGGTTTCTAGTTAACTCCTGTATCCTGGTAAGCTCACAGGTTCGAGTGGCACAGGAATAGTTGGGAAATATGTAAACTTTTTCAGCCTCGCTTTTTTTAAAAAGCTGCTGCTTTAAGTCTTTTGAACAGTCGATCCAAGAGTCTGTAATGCAGTTTTCCGTCCTCTGATTTTGTTTCCTCGCATTTATTATTTCTTTTCGCCTGGTACTTCAAATATTCGTTCAAATCTCGACAGGCAACCGCCGGCAACGGTCGTCTCGTGCACTTATGCAATAAATTTCACAGCAGTTGATTTCCTCTCTATCAACTTGCTATTTCTGTTAGCATAGTATCTGAGCCCAGAATGCATACAAATCTCACTAGCCAGCGGCCTGCCCTTGGCAATAGAATCTAGCTACATACCACGCCTCGCCCAATCAACCGAGGGGCACGAGTCGCGAAGTACGTAAACTAATGCAAACTAAGGCTATTAAAGTTTTAAGTATTAATTGCAAACAAAGCTAAAGTTACAAACAAGGGAGATTGTTTGCTTATTTCTCTTACTAACTTTACTTTGTTTATTTATTACATGTTTTTAAACATCTTTATTTTTAAGCTTTAATATATCCAATATCCCTTAACCAAAGTAATTCCTTTTCTGTATATTCATTTGGAACATTCACTTTGTGCAAATATAGAAAATTGCTTATAGCTTGGCTATTGAGGAAAGACTATCGAGGTGTCTTTTGGCCAACAGAAAGTCCTTATCTTCACCTTGACCTTTACCTTTACCTTTACCTTTGACAAAAATGACTTTTTTGTATAGAACAGAATTTGCTTATCACGCGGCCTTATCCTTGCGTATCTTCAGTCGAGTCCTGTGTGAAACAACTCGCAACGAGCAAGACTAATAGGCTTTGCTCTTTTAACACCCCCAAAAGTATGCAGCATGATTTTGCATTTGCAGATTTTCAAGAGCGCACAGAAGTATGCTACGATTTATGGTACATATTCTTTGCAGCTTGAGATATAAAAACGTATATTTTGTTTATTCTCGCAGTTTTGACTGACACTTTAAATAATTTTAATTGAAAGAACTATCAACATTACATTTCGTACACTAATCAGAGTTAAGAAAAAAAATGAAGACAAATAAAAAGTAAAGCTCTTGTGTTATTTTTCTGCACTTCATGACCGAATTGCCGTAGGGTATATTATTACACTTCCAGTTAATTTTGAGCCAGTTGTGCTAATGTTTTATTTATGCTTCCTGCTTAAGGGTTTTTTTGTCCAATTCCCAGGAATTGCTTCTAAATGCTCTAAAAGTGCTTAGAATAAAAAAGCAATAGTAAACTTTTCTTTTGAATATTTATATTAATTGTTTTAATTTTAAGAGAATATTTTAATCCTAGATCGGTAGCTACTCATAAATTTCAAAGTGTACCCGCCCAAATACCCACCGCGAATCAATACTACCCGATACGCCACAGCTAGCTACAGGGTAGCTCACAGTGAAGCACACTCGACTGTAACGTGCTTGTTAAATCCGCGGCTTTTGACTGCAATTGGCCAGCTTGAAACATTCAACGACAAAGTTGTTGCCCATGATTCAGCTCTGTTGGCCATTAAAACTTTTGCCTGGACAGGCGAAAGCCTGCGATTAACACACATACGCAATGTGGCCTGCACAAAAGGCAAATGGGGCAACTGGCAACTGGCGTCGCACATTTCCATGACTGTCAGAAAAATAATGTCAATACGCAGCAGCATTTTGGTCAATTTAATGACTTCCTTTTATAAGGCTTTGTATTTGATTTGAGCAGCAAATAAGAGATGTGACTGAATGACTTGATGATACCCTTTAAGACCAGACCTTGTACAAAATCCATTAGAAACCATCTTGAAATATTTAGTTGGTAAAAACTGACCAGCATAAATTACACTGATTCTCAAAATCGTATCTTAAGCATCTTACGTGAGATGTTAAACATGCAAAAGTATAGTTTTGTAGACTCAGAGATCGATGAGATATAGTTATCAAATGATGTAACCTTTCATACTGATCAGGATTTATATCTTTAACATATTAGTTGCCGACCCAATCAAGCAACCCTAAGGCGCACATTTCATGCGAACAGGGTATTAATAAAATGCCCATTACCATTTTTATTGCTACGGAAATGCGTTTGTGGCATGTTGCTGTACGCCAGGTCATTTTATAGGTAATGCAAAGGATATCATCGTCATTTGGGGCATATTACGAGCAGGCCATATCGAAATCGAAAATTGTCAAGCCAATCAAGTAATGCAACCACAGGCGGCATTTAATGCCAGCGAGATATATAGAGAGAGAGAAAGAGAGTGGGTGGGGGAGGGGAATATCTATTATGAATATGATTGGAGACATGTGCAATATGCCTTTTAGAATATTTGTAGTTGTTCGCTTTTCTGTGTGGGTTTAGCCAATAAATCAAGCTCGAGGCCAATAATCAATTATTTAGCAGCTGATACTCGAGGCGATTGTGAGTGTGTATGGGTGTGTGTGTATCTGTGTGTGCGGCATGTGTTGTGCTTAAGCCAAAAAGTATTTTGCCGCTTATTAATATTTGTGTGTGTGTGTTGCCCGTTGCTGCTGCTCACCTGTTGAGGCAAATGTTGCTGACTTTGTCAACATGTTGTCGTTGATTGTTGCTGTTGCATCTACGGACAGGTGGGGGGCAAGTGTTGTATACTATGCCCTTTGTAATCAGTTTGTCGCTTAGCCTCTGGCTGTTTATATGCCCTTTTGTTGTTTTGACTTATTTTTGGCGTGTGCCGTCTTGTTGTTGATGTTTGTTAGTGTTGTTGCCCAGCAGCAGATGACGTCACCAGCTGCCGCCGTTTGGCTGTGATTGTTGTTGCCCCAAACTGCGAACGGGAACTGGCGTCATGTGGCTGTCTAGCAACGCGCAACGCCCGTCGCGCTGGCAGTTAACTTTGTTATCGTTCTCGTCGCTTATGATTCTAGTTATACCCTGTAGTGTAGTGTGGTGTGAGGGGGGTAGCACGAACTGGTACATATGTAAATATGGCTTTGCATAAATTTGAGCCTATTTACTGGCTGTTCTTATTAATGCTTCTGGGTTTTGTTATCAGCAGTCAAAATGGGTAACTTTAAAACAAAAGTTATTTACATATAAATTATATTTAGCTGGCTTTCCTTGCTTTGAAGACTAATTTTTATCACTTTGACACAGTTCTTGCATTTACTTTAAACAACTTGTAAGTTAATTCTTAGCTTCGGACCACTTACTTACTTTTGAGTCAGTTTTGAGTTTGGAACCACTTTAGACCCCTACGTAATACCACTTTCGAACTAGTTCCAGTATTGAAACTATTTTTACAAATAATTTATGCAGCTTTTGAGCCAGTTCCTAGTTCGTAACCACTTTAAATAACTCCCTTTTTGAACCAGCTCTTAGATTGAAACCACTTCAAACAAGTGTTTTATGCCACTTTTGAACCAGTTCTTAGCTTGGAACAACTATAAGCAAGTAATTGATGTGATCTTTAAGCCAGTTCTTAGTTTGAAATCCCTTTAAACAACTAGTATACCACATTCGAGCTATACGAATTCAAAGACAGAAAACAGGGCGTGTAACTATTTTCTCACCTATATAACACCTGCTTTAATTGATCTTGCATTTTGTCTACGGCTTAACGTGTATCTCATGTATACAATCAACTGAAACACTAAATAATGCCCTAGCAATTTAGGGCTCCATTGTTATGGTTGCTCTAGTTGATGTTGTTGTTGTTGTGGTTATTTTTGTTGTTGTTGTTGGTGTTTTAATTCGCATGCTTGGTCAACACGCAAACCCATTGCGAGGCGCTTATCAAACGTAACATTTATAGCTACGAATTTCACGTTTCCATTTCCACAGAAATTTGAAGGGTTTTTGCGGTTTGTTTTCTTCAGTGGTTTCGAATAAAAAGCGATTGGAGCAGCGCTTTTTAACGAGATTCCATTCTGAATTGTTCTCAAATCATAAAAAATTCTAATAAGTTATTCGGCTGCGATATAAATTTAGCTGTGCGCTTTAACGCTAAACGACAGAACTTTTATTTGAAGAGAATTTTCTAAACAAATCATTGAGCTTTTCCATGCAGCTGCGTGCCACATGGGGCTGGCTGTCTACTATTCATATTTATGATATAATATAGAAGAAATTAACACATTGTGTGTTCCGTGCATTTGCCAACTTTTCTCTAAAACAATGAGAAAAGTTACCAGAATGTTGCCTGAATATAAGTGAATGTCGCTGCTTTCCACTCTTCAAGTCGAGTGCTGCGTAAATGAGTTTTTCTTCTGCTCCGTCGATTTTTGAATAATTCATGGAACATTTTGTTGATGTTTAGGCTATGGAGGGTTACAGCTGTTGCCAATGGAAAAACTCGAGACGAGACATTTTATTGGGTTCCCATTTATAGTACACACAACTCGCTTGACTATGCAAAAACTGCTTTAAGTTTCGGTGAATGCAACACAATTTTAAGGCAAATGGCAAAAAGCAAGACATCACACTTTAAAATGCACAGCAGTTGCAGCACTCTGCTGGTGGGCGTGGCATACAAAAGAAAGTGTAGCGTGCAAAGGGTAATTAATGGGAAACTGCGTTGCCAGCATGAATGCGGCTGGTGGGGATAGAACAGGGCGTATATGTAATGTAGATTTCTGTGCATTCTGTTCAGCTCGAAGGGGCAATTACTCACGCGGCATTAGAGCTGTAGAGATCCAGAAAAACGGGTTTCATAAAAAGCAATCAGTGCAATAAATCAAATGCAATGCTGTTGCATTTATTGGAAGCTTAAATCAAGCCAGATTTAATGAAGATGAGAAGTTATTTGTGTGTGAAAAGGAGCTTGAGTTATCTTTACTATAATCAATTTATCAAATAAAAAGTTTCATTACGCTTGAATTACTCAAATAAAGGTTGCTTTAGAAATACATTTCCTGTAAAGCTGATTTTAAGATGAAAGGTATATTAGTTCATAAATCAGAAAGCTAAAGCTTTCAAGCTAGTTTTGAAAGCACATTAAAGCCTCAATGTTGTAACAGTACTATACCAAAGCTTCTAACAGCTTTGAAATATAATGAACAATTATGATAGTTCTAAACAGCGTTAAAAGCAAATAGAACACAATACAATTAAGTTGTAGTATATAAAAGCTCTTAACAGCTTTGAAAGCACATTATAGCTTTATACAAACATCATTGTGATGTGAAAACCCGAATTTATCTAAACTGAACTTTATTTCAAGACTAATTTGGTTCAATAAAATTGGTTTTTGTAACGCTCACATTAAGTATAAACTACAAAGCAGCATAAATAATACAGCATGACCCTTAAGCAAACATTTCCCACACGCACATATCAAAGTGAATTCATTTTTTTGATAAGCCCATGATAATCTTCTACGAGTCAATTACAAATTCTCCAAGTGTAGCTGTGTGCGTCCCAATCACTCGTCAAAGCTTATCATTTACGACAAGGCGAGGCACATTATGGCTAAGCCCCGACATAAAAGCCTGTCATATGAATACAAAATTATAATCGCTGCATTGTTCATCAGCTGCAAGCGTTAATTAACTTGGTCAGCAGCGAAAATCGCCGTTAGCCCCACACAAGGCTGGGCATTTCGGCCTTAATTAGGTGCGAGTGGACAGGATAATGACGGTACTAGAGTGCACGAATAGGGATATAAAGCTTAACGAGCCGAGTGCAGCCCAGTTGATGTGGATGGATCTGTGTGCCAGCTATTGGACTCTGATGGTAAGTGTAGCTGTGTTCGTAGGGCCTTGGCTCCAATTTTAATTAACTCTTTGGTCTTTGAGGTCAAATGTCACGACAAGTAATTAAAAGTTTTGGACAAAAAACAGCCTCAGCGGCAAGTGGTAAGTGTCAGGTTGCAATTGCAGATTAAGGCAGAGCGCGGGGCACAACAAATGGTGTCATTTCAAGGCAGCTGTCAGGCGGCGAATTGAGCAACAATAATGAGATTTTCCTTTTTGGCCATTTTCAGTCGAATTTTACAATTTCATGTAACCAATTTGTGAATGCGGCTATAATTTCAATCACGCAGACGCCGCCTTCTTCCTGGGTGCTAGCCGTGTGGCATGCTGCGCAGCCTGAACGCAGCGGGGCAGCAACAATGGGGCAGACAGATGACATCTCGAGGCCACAGGCGGCGGCGACGACGCAGCTGCTTTGCCCCGCCCCGCTTCAGACCATCACACACCAAGATGCTGACAAGTCAAATGGCCGCATAACTGGGAGGCGGGGTTGAGAGGAGGTCCGAGAAGCAAAAAATATTGTCGCCAAACTAATGCCGCAATTTATCTGCGCGCTGCGGCACATGCGACAAATGGACGCAAATGCCGCTAAGCAATAATTAAAAAAAATTTCAAGCCAAATGACACGCGACATCTATAAGAACTATGCGGGGTGGGGTGGGGAGGAGTGGTGAGGGGTGGAGTAGAGGAATATGCAAATACTTGTATATTAGCCACAAGTGATGTTCATGTGCGAGAAGCAGACGGAATGCAAGTTGTGGCGTGTGCCGCTTCTCTTCTTTTCTATGAGAGAGTGTGTGTGGTGTGTGTGTGGTGTGTGTGCGTGTGTGTGTGCAGCGGAAGCGCTGCTGCATGCAAAGGTGCCATAACCCCATGAAGAATAACATCCGTGTGACCGTGCGTGGAATCGCCAGTAGTCGACGCTAGCGCCAAAACAACAGCGAGGGCAGCACCAAAACTTGTTTAAATATGCCACTAAAAACAAATTCAATACAATGTTCAAAATATTGAGAATTTGATAACTTCAAGAGAATATTGAAGAACTAGGAATATTGAGAGCTAGAAGGGTTGGAAGTTCCTAGGAGCACGGAACTAGTTGCAAATAATAAATCGCAACATTCAATATTGAGGTACAAACGCACTTGTGACATAAGAAATACCAGAAAATGAGCCAAGAGCCATTTTATAGTTCACTTAATTTACACAAATTACAGTAATACTATTAAAACAGGAAATGCATTTTAACAGATACAAAAAAAATAAAAGAAATTTCGAAAAACAGACGAAATAGAGGTTAACAGAACCAGTTTTCCTATAGATCAGTTCACTTACACTTACACTCTTGCTCGAACGAACTAGTTCACATTCAATTCAAAAACAAGATCAATCTGAATCAATCGCACAACTTAGAAAATGCAATTCCTTCGACTTGTACTTACTTTCTTAATCTCACTGTAACTTTAAACTCTATCTCTCTCTCTTTCTCTCTCTCTCTCTCTCTCTCTCTCTTTCTCTCCCTCTTTCCCCTTTCTCTCTCTCTCTCTGTCTCTTTTCTTCTCTTATTCATTCAAATGTAGCCATAAACTTAATAAACATCTGCATTAATCACAGAAAACCCATTTATTCTCTTTGCCCCACACTTGCCCAGTTTGCTTAGCTCTGTTTTTGCTTCTGTCTGATTCTCTTACGTTCTGCCATTTTCTCCCCATCTTATTGTTGCTCTTTCTATCTCTCTCCCACCTCCCTCTCTTTTAGCATGTGCTTATTTGGCAACTCTTTGAGCAGCCCTCGCTCCACAAATTTATGCGCGAACTAATTTTGCCGTAGCCGCATATAAAAATAGCCCACATTAATGGCAGTGGCTGCATGCTAAGCAGGCCCACTCGAGTGGGGCTCAAAGTTTAGAGCTCAGCCAAAGCCCAAAGCGAGCCTGAGCCAAGCGCTGGGCCAAATGCAGAAGCGAGTCAAGTGTTCCCGGCTGGGGCCTAAAGGATAACGGATTACAAAGAGCCCCCACTCAAATCTGCTTACAAATATACACATGTAGGTGTGTGTACATACAGACAACAGCTGTTGCCGGGGGCAGAGGGCAGAGGGCAAGCTATTAACCCGTTACTTTTGTCAGGCTCCGCTGTGTCAACATCTTTTTATGGAGCGGGTCGCAGGTCGTTTATCAATTTTTGGCATAGCGGAAAACATTTTTTTATAGACCTGTGTGTGTGTGTGTGCGTGTGTTTGAGTGTGTGTTTTGCTCATTACTTACGCATGTTTAGTGGCCCTGCGTGTGCGTATGTGAGTGTGTGTGTGTGCTCACAGGCACGCGACCCAGCACCAATACCAATAAACTACAAAATTTGGAGGCCTATGCGGTGGGGTATGCTCCGCGAACCGCTCAGTTGGCTGCGCGTTGGTTCGTTTGTTCCTGGTTACATCGACACATTGCGGAGGCGCCACCTCCTGATGCTGCTGCTGCTGCTGCTGCTCCAACTTCTTTTAAGTTAACACTGACAGAAGATGTTGGTTTTAACTATTATGCTTCACACAGACACACACACACACAAAATATGCCACTAATTGCACTGCGGATTTAACTGCTGCCCCGTTATCCTGCAACACACGCGAGATGAATGGCGCTTTCGCCGAGTCGCTTTTACACTGCGTAAGTCGCCTGTACAGCAAAGCGCGCGCTCTTCCGTTTCGCCGCGTCGCTGCGTCCGTCAACGTGGAGAGTTTTTGCGCAACTGAATTTTCGTTGAGAGCTTTTTGTCGCTCGTACTAGACAAAAGCTCTTGAATGTGTTTGCACTGAGCGCCGAGACAATTGAGTGTGGCGCCGAATGCCCTGTTGAGTGGTTTTGGTCGGCTATGGGCGGCTCCTGTAAACGGGATAATAATTGGCGGCACAACAGGATGAGCCAAAGCTCCTACACTTGACTAGCTTGATAAATAGCTGTGCTTTGTGTTCTGTAATGCAGCTGAATTATTGAATGTGACAGTTGAATAAATATTCCAATTTCATGTCGTCTTTTCCCGTTGTTTCCATTCTATTTTGATTTAGCGTTGAATGCATTTATTTGCACTAACACAGGAATGCCTAACCTGTGCTTAAATGAACGTGCGATTTCAAGCATCCACTCGAGCTGTGTGCGCCAACACTTTCCCACTCAGCCCAAGGGCTCTGCTTTGCCTACGCTCCAGTTAATGCAAGCCGAGTGTAAACGCACGCGACAGGCGACCTTTTTTAACTATTTGCGGAAGTTCGTGGTTAATTAGTAGTTGTTTAAACTAAGCGCAACTTGATATAGCTGCAATTGGCCTCTCTTCGTTTCCAATGCTGAGTGCAGCTTAACTAGCGCTCTCTTCGTCGCGCAGTGCGCTCTTCTGATAACGGCAATCAGTGCTGCCGATCGCTGGTCTCCCGGTTGGCGGCCGTTCGGCTCGCGCTGCCTTGTTCAGTCACTCGGGAGTTGTGCAGCCGTTCGTTGGTCTATTTGCCAGTTTGGTTCCGTGCCTTTAAGTGTTAACTTTTAAATCATATTCACCGATTTTTCAAATAATATAATATAATACTATTAATATACCGGCTGGTACGCAAGCTTCGACTAAGGCACAAGAAAAGGCAATAAACTGCAAGAATAAAGCTTTCAGAGCTGCAGATCGGCAAAGTACAAGAAGCAAAAGAAATACCGGTAAGTCATGCTTTAATCGGCTGTGCGCTTTGTTAGGCTGCTTCTCGTGCGCCATTTAATCTACAGCGACCGTTATCTCAATGTGTAGGCGGCCGAGACGGGCGGCGGGTACGGTCTCTGGGCGAGTTCAAGCTCTCTGCAGGGTTCAACGTCGCAGTTAGTTTTTGCGCCTTTCGCACTTTTTACTTTCGTTGTGCACAGCCTGCCTTGCTTTCCATTCCCATGCATCTGTCTTTTTCTCGCTTGGCCATCTCTTTATTCCACTTACACTGTACCACAAATTATGTTCCCTGTGAGCTGTGCATGTGTGTGTATGTGTGTGCAGTCGTTGCTTTTGCATACAGTTTTCGATACACTTTGATCCCGCCAATAAATATTTGATAATTTTATTATTTTTGTTATTTAATTTTTCGTTTTTCATTCATTTTTTTTTCGTGTATTTATTTTTTTCTTCTTTTTTTTTGCGATGCAATAAGCGCTATAAATATCAAATTATATGCCATGCATATGTAAATATTTATAACAAATATTCGTCGAAATGTTTTCAAATTATTCAGGCTCAAAATGCACGCCGATTTTTATTGAGTGTGGCGGGAATTCATTTTGAAGATTTGGAATTGCTGGGAATTGGATGAAGATATAGTATACATACATAAAAGAAGGAAAGATCACCTATTATTCACACTATTCAAAGATAAGCTGCGCTATGAGTAGGCTATGCCTAATATATACCCTTGCGATAGGTACTATACTTTAGCAGTTCGATTTGTTACGCACTCTACAAAGTTCTCATTAATTCACGTTGGGATCGTTGCCCTATATCATATAGTATTCTTAGGGAAAGAGCTAGGATATAGAGCTTAAGTGCTTGGGGGTTTCGGATCAGATCAATATATCGCAACATATATACATCTCAACCGCAGGCAAGGGCATTTGGTAATCGGGTATTTCAATATGACTTTTCCCTCTCGTTCCGCTTATCACCAGGCTGAGAAATCGAAAACTATTCAGAGTATTCCCTGTTTTAGAGCAAAGTACAACTTTTATATGCACACACATATATACATACATATTACCTAATTTGTTTTGATTTTTGTTGTTAGTCACGGTGCCGGAAAGCAACAATTTTTATAGCTATTGATAGCTCCCATTAGTTTGGCCAGACAGCCGCCAAAGGCAACAAAAACAGCAACAAATTCGAATTTAAGTGTATAAAAAGTGCGATGCGATGATGCCAGCTGATAATACAAATAATGAATATATGAGAATAGGTGGCAATGAGACGCGGCGATGTCAGACGGTGTCAGTCATACTTATACTTATAATTATACCCATACTTATGCCTATAGTAAGTACTTTTACTTATAGAGGTAGTACAGGTCGTTTTTGGGGTTGTCAGCGCCTAATCACGCCGCGAATGCTGTCAGAGCTCGCATTTGTACCTTTACGATTAGCGACAAAGTTGGTGATAATCAAAATATAGGCACAGGACCAACAAAAACAATAAAACAAAGTGAGTACAACAGGAAAGTACAGTTACCTTTGTGATGCCAAACATGAAATACCCTTTCTAGAATATATTTACTAGACGTACGATATCTTGTTTTCAATGTCCAATGGGCTGTTGCCCTGGCAACTAAATTGTTGAGTTTGGTCAAGATATTGTGAAAATCCCATAAGTTATCAATACAAATCTCAGATTTCTATCGATCGAAACTGAATCGAACGACTCTGACATATTCTGATCATTCCAACAACTTACGATAGTTTCAAAAATAGAAGACTAGTCGGCAGATCAAGAATATATATGCATGTTTTATGGACATCCACACATTCCTTGACATTTCGTGGCAGACCCCCCGCGAGCGCATATAAATATTATGATTATATATATATATATGTATAAAATATGCCATTAATCAAGCGCAGTTAATTATCATAGCTGAGGAGCATGCAGAGCGGCAGCATGGCACAGAAGACAGAGATGCAGGCCAAAGATCAGCATACGCAGCACGATCTGATCGGCGATGATGAAGTCAGCGAACTGCAGCGCCCGCCCAGCTTCTATCAGAAGGTGCGTGAGCAGGCGGAACGCTTTGCGAGCACCCGACTGGGCCAGTTTGTCATCGAGAGGGCCGATCGTGCTCTGAAGCTGATCGAGGATACGACCAAGTGGAGTCTGCCGCAGGGTAAGAATCGCAAAAGCGTTGTCTATGCGTAGCAGCCTTCATCCGGAGCCTGACTCTCTCCTCCTACACAGACAAGAACTCGAGCGCCGTCGTGCTGGAGCGTCCCCTGCCCTGGGCATCGTTTCTGCTGCTGATCGTACTGCTGCGCCTGGCGCGCATCTGGGTCTCGCTGGGCGCCCTGATGATAGGCAATGCTCCGGTCTCCCCGACGGATATGATATACTTTATACAGACGCGTCGACGCAAGCTGCGCGCCATACGCGTGCACGGCCTGAGGGTAATGCGTCATCGCCAGCAGGAGACCTCCAGCCGGACGGGCTGCTCCTATACGCAGCAGTTGAGCCAGTGGCTCTCCCGTGCCATCTGTCGACCAGGTGTGCAGCGAGCCAATAGCGGGCGAGTGCTGAACTTGCGTGACATGGAAAAGCCACAACAGGTGGGTGCAGTGCAACCAACTGCAGCAAGTAGCTAATCCAAGTTCCATGTAATAGGGCAACCAGCTGAATCACAGCGTGTCCAAGCGTCCGCGCGAAGAGGACTCGAATCCCGATCACAATCTAACCATTGATGAGATGCTGGCCAAGTACGCCAATGAGAACTCCGAGGATGACTCTGACTTTGTGCCCAATCCCGAGGATGAGACGACGGCCACCAGCAGCAGCAGCAGCAGCAGCGACAGTGACAGTGCATCCCACAGCAGCGAGCAGATCAGCAGCAATGAGGAGCAGGCCAATGCAGAGCAGGTGAGCTAACCTTAACCTTGGACAGGGCTGACTAACTTATCAACAATCCGTGTAGCACAAGGAGAGCATGAAGCCCAACAAGACAAACCAGAATCATGTGGAAAAGCCGAAGGATCAGCAGACAAAGCCGGCCACAGTCAATGGCACCACTGACAAGGAGCAGACGGAAGTTGGTAATGGACATTGAATCCTCTCTCTAACTGTTGTTTATTAGACACACACATACACACAAACACACGCACATACACAGATCCCCTCTGCATATATAGACACACCTAAGTCTAAGCCCTAGTTTAATGGAAAGTATCGATTAACGACTTAAGCGATAAGATTTTGAAGTTTTTGGTGGATGAAACGATAAACGATAAACTGAAATACAGAATAATAATTGTGCCCAGAAACCAGTCCTTTATTTGCTTTGTCCAACCATAAGAGAAAATTAATACCAAATTTCCTTAAGAGTTTTGTTTTTAGTTAATTTGTGAGCTTTTGGCCTAAACCCTGCCCTGACATACCCAATCTTTTCTTTTTCTCTTCCCGCTCTAACTCTAATCCAACAGCAGCAATCGCCGCGAAGCAGGAACAGTGGAAATCCTCACCGGGTCATTTGAGCGCCGCCATGATGAACACGCATCTGTACAACAATACAGCGGCCGCAGGTAATTCCTAGAATATTGCATACCAATTAATCCCAACTGGATTGTGCTCAATCTAGGATTTCAATTAACATTTTAACTTTAGTATTTTGCCTTTGTTTCTGTTACTCTGTGCATGTGTTCAAACACAATAGCCAACATTGAACCCGCTAGCACTCCCACTCCAAGCAACTTCCCAACTGACAATGAACATGATCCCGAACATGAAGATCCTGCACCAGATTCTGTTAATGCCTCCGACTCCGATACGGACAGCAGCAGCACGAGCACTGTCTGCCACAAGCAGCAGCCACAGCCAGAACACACTGATACCTCAACCCTGATAGCTGATACATCCAATCCTAACCCCGAACACCCCAACGTTGAGATCCCAACGCCTGCTAGCCCCGATCATCCCACTGTTGAGACCCTCACGCCTGCTACCTCCTCTGAAGATATTTTCTATAGCCCCATTGGTTTGTCCACCTATTCTATTCTATTCACATTACTCAGACTCTTATATTCATGAGTGTAACGAGTGTATTCGCTATTCCACAGGCTCGCCCAACAATTTCAATAGCTGCTTCGCCAACCAGCCACTGCTGCGAAATGCCATTGTAAATGCGGCTCCTAGTAAGTAGTCCATAATGCAGTCCTGTGGCGCCCAATAAGCAACTCCTATATCACACAGCTCACTCCACGCCCAACTCTGAACTAGAAGAAATTCATTCAGCTGGCTCTGAGCTGGAGGAGGCCACCAGGCAGTGCATCTCCCTAGCCCATACCGTCGAGCAGCAGGACACGCCCCCAGTAGCCAAGCCCTTCAAGCAACAGCAGCAGCAGCAGCAACAACAACAGCGACAATTTAATCATTCGCATCAGCGTTTCCGCGGACGCAACCGACGCTAACCCTATACCCTAATCCTTCCTATAAACATTCATTACATTCCCATATTGTTAGCTGTACTTCAAGTAAATCTCTGAACTTACCACGTTTTTTAATCTCTAATCAGGAATTGGCTCAAACTTGAAGCGTATATCCCCGTGTGGTGAGAGTATAATGGTGCTCTCATATTGCAGCGGCGTCTGGCCCAGCCAGCTGACCTGGTAGCGGCGCAGCAGACGCGCCAGCAGCGTCTCCATCTCCAGCTCGGCAATGCGTTTGCCTATGCACGTGCGTGGTCCAAAACCAAAGGGTAGGTACACGAAGGGATTACGGCTGCGCGCCTCCGGACACGACTGTGTCTCCGCATCGGTGTCCGGTTTTAGCCAGCGCTCCGGAATAAACTGTGCACTGTGGGCAAAGTACTCGTCGCTATTGGACAGCTCCAGGACGCCCATGAGCACGCCCGTGCCGCGTGGCACGCGATAGCCGGAGAGCACCAGATCCTTGGTGGTTAAGCGAAAATTGCCCGGCGTTATGGAGGTAATCCTGAGACCCTCCTTAATGCAGGCGCGCAAATAAGGCATATTCTTGGTATTCTCAGCGGTTAGGGCGTCCTCGGATCTGGGCAAAATGTGCTGCAGCTCGCGACGCAGCTGCGTTTGCTTGACGGGATTGCGGGCAAGATGATACAGAATAGTCACAAAGGCTGAGGAGGTCTGCAAAAAGATATCCATGAAATGTATCAATAGTTCCAAGTGGGTCTGTGTTCAAGTAAATTGACCAGCGGGTCGGATTGTTTATAAACAAAGCTCGCTCACGCTCTCTCATTCGCACGCTCTCACGCTCTCACGCTCTTTTGCGCTCAGCTGAGCACACTCACCTGCTGCTCCAGTGCCATGCCCACAGATAACGGCCGCCCAGCGCACAGCTGATATCTTTGGCCGAGCTGTTTTTGGTAGTTCATAGACTTCCACATTTTAATTGCACTTGAACTAGTTTTTTCTTTATTATATATTTTTTATGGTTTTATTAAATGCGTCATGCCATAAAATAGACGACACAGAGCAAACCGTACGCAAGCAAAGGCGAGCTATAACTAAATTGATTTGTTGAGCTTTTAGCCAAATTATATTGTTAGTTTAAGCTGCACGTACGCGAGCTTTTTGCTGCAAAGCTTTGGAAATGGTTTGTGTGTTGGCTAATGCAGAAAGTCGCAAGCCTGCCCGTTCGAAAACGTTAACCCTTGGCTGGGCAGTGTGTCATAAATGCTGCATAAGTAAGATTTCACTTTAAAGACTTGTTTTTTTTTAATACATTTATTCATTGCATGCGTAAAATTGTTTTTAAATTTTAAAATGTTGATTTCTTTTTAGTTTTAGTTTCCATACAATTTGAATGATCATTTATTTCATTTTACTGCTGATATGTTTCGTATCGTATTTTTATGTCATGTACATTGAAAATTTGAATAAGAGTCAAGAGAATTGAGAGCTTAAGAAATATACATAGTTTTGTGGTTGTTTTGTTTTTTAAGGTACATTATAGATTAGCAAGTTGAATGCTTATGCAATGGTATGTGTTTGACTTGAAATACACACACACACACACATATATATTTTAGAGTTAAGTAGACAATACATCAATATATCAATGTCAATGGAGGCATTAGAGTTGAGTTAAACACTTGATATTTATGTATGTACTATGTATGTAATTGGCGTAGTTAAAGGGATAAAGGTAACTACTCGACGTTTTTCAACTTTATATAAATGGTATATATAGATATATATATATATATAGATACAGATATATGTATATATACGACTAAATTCAGCACACAGAAACAAACTTGGTATTTTTTTGGTATTTTTCTTTGTCGTTCTAGTGTTCGGTTTCTTTGTATAAAAATATAACAAATTATAAACGTTCGTTGTCTCTGCACAAATTGATCTCATGCTACTTATATATGGTTGATTGGTATTTCCTATTTTTTGATATACATTTCCCTTTCAAAACGAAAATCATTGAGAAAACATTCTGCGGAGGACCTTCAGTCTTGTGTTTTGTTTTGTTTTGTTTTTGACTTGATATTGCTTTCGTGGTTCATTTGTCATCGTTTTGCATTAAATTCAACTGGAAATCGTTATGCATTTAGTTCAGTGACAGAATCACCTGGATTGTGGATTATTTAACAGTTCTATGTCTATAGAGCATTTAAACGTATTAAGCGCTTATTGAATTCTGTGCTGAAGATCCCTAAAACCTAGTACTTAACACGAACCAAGGCAATACGTAGAACTAACCAAGTTAAAAGTTACTGCAAACGTTGGGTCATTATATATGATTATTGGGTATTACACACATTTATGAATAGCCATTCATTTGTTGCTATTTTCGTTCTTCGCTTAAGTTAAATTGCTCACATTGAGTTGATATGCATTAAGTACTTGCTTTTTGTTTTTTGTTGGTATTTCTTCACAATTAGTTTCGAAAGTACATGAAGTTTATAATTAATATAGCTAAATCTTAGTTAAACTGCTCGCGATATGTATGCACAGTAATTTTACCTAGCATTTCTTTATAATTATGGTCTAAAATTTAAAAATAACTTTTGCTAAAAAATGCTTTAAAAAACTTACATCTCATTAGGTTGGTGCACTATATATATATATGGATATATATTTGATATTTATTTTATTTTAGGCAGTGCATTTAACTAGTAATTTGTCTAAGGACTTGGTATTCTTTTTAAAGCTACAAACTAGTTGAATGTTTTAAAATTAGACTAAAATATAATTTTTGCTAAATGATATTGATAATAAATAACAAATTGCATATTAACTTAAGCCTAGCGTTTACTTGTATGCATATAACATATGTATATGTATTAGTATATCATATTTTGTATATGTGTATATAGTTTCTTATATAAGTAGTATATTTAAGCTTTTTGCTGATATGTTTCGAGTTCTTGGTTGGGCTTTCCTTCACTTTTCCTTTTGATATGTTACGTTCACTTGATAAGTTTTTCTTTTTTGTTGGTATTTTTTAATAATATACTTGGGTTGAGTTCAGAGCTCAGATATGTATGCGACTTTGGTATATACTAGTTTATATTTGTGTATGTATATGTATTTGTTTTTTATGCACACTTTTAATTCAGCCGACGGTTTTTGTCCTTGTCTAAATACATTTAATTGCCCCGAAAATTGCAATTGCAATTAATTTCCATTTGTTTATCGCTTATTTGCTATAAAATCACATTTAGTTGCTTAATTAAATTGTATGCACTCTCTCGCTCACTCACACACACATTCGCGCTCTCTTTCATTCTCTCTCTCTATCTCTCTCTCTCTCTTTGTCTTTCTCTCTCGCACACAGACAGTGCAAGCTTCGTGCATCATGTAGATATTGCTTTTAATTTATATTTTCTTGTGCGGATACTCGATATTTTTCCGTACATTTTCATGGCCGGCTGCACTGCAAAAAACACGCGCTGCTTATCCTTTAATTTTTATCTTTTTTTTCTGTTTTCATTTGGTATTTATTTTCACATTTTCTTGTTTGTTTTCTCTTCACGCTTTTTTTGCCTTTCTGCTCGCTGCAGTGGAAATCTGCGTTTTGTAGGTTTGGGCGTATAAAGGATATTCGTGGGCGCCAAAGTTCGCATAATTGAACTGTCAGCCGGCTGGCAGACAGCCAGAGAGAAATATGGCGCCATGCTGTGCACTGTAATTCCAGCTTTCTGCGTCCCTCCGGCCTGCATCCTGTCAGCCAGCCAGCCACCCAGCCTCGCAGCCTGCACGCAGTTTTTCGCATCGATTGTTTTGTTGCGCTGTAATTAAATGCGCCAAAGTGCAGCCCAGCATAAGGTTGGGAAAGGGTTGTTATATGGTGTCGTAGTTGGGGGTCGTTAGCCTTTCAGTCCATGTTTCTCCATTGCAGCTACTACTCCTCGGGCCAGCCGAGATCCTCGCCAACCAGCTCGTAGAAGCGCTGATTATACTCGGCAAAGAATTTGCGCAAACGCGAGACGACAACAGGATCCACATGCGGATGCTTGCGGCCCTTGGTCTCGCGCAGACAGCGATCGCCGTTATCATAGCGCAGGCAGTAGAAGCCCTTCGTCTCATTGAAATAAAAGTGTTCGCTGCGCACGCGATGCTCAATGCCTGCACCAGGAGGAATGGGAAGGGGCAAGTTAGCTATAGCTCCAGGAAGAGGCTATGCTTTGTGCTTACCTAGAAATGCCTCGATGCGCTTGAGCTGGGAGAGCGGATCCTCGATCAGGCGATCGCCGTTGACCACCAGCAGTTGCTCGCGTGGAAACACCTCCAGCCAGCGATGCAAATGCACATGGTACATGGATATGCTCAATGGGCGATAGGCCTCGTTAACGGTGCCATTGGGAAATATGGCGAGCTCCTCAAAGGATCTAGGGGGGGGCAAGCGAATTGAAGGAAACATTAAAAACTTGCAACAGCAAACGGAAATGCCATCAGGCACGTTGCACTTTCTAGTTTGCCCACTTACTTGGCTGCCAATTGGGCGGCGCTGGGTGTGGTTGGTGGCATACTAGTTGTTGTTGTTGTTGCTCCCCCACGCCTCACGGCTGCAGCTGCGCCCGTCCGTCCACTTATAGCTGTCTCCTTGGCGCCCGCACCGCTGCCCAGCGCATTGTCATAGCCGTGGGCCGCCTGGAGCTTGGCATAGAGCGCAGACGTTGACATCTTGGCGCCATAGCCGGAACCGGGCGCACTGCTCTCCGCCAGCGGCAATATCGCCGTCGCCGCATGGCTGCGCAGCTGTGTGTAGTCCGAAATGGCTCTGGTCACGGGCTCACGCACAATCAGCAGCAATTTGATGCTCGCATTCATGGCACGCACACGTTCCGGCACCTGCAAAGGAGCGAAAGAAGATTGCAATTGCGGACACTTAAAGCCGGATATGGTACATGTATATATATCTTGAATAATGCCAAGTTATGACAGGGCCCAGATAAGCAGCTAATGAATTTACGGGCAGCCATTGCCAGTGCTTGCCGCCTGCCACCTGCCCCGTGTTGCGCTTGTTGTTGCCACTGTGTAGTGAAGAATTTAATTTAACCGGAAAATATGGCCGTAGAATCTCGTAGGCGACAAGCTGCGGCATAAAGGCTCAAAGCTTAAGTGTCCCAAGTGATGTTACTTAAAATGCCCTGTATTACGTGCTTTCACTTTTATTGCGTACAAAATATCCTGTACTACTTATGTTCTCGCTTTTACGCCAATTGCATGTCTAAGAACACTAACGATATGCTATGATAGTTTAAATAATTGATCTTTGGGCACAATCGATATAAAGCATATTAAGAGGAAGGCTTTATTAGAGGAAATGAGGTTTCTTAAGAACATTTAATTATTTATTTAATTTAATTACAATAATAAGAAAAAAGGAAGAAAAGGACTTTAACAAAGAGTTAGGAAATTTACATAAAAATAAGTTTAAATTATGTTAAGTAAATAGAGTTTAGAAATTGTAATAAGACATCATGTTAGCTATTATTATAAATTACATTTAATATAAATTACACGTTAACCGTCTTCCTACAATAAGTAATACATATTTATAAACTCTTAACAGTTCCCAAGTTTAAACACAAGCTACTGGGCATGCCTTTAAGTGTCGCCTACTACTAAGAACCTAACACATGTGCATGGGGTATTTCAATAAAGCCAACGAGGCGAACCAAATAGAGTTAATCAATTTCAATGAGCGCCCGTAAAGTATGCAACAAGTGTAAGCGACTGGCAGGGTTTCATCTTGATGAACCAGAAACCCGACGCGTCGGCCTTTTGTTCAAACTATGCCAGCAAACGAGCTGAATAAACAGCGTTATATTAACTATAAATATATATGCATGCATGCAATTTACAAAGTAGCCATGGTAAATATTAGCGCGTCCATGACTGCGCGCTGACTCCCCACGCTGCCGCCCCCGTCCGACGACTCCTCTATTCTGTTGGCAACTGGAGGCGCAAGCACACCGTCGGGATTTGCATTATTTATGAACGCGAAGGCTAGTTTTAAACAGCAAATGCGACGAGCAGCTCTCACTTTAAATGTGCGCAAATTTAAACAAGATACAATTATCCAGACAAAGACAGAGCGATCACGAGTGACAGAGACAGCTGTGGGTGGTGAGTGAATGCCTCCAGAGGGGCAGATGACAGTCAGGTTATGTTTATGTGCCTCTGTGTCCCCACTCTCTCCGCTCTCGCCAGCCGAGCGTATGTCAATAAATATTTATCATGACATTAATGAAGATTTAACAGCTGGAACGTAATGGAATGAAACAAAATGGAACGCAGCGAATGGGAAGGTTGCAGCTGCAAACTGCAGCTCAGCTACAAATTGAAAGCATAAACTGAATGAATTATTGCATTGCCATGACACCAACAACAACAAGCGCACAGTCACCCGGATCCCAATCCAGATCCCAGTTACCAGTTATCAGGCTCGCCCGTTCCCAGCTGATGGCTTCAATTTTACTGACACATGCAACTTCCGGCTCGACCAGCAAATTGCATCATCAGCCGAGCCACTCTGCGGGCAACAGGCGGCAAGAAATAGCAAAAAAACATATTCCCAAAACAAAAAAAAGCTAAACTTTCTCTTGAAATTAAACGATGGATAGATACCCTGTACAGGACCTCTTTTTTGTGTATGAATCTTGGTATTAAAGAAGGAAAATGGCTCTTCGAAAATGTTAATAATTGTTCTATCTGGAATATGGGTAGCATTCAGATATAAAACCACAATTTAATACTAAATTCAAAAGTCGAAATATCCTATTCTGATTTTAATGAACCCATAATATCTAAAGTAAGGAATGCTTGTTAATGTACTTAGGATATTATTCATAATACTATTACGATATACTTGTATTACTTTTTAATAATCTCTGCTAGGAATTTTCATATATATATTTTATTTCCTCTTCAACTCTTTTAAAGTTGAGGATTCATTGTATTCAAAAGGCGACCTTTAAAGCTAATCATTATAAATATATATGTCTTTAAGGGTCCAAAAAGAGGCCTATTTGCAAATCTTTCTTCTTTTAGCCACTTGACAGGCTTACAGGGTATTCAAAACAATAATAAAACTGACTGTCGACCTATAAACTGAACCAGTTGTGGGCGATTGGCTTTTGTTGGGGCTTGAAGGGGAAGCTGTCCGCCACGCTGTGTTAGATGACGCCGTTTGGCAAATGAATTTGCAAACATTTCCGCTGCCAAAATTGGTTGGATACGGACACGGACACGAGAGTGGAATACGGAAATTGGCAAAGAGAGAGCGACACAGAGACAGACTGAGAGAGAGAGAGAGAGTTAGCAAAGAGCATCGACAGCGTTTCAGTTTAATTTGATAGATGTCGATGCAATCTGCGTCTGTATATATTACGTATGTATTTCTACCTATGCCAGTGGCCAGTTAATTAATAATTAGAAGCAGTCATGTGCAGCGGACGAGCCTAATTGGCAATTATGACATCAAAGTGAGTGCAGAAATTTTAAATGGGCTCGGACGGACATGACTCACCTCGGGCGAGACAAAGTAGCTGGGACTCTTCTCGATGGTAATTTGGCCTCGAAACGAGTGGGGCATCTTCTTGCGATACCAGTCCAGGCCCCTCAGATAATTCTCATCCCGGTCAAAGAAGTGCACCTCGCCGCCCGCCTTCTGGATGCGGGGATGCAGATAGAGCATCTCGAGCAGGGCCCTCGTGCCGCACTTGCGTACGCCAATTATCAGAGCCTGTAATTGAAGTGCAAATGCAAATTGCAGCAATTAACAGTGTTGGGTAATTCGAAACCGGGCCGCATGCAATTACTCACCTGTGGCAGGCGTCGACTGGTCTTGGGGAAGTGCACACGGCTGGAGGGAAAGACCATGGGATGACTGAGTTGATTTGAGCTGGCCACGGGCTTTACAAACACGGGCAAATGATTGCCACTCGACGCTGTGCGAGCTGCGGCGGGAGCTGCGGCAGCTGCCGAGGCGGATGCGGCCAGCGAGAGGCGATGTCGTTCGTGCACCGCCTGCGCCGCCTGTATATTGTACACGGCGCTGTCGTAGAGCACGTGAAAGGTGAGGAACAGCGAGATCAGCATGACCGTTAGAAAGACAACGGCCAGCTTTGGACGGGAGACGCCAACAACCAGGATGCAATCCGTGTGCGAGGCATCAGCGCCAACCGGGCGCATGGCCGACTTGGGCAGCCAGCTGATGGAGAGAACGAGAAGAACATTCTCTTAGTTAGTTTAATCAAATATACGTTTAGACAATCAGTCCTTGATAGATATTTAGCAGAGGCGAAGGATAAATAAGTGATGGGGTACATTAGAAAAATCTCACGCTTCAATTTATCGACAGCTCAATCTGCTACCCTGAAAACGATAAATATCGATCTTTCACCTATTATTTCACTTATTGAATAACTATTAAGAGCTGTAGCCTTGCATAAACTGAAACAAAGATCTTTATATCGTTTGGAAAATACCCTGCTGTGTCCTTTTTTGATCATGTCAATAAGCATTACAGGAACAACTACTCGGAAGTCCTTTTTGGCAAGGAAATAGTCCTACTCTGAATTGGTTCGTTAAGCGACTGCAGCGGGAGGTCGATTGCAGTAAGCTGCACAAATATTTAGACAAAATAAAGTACAAATAGTTCATAGTGCAAAGCCAAGGCACAGTCGCTGCTGCTTGCCAAATACATATATAACAAATAAGTACAGATAATCTCCCAGTTGGAAATGACGCTAAAAACACTTGCTTTTCAATTGCATTAGATTTGAAGCGAGCAAAATAAAATCATTTTACAATTTTACAACGCTTTGATTATATTACGGCAGATCCTGCTGAGGGACTTGGACATCACCTTAGTTATTAAAATAGCCATCGCAATGGCACATAATACAAGGATCAGTTGTCCTGCCCTGCTATTTCATTTATTATTATAAAACTTGTAAACATCTCTTTCACATTTCCAAATAGGAGGTGCATTGTTACCATAGAAGTTGAAGTATATATATATTTGTATATATATATTTTCATAACGTCATTATGACATTTCATAACTGCGATATTGACTAATTGCATTAGTGACCACCTCATCATTGAGTAGCGAAGCTGAATTGTTTTGAATTCTAGACAACCAGAAATGCCATTAAGTTGCCTTCTTCAGCCTGTTATATGAATTTACATAGCTGCATAGTCTTTTTAAAATGCAAATTTAGCATGGATACTGCAGACAAAATTGTTGCCACGTGGTGGCATACGACCTATGCATTTACAATTTAAATAATGTCTAAGTAGCACTGCCAGTGGATCGGTAAGAGGCGGCATTGAGCAGCATTGGGGCAGCTCGAAAGTAGTGAAAAGTATAGCTTGTGCTTGTGCTCAATTAATCTAATGGGCGCCCGCTTTCAATGGCAGACGCCTGTCGCTAAGCTAATTAGATTGTCGTTTCAACTGGCGCTGAGTAATTAAAGTGGCGGCCCAAACGACCGACGGGCCGAAAGCGACTGGAAGTCTCGATGACTCACTAAGCGCCCCGAAAACTGCTTGCTGAAATTAGCGCGGCGACACTTGCTTTGGCTGTAACGCCCCCCTCAGACCACCACCCTCCTCCCAACCATACAACCCAGTACACAGCCGTTGTTTAGCCATGCGGCTTGTCAGCGCTTAAGCGAATTCCATTTTAAACGTTTCCGCTGAGACCGCAGCAAACACGGCTCACATTATGAGCGCATACAAACTGCAGTGGCCCACACGCGGCGTATACGTAACGTCGTCGTCTAATGGATGACTTCATTTGCAGCATGCCGCAGCCGCAGCCGCAGCCGTAGCAGTAGCAGTAGCAGTAGACGCCTCCAGTCAGACGACGGCTAAGTGCATTTCTATATATATATAGCCAGCGTTAAAGGTGGACTATAGCTGGCGGGGCTAGGGGGAGTTGGGGGCACGGCAACAGGCAGTTGGCAGCTGGCAGCTGGCGTTCCATCCTGTTGGCCGAGTTTCGCCTGCGACACCTCGTTAAAAGTAACGACACAGCGTGCTGCAGCCCACAAGGAGTCACTTCACACATTCTCCAACTCCTATCTACTCAAACTCCGACCGTGTGGCGCACATACACACACACACACACACACAAGACGTCTTCCGCCTGTGGCATGCTTTGAGTTTTCTATTTGTAACACAGACACACAACACACACTGGCTCGCCTGGCCTCGTTTTTCACGCCCCTTTTTGGGACAGGCGTGGCTACCCACTTGACTCGGCATCTGCATAAACGCAACGCTTCCTTTTGACTGTTCTGTTATTGTTGTTCCCGTAGTTGTTATTAGTGCGCTGCTGCCGCCGCTTGTTGTGGTAGCTGCTGCTGCTGTCACGCATTCGAGTTGACAGCCCGCACCTCGCACCTCAGCCCAGCCGTTCCGGCTGTCGTGCTGGCCCGCAGGCAGCTTAAACAGCTTTAATTCTGTCCAAGTCGGACTTTGTTTTAAAAGGGCTCAACAGTCAGTGCGAAAGCGGCTTAAGGACTTAAGCCAAAACCCCAACACGAACTGAGTGCTCAACAATTGCAGCAGTTTGCAATTAATATTAAAATTGCCAACTTCTTACATTTATCTAACCGATTTAACTTAGCTGCCCTAAAATATGATTTGTGCTGCTCTTTAATTAAAACTGAACAAAGTTTCGGATTTCAAGACAACTTGCTGGCGTTGCCAACAATTAAATCCAATGCAATTAAGCAACGTTCTTGGTTTCTATATCAAACGTTGGCTATCAAACAAGGTTTGCTTTTAATTGATAAGTCTTGGTATAGATAACATTTTTGTTTTTACTGTCAATTATAAACAATAAAAGACTATTGCCATTTTCTGCAGCTTTAAACACTTCATTTAAGCCAACGTGAATTAAGCGTTTCAGTACCCTTCCTGAGTGTATGGAAATATAGAAGAGGACATACCCCACAATGTATATATATTATAGATCAGCCAAGTTTATAGCATCTCACTTAAAACGGCTTAAAACGTTGCATAGATCCGTCTACCTGTTGCAGGCAAAACTTATGACAGAACCAGGCGTATCGGACCCCTGTATCATATATGTAGGTTGCATAGGAACGTTTGGTCGAAAATTAGGTCTTGTATAAAAAACTATCTTGACCAAACTCGTCAATTATTCGTTTCACTATGTATATTTATTTTTCACATGTCTGCAAAGCAAATATCTACAAGGGTATAAAATCTTCGACTTACCGAAGATATTCTTGCTTTCTCGTTATTGCTGCAAATCTTTCGATAAAGTAAACCATCAGCTAAGCCAGCAAAAATTTGTGATTGATTTGAGGGCATAAATGCATAAATATGTCAAGCAGAAAGATGCAAGGCATACAATTAAAACAATCAAGAGTTGTTAAAACTTAAGAATTTGTTTAGTTATATATGTCAACTGCCTTTTTGCCTTAATCTCAGCTGCTCCAATGATTGTCCAACAGTTAGTAGCATTTTGTTCCTTCCAGATTATTTATCTTGATATGCATTCAACATCAAAACATTTAGATTCCAGATACGGCATATGCATGCAATTAAGAAAGTTAATTGGCATACTGCGAAATGCTTATCAAAAGGAATATAAATATATGGCACAGCTGTGGAAATTGACTGAGAAAATTGATGTCCAGCCATTAACATGAATGCAATTTTCATTCGAGTCGTTCAAATGTAAATTTTATGAAAGCATGAGACGTGCGAACATTGACTTTTTCCTACATTGGGCATTGCCTTTACCAGCACAGTGCTAAAATAATTGTTATGACTAAAGTATACCCTGTAGAAAATCAAATAGAATTAAGACTTCAAATGGAATATTTTGAAAAAGATTTGAAACTTAAATAAACCACATAAAACAACTTTTTATATGGAGTTCCAAACTATAGTAAAAATTATTACTTTTTAAATTTATTCCAACTTAGATTTAACTAATTATTTGAGCTTTACGACAAGTCTTCTATATATCCAGTATATATTAGTGTCACAGTTTTGTTAAAATTTTTTTTTTACTATGAGATTAATTTCTAAACAGCCTATGCTACAGTTTTTACAGGGTATAAGTTATTTAACAAGTTGCATAGACTGGCGAGCGCCTGAATCAGCATTAGCCCGAGGGGAATATACAGCTTTAATCTAGACGAGAGCCCACTCAGACCCTCAATATTAGCCCGTCTAGGGAAATACTCACAGGATGTCCAGCGGCAATTTGACAGAACAATCGCGCAGTGTCGCCGTGGCTGATGCTGCTGCGGATGCCTGATGCTGGTGTTGGTGCTGATGCTGTTGGGGCGAGTGCTGCTGCTGTCTCTGGTGGTATTGCTGTGGATGGTGGAGCTGGCCATGGGGATGATGTTGATATTGCAGCAGCTGCTGGTACTCGTGCGCCTGCTGATCCGCATCCTGATGCCGATGCTGCTGCTGCTGTTGCTGCTGTTGGTGCTGGTGATGATGCAGTTGATGATGCTGCTGCTGCAATGGCTGCTGCTCACTGTTGCTGCTGCTGCTGCTGCTGCCGGTTGTTGCACGTCTCTTGGCGGCAGTCATCAGTGTGGCATCAGGCTGACGTTCAATGAAGCCAAAATTATTGCCGCTGGCTTTTGGAGGCGGCGTCTAATTGGCCAGTGCTGGCCGCACGTACGCGAGAGAGGGCGACCTCCCCCGTTGGAGAGGCCCTGCTGCCTGCCGCTTGCTGCCTGCTACTTGGGGTCGTTGCCTTGCCTGGGTTTTTCGGTTTAACAACTGAACTCCAATTGCAGGCGACGTGCAACGGGCTGCTGTTGTGGCTGATTTATGGCCGCTTCCACGCCCCCGAATGTGCTATGAATCTGCCGCCTTTTTGTAGACTCTTTGTGCGCTTAATTAAATTAATTAAATTCAGCAGCTGCAGCAGTTGCACTCGCCCTTGTTGCTCTTCAAACTGAATTTTTTTGCACTCTCATATTCAATGGGTCAGCAAAACGTTGGTCACATTCGGGCAGGCAGCTAGTCCGCTGTGCGTGTAATTCGATTTGTTGTTGCTGCGCCAAGTGCTTGCCACATTCTGTTGCTTAAGTTTCTGCTGTCCGTTGCTGTCGCTTATTTTGCCAGCAGCTGTTGCTGCTGCTGCTACTGCTGCTGCTGTTGACATGGCCAAAATTTCCACGTTTGCAGCCCATTGTTGTATTTAACGTTTGGTGAATGGCCTGTGGGGGCGCCGTCAACTGCAAAGAGTTCAAATTAAATCCGTGAAAAATAAAACAAAATTTCGATAATGTAGTCAAATGATTGCGTAACCTCTGCCGAATACGATCGAAGCGTCAACATATTTATACGGCTTTACATATGTAAGCATTCGACATGTACATGCTCATACATATCTGCATGCATACATACATACGTGCATGTACATACATATCTAGAATTTTTATACTTTAGGCACGAATCGAAAGCATTGGCTCAGTCGCATTTTGTGAGGAGTCGCACACAGATCTTGCTTAGTCCGGACAGAATGAACTCCACAGTGTTTGTAATATTTGATATACCGCCTGCAGGTAGAAAAAATACCAAATCTATGTCCCATCTAAACTATTATTAAAGATATATATTGTCCTACACAGATCCTTGGACAAAACACATACCCTTACTCAACTCAGCATGGCCTGTTACACTAATCGTTTTGGCATATTTATTATTTGTCTTAAAGTACGGGAAAATATTTATGGAGAACCGCAAGCCGTACAATTTGAAAAATGTTATACTCGCTTATAATATCTGTCAGGTGATCTACAATGCAGCTATATTTATTATGGCAAGTATCACAAGTCGCAAATCACATTAAACGTACGCACTAACAACTCTTCCTTCCCTTAAAGGCTGTCTATTATCTCTTCATCGATCCCACGTATGACCTATATTGCATAGACACCCTATCGCTAGACCATCCGAGAAAGAATATCGAACGCTGGCTAACGTATGCCTACTTTCTCAACAAGGTGCTCGACCTGATGGACACCCTGTTCTTTGTGCTGCGCAAGAGCTACAAACAGATTACACCGCTCCATGTTTACCATCACATGATGATAGTATATACCATTTACTGGACGGTTCGGTTCTACGGTGTCGGCGGCCAGTATAATACAATGGGCTTATGTAATTCGTTTGTGCATACCGTTATGTACTTCTACTACTTCATATCGGCCATGCGCCCGGGACTTAAGAGCAGCCTCTGGTGGAAGAAGTACATCACGAGGATACAAATAGGTCAATTTATAATATTGTTTATGCAAGCTGCATTAGTGCTATTATTTAATCCTTCTTGCCAATTTCCAATCTTTATGCAACACCAACAGCTATTTCAGGCTACCGTAATGATTGTCATGTTTAGTCAATTCTATTATAATACATATCTTAGTCCCCGACATCAGAAACAACAATAAACGAAATTAACTCATTCGTAAAACTTTATTTTTTTTTTTGTCTACTTTTGCCGACTTCTCGCAAGACGACTCATGCTCGGATCTCGACTTCCTGTATAAGGCGATAGATCTGTTGTATATTAGTATATTGGTTGATACGGCTGTACGGAGTCGGTGGCCAATACATGATGACGGGATTCTTTAACTCCTTTATGTATACATTTGTGTATATTTTTACTACTTCTTTTCGACAATGTATCCAGCTTCTGATTGAAGAAGTACATCTCGAGGATAAAAATAGTACAATTTATTTTAGTGTTCAATTTTACTTGCCTGTTTTCAACTTTTCTGCAATATCTACAGCTATTCCAGACTACAGTAATGACTGTTATGTTTGGCAGTTTTTATCAACATAAGATAAGAATGAAACGGCCGATATAAGAGGCTTTTTGCAAGCATGCATATTTATTAGATTTTATGCTTTGCATTTTTTCCCGACGAGCTTAAGTACATAATTAAGTAAGTTGGCTTACTTATGTTAAGTGCAGACCATTAAACAGAGGGAATACATTATATATTTTAATGAATCTCAATTGGAAAAAAACGTATGTAGTCTTTGTATCGCATTAACGACAACCATTAAACATTTAAATACACAACAAGTTTTGTGTTGCGGCTCTGCCTTAGTCAATGTGGGAACTAAAAAACCGAATATAGACAGTTCCAGAGTCCGAAATATAGCAATATATATATATATATATATATATATATATATATATAAACATCTAATAAATGGCTGGGATTCTGCTTACACCCTAATTCCATAAAATATGAATAAAAACTTACACAATCTTTGACAGCGTTAATAGCCCAGGCGATCTGGACATGTCTGGCTGTCCGTTCGTATGTATGAAACTATATAAACTAGAAACTTGAAATTATGAAAGCAACTTGTCTTATTTCCAACAAATCGATAACATTCGATATCGAAATCTTTATTTTGGGAAATGCTGCTTGCAGCTTATAAGAGGCATACACACTTAATTGGCATGTTTATTGTCTACACTTATCCAAAATATTTCACTTATTGGATACGTCTTCTCAAATGGGACGAAGTTCCTCCTAGTCTGCGCTACTTGTCCTATTTATCGATATGATATGTGATATCGATAATCCCTTAAAATATCCTTTAAACTTTGGCCACACTTGCGTAGTCTACTTATTAGTGAGCATTATGCTGTCGATTGCACCCGATTGCGGTACTCTTACTTGTTTACTATTATTATTATTCTTTCGTTTTTTCTTGAATTTTGCATCAGCCTTTAACTTTTAAGGTGTTTTTAAGTTAAGTCGTTTCGATTAGAGTATTCGTACTTCTTTACATATGCACTTTGGTATGACTGAATTTGGTTTCTAATGTGGCTCTACTTATACCCTTGTAGTTGGGTATTGAACTGTTGTTACACAATATGTAACGCAGTGAAGACATCAATCGAAGCAGTCAACTGTGTATATGGCCATGCTTCAAAATAATACATGTTATGTATTTAAACATGTGTATGAATATTTAACTAGGTTTTCAGATCAGTTGCCCAATTCCTCATGGAACTGAAATGCTATAAATTTGTTTAGGATGTCTACAAGGGTATTCAATATTCAATATTCGGCACCCTGATGTTATCCATTGACACTTTTGTATTCTTGGTAGTACTTAAGCAGCTGTGAGTCGGTTTTTATTCTTATTTCTATGGCACCGTTGAAGCTCTGAAGAGCCTGATTCGTGATGTTCAGCAAAATGGGTTCAAGTGCATTCGAAATTTTCTACAGAGCGCCAGCAGGTACAATATCCTTTTATTAAGCGATTGATTATTCTCACAAATTCTAAACTTTTTCTTTGAAGATCCTATTGTGGCCCGGCATGTGCCATTGCTATCTTCCCAATGGCCCGTAAATATCATTTTGCTATGTTATTTAGTCTTTGTACTCAAAGCAGGAAAAATATTTATGGAGCACCGTAAGCCGTACGACTTAAAAAATGTCATCCTCGTCTATAATGTCTGCCAAATGATCTACAATGCAGTTATGTTTGGTTTTGTAAGTTTCGCAAATCACATTCAAACTTAAAAGTTTTAACCAAGAAACATCTTAAAGGGTGTATACTATATCATCCTTCATCCGGCGTACGACCTACGATGCATGGAACCCGGTGCGGAAGACCATCCGGATAAGAGTGTAGAGCGCTGGATAACATGTAGCTACTTCCTGAATAAAGTGTTAGATCTGTTGGACACTGTGTTCTTTGTGCTGCGAAAGAGCTACAAACAGATAACTATACTCCATGTTTACCATCATGTTCTGATGGTTTTTGGAGTATATTGGTTGGTGCGACTGTACGGAGTCGGTGGCCAATACATGATGACGGGATTCTTTAACTCCTTTGTGCATACCGTCATGTATTTCTACTACTTTATTTCGGCAATGTATCCGGAGCTTAAGAGCAGCCTCTGGTGGAAGAAGTACATCACGAGGATACAAATCGGTCAATTTATTCTATTGTTCATGCAAGCTGCATTAGTCTTGTTATTCAATCCTTCTTGCCAATTTCCAATGTTCATGCAATATCTACAGCTCTTCCAGTCTACAGTAATGACTGTCATGTTTGGCAATTTTTATTATCATGCTTACGTGAAGCCCAAACACCAGAAACAGCAATAAAGCCCCTTATACAAATTATGATTTTTAAATGACTTAAGCATAAATATTTCTATGTTAAATGCAGACTTTTTATCAGAGAAGGCAGCAGAAAAATAAGATTTGCCGCATATTTATTTCCGTGCTCGTATTCTGTTCAGTAGCTTCTCCCGACTATTTATAGAATCCCCATATGAAATTAATTTCAATGCGGGTTGAAAAACATTTCAAGAGTAACATTTACTAATTTCTCTTAATTCATTTCAATGAGAATTGATTTATCGTTGAACAACACTCTTAAGCCGTGAGCAGAGAATAATACTCAGTTAATTAATTCAGTATTAAACTGCAGTTTCGAATTTTATTGACTGAGGCAATAGACGAGGGCAGCAACACACCTTAAATTTGAATATTTTTCAACTGCTTGACAACAATTTGTTTTTGAGTAAGATTAAAAGACAGAAGTTTAAATGCACTTTCAAGTCAAATTTCGAATAATCCCCAAAACAAAACAAAAATAAGGTGCAATCAGGACATACAAATAACTAGCGAGTATTCCCCGGCGTTGCTGGCGGCAAATTTGTGCTTCAAATTTTAGATATACCTTTTTCACCCAGTAAATTTAAATCTCCTCTCTTGAACTCTACTATCTTGACTCTTTGCGGAATTTGGCCATCTTTAAAGAATACCATAATATTTTGCAAATGTGAAAAATGTGTTTTCTTGTGGTATAACATACAGTCTACTTTTTGCACATTTGAAAAATATGTGACATGTGTGGCAAAAAAATGTAAGAAATGTTTATAGTGGAATAAGGCTATTACGCTGACATTTATTTTCTGATTGTTTCCAAGTGTCTTCGATTAAACAATTTGCTTTTTTTTATACACCTCGCTTGACTTTGTTTTTTTAGTGAGATACGTTTTTACCCTTGTAGCTGGGCTTTACAATTAGCTTACAAACCATGTAATACATTAAAGCAGACACTAACAGAACGTACGCCTTGTGTAAAAATATACATTTACGTATTGAAAAATAAGGGGCTGTGGTCGGGAGTTCTCGACTAGGGGATACCCTGAACCCTCTTCTACCAACACCAAATGCAGGTCCCGCTACATGTTTAAGTTCTTGTTTTAACAGTTAACAAAATAATCAATATTTATTAATAGAACGATACTAAATATATATTTGTTATTCCAGATGCTACAGGTCAAGTTTGGTGACTCTAGCTCTTATAACTTACGAGATTTGCTCAAAAAACAGAATTTCGATATCGATTTTTATTGATTACTTGGAAACGAGGCAAGTTTTTGATTATCGGAAATCTCGTACTGCGCGACACGGACGGACGAACAGACGGACAGACGGTCAGACATGGCTAGACTTTATAGAGTCGGAGATGCTACCTCCTGCCTGATACATACATTTGCACAAAAACATCAATCGTACGCATGCGATACATTTATTTAAGTTGTTAGAAAGGGTATTTATTCTTCGTGACCTTATATGATCCATTTACACGTTCTTAAATAGTTGCAAGTTGGGTTTTCGTTTTAATTCCATAGTGTAGTTGAAGCCTACAAGAGCCCGATTTACAATGCATGGAAAGCCTGCCGTACGAACATCCGTTTAAGGAAAAGGAACTCTGGCTTTCCTATATCTACTTCCTGAACAAGGTGATAGATCTGTTGGACACCGTGTTCTTTGTGCTACCAAAACGTTTTAAGCAGATAACTTTACTCCACGTTTACCATCATTTCCTGATGGTGTTTAGCATATATTGGGTGATGCGGCTATACGGAGTCGGTGGCCAATACATGATGATGGGATTATTCAACACTTTTGTACATACCGTCATTTATTTCTATTATTTTATTTCGGCACTGTATCCGGAGCTTAAGAGCAGCATCTGGTGGAAGAAGTACATTACGGGGATACAAATATTACAATTTATTTTATTGGTTTTGCAAGCTGCATTAGTCTTGTTATTCAATCCTACTTGCCAATTTCAAATGTTCCTGCAATATCTACAGCTCTTCCAGTCTACAGTAATGACTGTCATGTTTGGCAATTTTTATTATCATGCTTACGTGAAGCCCAAACACCAGAAACAGCAAAAAGAGCCCTAAAAATGGTAATTCCTTTTTTCCGATTTAATATTGTATTTTAATTAGAATAGCGTCTTTCACATATTTATTAAGTATACTTTTATTTTTACTACGAGCTTGAGTATATATATTTATTTATGGAAATCAGGAATCGAATATCAATCCAAGGGGCAGCATTTAAAAATGTCTCATTCTTGTGAATGGATTCATCGCTGCGCAGAGCTTCTAGAACCTGTCCAGAGAGCTATACTCAGCTAACTAACCTTCACAGACAGCAAATGTAATACATTAAAATTGCAAATATACAAGTTCAAATTATACACTTTTTTGCAAATCAGTTTATAATAAAATTGTCGTCAATACTAAAAAAGAATACCCTGGAACTGGATCACAGCAGTGAAGTGAAATTCGCAATAAAACCTATCAAATAAACTCTCTCAAAGAACTTTGAAAATGAGTTCGAATCTGATCCGATGGCAAATAAAAAAATTGCAAACTTTGCGCCAAATTTCAGTTGTCGGTGAAATAACCCAAATCGCTGAAATTTGTTTAATATCTATAAAAATAAGTTCAATGCTATTCAAAAGCAACTTAAAGCTTCGCGGAGACTTCGCAGGATCCACCCCATTGACCGCCAAAACCGGGTAGTTAAATAGAGAAAATATAAACCATATAACTAAAAACTTAATAGGTAATGTTAAGTATGTTCCTCACATTATTGTAAAGCTAGGTTAAGCATCTTAATGCTCAGGCAACTACATATAAAATTTAAGTTTTATATATAGAGATATTAGTTTTATTACATTTTCTCAGCGTAAAAGGGTATCTTCATATAATGCCATTGCGATTAGTGTATTCGTACTTGTTAACATACGTACTTTGGCCTGATTGTATTTTGTTTCTAATTACATTCTAAATGTACCCTGGCAGTTGGGTAGGTTTACTGTTTTACTATTATTAAATGTTCACAGAGCCTGGATTAAACATACATTTTTTGTATTTCCAATAAAGTATAAAGCATATAACTAGATTTTCGATCTAACTGTAGCCCCATTACATAACTAGCGTGCTATAAATTCGTTTAAGATTTCTGCAAGGGTATTCATTCTTCGGCACGCGGATGTTATCGATTAGCAATGTTGTATTTTTGGTGATACTTAAATAGTTGTAAATTGGTTTCAATTCTTATTTCTATGTCGCATTTTCAACATACAAGTGCCCGATTCTAGATTTTACTCAGCAAAATGGGCATATTCGAAGTTTTCGTTAGACCGCCAACAGGTAAAATATCCTTTTATTTAACGATCGATTCTTCTCACAAAATCGGAATATTTTTTATAGATCCTGTGATGGCCAGGGATATGCCAATACTAAGCTCGCCATTGCCTGTAACATTCATCCTTTTGTGCTATTTACTATTTGTACTTAAACTCGGAAAAATGTTTATGGAGCACCGAACGCCGTACAATTTGAAAAACATAATCCTGGTCTACAACTTTTGTCAGATGATCTACAATGCGATTCTGTTTTACTATGTGCGGCTGGAAACTTGCAATTATGACGACATAAAGCTAAATGTGTTTTTCTTTTACAGGGTATTTATCTTATAATCCTCAAACCGGTGTACGATATACGGTGCATTATAGTTCTTCGAGACGACCATCCGATGAAGGGAACTGAGCGTATGGTGGCATACACCTACTTTCTGAACAAGATTCTTGATCTGCTGGATACCATTTTCTTTGTGCTGCGCAAGAGCTATAAGCAGATCACTTTTCTGCACGTTTATCATCACGTCATGATGGTTTATACCACTTATTGGGTGATACACTTCTATGGATGTGCTGGCCAATTTACTGTGATGGGAACTCTGAACACTTTTGTGCATACTGTTATGTATTTTTATTACTTTACTTCCGCGATGTATCCAGAGCTTAAGGGCAGCCTTTGGTGGAAGAAGTATATCACCAAAATTCAGATACTACAGTTCGTGATATTGATAATCCAATCACTGGCAGTCCTACTACTCAATCCGAGCTGCACATTTCCGATCATTTTGCAATACTTACAGCTCTTTCAGGCCACTGTAATGATTATTATGTTTGTCAGGTTTTATATACAGTCTTATGTCAAGCCAAAACAGAAGATTATATAAAAAAATACATAATAACATAATAAAATGTGTTATCCTTAATTTAATGCCAGTTAATCGAAAATGTACAACTGGATTTATTGTTGAAATAAAAACGTATTGTCTTGATACAAGTATTTAACTTTAAAAAGTGAGCAGTCTTCATAGACCGTATGTATTTTATAACTAAATGACTTGCTGAATGTATTTGAATGTATTTTAAAACGGTACATAATAGACGTTTAGTTCAGAATACATTGAAAAGTCAATTTTACTGAGTGTGTGTGTTATGCGTATATGCCGGCGCTTTCGAACTAGAACTTGAGTTTTTTATACACGTAGTTGGGCTTCAAAAACACGAACAAATATACATTAACATACATCGAATAGACATTAAGCTGGGCTTGCACGTGCTTATGTTTAGAACCCATTCGTTCTGGTGAATATTCAATTTTCTTTGATGTACTATGGTACTGTGGTACATACATCATCAATATTAATGAGCCAAAGTCCAAAAAAGCTTTTGTTATATACTTGCAAACAGCTTATAAAGCTTTCAAGATATTCGAGGTAGTTTCAACTCAATATCTTTGTATGCCATTCTCCGATTTCGCTCTCCTCCTTTTTGTGCTGTATTCGTTTCTGTCAACGCATTTTCGAAATAGACTCCAGAAGAAACTCAATAAATAACTCATTTGATTCATACAAAAATTTGATTAGACACGGAAATTGTTTGACATTCGCGTTCATTCGCAAATCGTATTCCGACCATACTGGACGAAAAGTTGAAGCGATGTTTGGCATTTTCAATATACCGCCACCGGGTAGGATATATAGCTCGTCTTTATGACTCTATATGACTATATCAGTTGGATTAACCAGTAATATTATTAACACAGATCCTAACCAGCTGCCCTTAACGAATTCGCCATGGCCGCTCATTTTAATACTCACAAGCTATTTACTATTTGTACTCAAATTTGGTAAGATCTTTATGAAGCATCGAGAACCGTACAACTTGACCAAGTTATTGCGCATCTACAATCTGAGCCAGGTGGCATACAATGGCATCTTCTTTGGCATTGTCAGTAAATAATTTTCTTAATTGCATTCAGTTGGAGCATGATTCAGCATGTTTAATATTCTATTTTTCTGCAGACATTCTATTATCTGATCTGTCGGCGCATTTGCAATCTGAGCTGCATGGAAACCTTTCCGTTTGGGCACGAGCACAAGAATCTGGAGCGGTATGTGCACTTTGCATACTTTATCAATAAGATCCTGGATCTGCTGGACACGATATTCTTTGTGCTGCGCAAGAGCTACAAACAGATCTCCTTTCTGCATGTCTATCATCATATGATGATGGTTATCGGCTGTTATTTAGTAATGCGCTTCTATGGAACTGGTGGTCACTTTAATGCCTTGGGCATGATCAACTCTTTGGTGCATACTGTCATGTATTTTTACTACTTTCTGTCGGCGCATTATCCTGGTGTCAAGGCGAATATTTGGTGGAAAAAGTATATAACAATAACTCAACTCATACAGTTTGTTGCACTATTTCTTTACACGACCTACGTGCTGATCTTCGCCAAGAATTGCCGCTTTCCCAGCAGCCTGCTATTGATACAGATAGTTCAGGCCGTGATTATGATGTATATGTTTGGCAATTTTTATGTGAAGACCTATGGGCTTACATCAGAGCACCAAGTGCGTCATAAACAGGGCTAATAGATTAACTAACTATGACTTTCCCCGCGTATTCTTCATAATGTAAATAAAGTTTAATGTAAATATCAATGCTTTGTTGTCGTGGGCTAATTACCTAATGACCAAAGGGCCAATGCGTGATCTAGATTCCATATCCAAAATGATTTGCAATTCGTGCCAAACGCGATGGCATTTTCTAGACGTGTATTGCATTGTATTGTTTTCTAAGTTTGAATTCAGCGTATAATGAAAATTATAGCGTGGTGGCCCCAGGGGCAGGTAAATTAACGTGACTACCGACCGACTCACAATTTATTAGGACTGCAACGAGTACCATCTAACTGAAAATAACAGCGGAATGCAGAAATCGTACTAGAAATGACTGCAACAGCTTGAAAATAGAACTTGCTTACCGGAAAAACAGCTGTAGGCAATCACACACACACACACACACACTAATACAGAGAGAGAACATTGTTAGCTGCACTTGATAAGCATGATTCAAGTCGAGTGGGGAAATCCAAAAACAGTAGCAAAGTAACGATGTGCAACGAGCGACTGCACACATAACAAGCTGACAGTTTCCGCCTGATTTCCATGCCACAGCTGAGCAAATTGCAATAGAAACTAACTGACTGCGCGATACCCTGTGCCCAAAATTAAAAATACATTGATGTTAATTACGTGAATTCGGGAATAATATAGTTTTAAGATTCTTCTCTTAAGTTTATTGGCTGTTAAATATTAATATTGATTAAGTTTATATATATTATAAATAAAAACATATTTGGAGACACGGCACTTTGTTCGTTTTACTGATTTAAGACGTGCTAAAACTTACTCAAAAAAGAAATATAATATCAGAAGTTCTCTAGCTGCCATAACGTCGATAGAAAGCAATACTCCTCATTTTCGCTTGGACAACAGGGCTAAATACCGACTGATAAGATAGCCGGCAGCGTTATAACTGCAGCTTTACCCAAAGTCTGTTGCCGTCGTTTTGCCAAAGCAAAGCCGGAAATTTGGAGTAGGTTTGTGTTGCCACCGAGATCTGCAACAATTGGAGCGCGTGGAGTGAGAGAAACAATTGCGGCAAATATGGCAAATGGCAATTGAAAAACAAAAGTCTCCCGGAAGAGCAGAAGAAATCCTATTCCATGTACTTTCACACTTTATGCGCTTAACAAAGACGCGATGACAAGATGAAGAAAAAAGACCAGCAGAAGGAGAGGACAACGAACACACACCGCAACGAGGTCAGGAGCATGCACAAGGATAAGAACTTGGACAGGCTTGTTAAATTGGACGGGAGCCGGGGCTAAGAAGCACAAAATTGGCTGTGAAATGAACGACGCATCGAGCGGGCTTCAAAGAGGGGAAGGGCTGAATTTTATCTTTTTGTGTGTGCACATTTGAGACAAAGTCAAATGGAAATCTGCATAAAACCCTTCAAGCTGCATTGATACAAGGAGGGAAGGTGAAAGATGAGCGGGTTTCAGTTGGGGTGCACACACACACACACACACACACCATAGTACACTTGAGTGAGTGAGGCGAGATCTGAGGAAAAGCCATAGAAAAGTTTCCTTTCAATTGCACAAGCACAGCAGCGCAAGCAAAGCAACTATATATATATTTAGATATATGTTTAGATATACAGAGGGATTTAACTATGCTTTCAGCTCTTTAACTTTAATAGGATTTTGCTTAAAAAATAACTCTTAAAAGCAAAGCATTTGCAGCGACAGAGAGAGAGAGAGTGTGAAAGGGACAGCTAAGGAAAAGAACTAAAATGAAGTCAGAGTGAGAGCATATAATTGGAATTAATATGCCCACATAAATTTCATTTAGAGTTCAACTAGCTGGCTCAATTAAGGGTTTAGCACACCATATATGCATGCAGGCACATAGATACACACATATACACGTATGGGCAACCCTTTAGCTCTGCTTGTGCCACACTTGCTACCACGCTGCCAACTGTGCCATAATTTACACTCTATCGAACGATAACAAACAACCTGCATAATGTATGGCGCTTTATAAACTCCAACAACTACCTGAACTCTCGCTGCAGTGCGGAGGCGTCGCAATGGGGAGAGGGTGGCGGGGCGGGGCTATTGAAGCACAATGTTCTTATTGAACGATGGGGTCACAAAGTGGCACAAACAGCGCTTGAAAATATGCGTGTGTGTGTGTGAGCGTGGTGCAAACTATAAAATACTTGCACAATCCGCGCTGCATTATCCTTGAACGCCAGCCAAATGTGCATGAAAAACGCTGTCACTAACGGGTGTGTGTGTATGTGTGTGTTTGTTGGAAGAACGAAATAAAAGGGTGGCTTCTAATGTTGTGCGAATCCCAGTTGAACCGCGAGGACGGGTCACAGAGATGGATAGAAAATCAGGCACCTTGTCTTGAATTAACTCTAAAGCATAAAAAACGGAATTGATTCCATTACACTTCCCAAATTACAACTGGAAACACACTGTTAAGGCGCAGAAGGTGAAGGGCAACCCTCGTAGCAATCATATTGCTTGCGTTGAGCACCAACCAAAGGGCTGTCCAGGCCAACCTTTACAAGCATGGAGATGGGGTTTGATGGTGGGTGGACCTGTTAGTGCTCCATGTGTTGCAGTTAATGTGCACATTCGCGCTTCATTGCTTTTGGCCTTCGCGGCGTAGTAGCAGTATTAGTAGTTGAAGTGGCATTTAATGGTTAATGTCTCGACTCGAATTCAGAACGCAGCGTTTGGGTTTTCAATGCTGATGGCCAACATTTTAGGCGGGGACATTTGCATTTAAATGTTTATTGTGCCAAAAATGAGACTCGAATATGGCAAACATGCTCTTTGCAACCCAAAACACAAGCCGACATACATGACGTATACGTAATGCTTATTACGTATACGCAGCGCATGCAGCCGGGCGAGCTGCCTGTTGGAATATGGCATAATAAAATTTTAATTCCCAACGATTGATGGGCTGCACACGCATCAATGGCTGCTCCTAAATCCTAAATGACAACAACAGCAACAACCTGCAAAAGTCGCAATAGAGAATGAGAAAGAGAGAAACACAGAGCGCGAGAGAGAGTGAGAGAAATGTCTGTGGCAGGCAACACATTAAATTTTATATGGCAGCCAGCGCTTATTTGCATATGGATACACACACACAAAAACACACATACACGTACACCCACCTACACATTCGATGTGTGCCGAGGCTGTAACATTGATTGGATTTGTTTGAGCTTTAGAGCTGCACATGCTGAGTGGCGGGCGGTGGGGCGGGAGCTCATGGGTTGAGTTTAAGTGCCTGGCATTTGGCAAATGGCAAAGAGCCTCCGCCTGTAGCTTACATACTCTTGGTAATATTTTCTCATTTGTTCGACCGAAATTGCGGCTGCATCATTTAATTTAATGCCCCTTAATTATGCCTCTGTATCCATCTTTCTCACACTCTCTTTCTCTCGCACTCTTGCATGTCTTATGTCTAATGAAATGGAATTGAGCATTGAGCTGGTCTCCCTTCACAGCATACTCCAAATAAAGCTCACTTTAATGATTAGCTTGAGTTAAAGCTCGGCAAAAGTCGAGCAGTTTAATTAGTTGTAATTTTAAATAACTGCAGCATGTTCCCTTAGTTTACAGTTTATATTTTCTACTTTAAATGATTTATTTGTCATATTTAATACTTTATTATTTTAACTTTTTTTTTGCCGCAAAGTCAAAATGTTCGCTGATCTTTGGGTATGGTCGCAAAGTCAATATTTAAATATAAAAGTCGTGAGCATTTCATGTGCCTCTACTTATAACTTCAAATTGGTGTAGTAACTAGGCAAGTCTACCTAACAATAATAATATATGTACAATAATAAGAATTAAGGCCACGGTTCTCAACCTCCTCAATGCTTATGCAACTCATCTTCCGGCACTTTACTAACTTAAAAGTCGTTTTTACTTCCTTCAATGCGTTACACTTTTCTAGACAAAAACCTCTGCAAGGGTATTAATATGCAGGTGATATCGAAATTGTTTGTGTTTTTGCGAGTACTTCTGAAGCATTCACAACCAATCTGAGGCTCACCACGTATGTACGCATTCACTATACTCCTATACTTGATTATCAATCCATTTCAATCAATATTGTGAACATCAAATCTTGACATTTAAAATACAGATGCTGCTGGCGTTGAACCGGCAACCTCCCGCTTCTTAGTCTGACGCTCAGACGACTAAGCACAGGCTCAAAACAGGCTCCTTGCAAAGAACAATTTTAATGAGCAATGTTTGACTTACTTGGGGGCCAATTTCCTAAAAGGAAGCTTCAGAATCCATAGCTCTTGTAGTTTGGGGTGTCAGTAATTCATTTGTATATATATATCTAGGTTAATGCAAATACATACATTGATTTAATGATACACAAAAAGTAATCAGAGCTTTATATATATTACGTGAGTTCATGAAAATAGAATAGAAGGTCGTCAATCTGAATTTAACTAAAAATTAAGTTAAATTAAGCAGAAACAAACAGAAAAAAGAAAACCAACAATAAAACACAATGCGCAAAAAATTTGTACAATGTGTATCATAGTCAACACCCCTCCACCCATCGAAAGCCTCGACGAATCAACAGTTTTTGCGTTGTTTATGCTATAAACATGTGACTAAATAATGTTCTTGCTGCCTGCTTGTGAATTGTTAATATTGCATGCCAGCAAATAAACAAATAGACAACAAGTAAGAATGGGAATGAGCTAATTGAGCGCGGCGGGATAATACCCTGTGGGGATTAATAGGCAGAAGTACATACGTATAAATACATAAGCAAAATGAATAGAATACATCATCATACCCTTTTTTACGCAATTTTTAGCCACAGGGTATAACAACAATGGGCAATCTGCACAAATACGCACACAATAAGCCCACCCACTGGCAGATAATAAAAGAGCGTGGAATGAGCTCTCATTATGGTTATTAAAATGATACAAGCACACGCACGAATAAAGACTAAGTAAATTGTAATTAATCAGTATTTTTTAAGCACTGACATGTTTAAATACAAATATTTAAATGCCATAAATGTCCACAATAAAGCTGAAGCCCTTGTTGCGCTGGCTCTTAAAATAGATTTTGGCAAAGTTCGTTTGTGGCCCGCCAGCCTCTAGACGGGCAAAGCCACCTTGGCCATTCCTGATTTGATCGGTGACCACAATTTGGGTGATGCGACGCTGATAACCCTATCAAGACAAACAAATCAAATCAAATCAAGCAAAGACAGTAGAAAGGCATTATAAGTAAAACCCACGATTTGTGTGAAATTATAATAACGCGACACAACGCGCAAAAATTTCGACTTCTCAGTTATGATAGCCCGCTCCAGGTGCATATCCCGAAAGATGCGAGCACCCCACGTAACGCTGTGACTCTGATTTTGTCCCTCGCTCTGGGCGAGAGCAACGAGAGAAAGTAGCCCCAAAATGGCCAGGAAACAGACTTTCATGTTGCGCGCAGTTAATTAGCGCGATTCGGACTGCAAGCCGCATTTATATAGGCCCAAAATGCTTGCATTTAGCCCAACGGCAATTGTGCACAAGAAACTTATTGTTTTCACATTCTTGATAATAAGAATTGTGTGGCCTCAGCTGGCATACCAGTCCCAAATACGCAGCTGTTTCTATATATAACCCAACTGTATCCTATGCATATGCAATTTCCAGCTACACAACAAAGCAATACAACAAAAACTAAAAAGCAAAGTAATATTATATAAAAAAACAATGCACGCAACAAAGTCAATGGGAATGTCAGGGGCAACTGGCTGGCTTAATTTCTAGCCTGCACAAATCAACCATAAAAAAAAAAGAAAAAAAAAAAAAAAAGAGAGAACAAGCAAGAAATAAGCAGAAAATGTTCAAGAAAAAAGTATTCCTCACAGCACATTAAACATGCAAATTTCGAAATGGATTACACATGAATACCTAAAATGTTTAGCTTGGGTCTGGGGCCAGGTCGGGATCAGAGCAAACAGAGCGTGCGAGCGGGATAGAATCATATGCTAGGGATACGTCCTTGCTACAGCTGTGGGCGTTGCTTTAAACTTGCTCTAAGCTAAATATTTATTTAATTTTTGTTAATTCCCCGCAACCCTCCCGCGCACCGACTCATGCCCAACTGCACAGATCCAATTTACTCAAGTACAAAGACCCTGTCGCGTATATTGTTGAAATTTTATTGTGCAAACATGAGAGTGTACAATATTTATGTTCGTCTGTGTGTGTGTGTGTGTGTATTGGCACATGTGTGTGTGTGTGTGGGGCTGAGCTTTATGGTTGCCACGTTGGTTTTGTTTCTCATTTACGTGTGTGTGGGTGTGTCTGTGTGTGTGTCTGTGCATAAACATAGTCTAAGCTTGCGACCCGTTGTTAAGTTGTGGCTGTGTGTGCGGGTGCGGGTGTGTAAACCGCAAAATAAAAACGATTTTTGGCAAACAAATCAACTAGACAACACAACAGCCACAACAAAATCACAAGCATGAGATCGTATTATATGGCAAGCCCCAGCGGGTATACCCTTTGCAGAAATAACCTTTGTGTTATATATGGACATACCTGGTATTTCGTTGCAGTTAAACAACTTTTGCACATGCTTAGAAACTTAAGTTCAACAGCAAGTCGCTAGCTTCGAGACCGTGTTTTGCTTATAGCTTAACTACAGCCAGAACAGGTTGCGAATTATAAGAGAAATTATATTAGACTAGATTGGCTACTGGATTTTCTTAAACGTACAACTATAGACTGTAGTTTAGACCGTGTATTAATAAGACAATATAGCACAGCTATATAAAATTGTGAATTAGACAAACACAAAGACCCAACGTCAAATAGGCGCAATCAGAGGTAGAATATTAAAAGGAGAAATTCAATTAGTAAGATAACAGGGCAGCTTTATGCTTAACTTATGCTCAAGGCAACTTAGGACAGCATATAGAGCCAAGTGTTACAACTTAAGTTCAACTTTGCAAACATGTTGACATAGTTGTTGGACCCTCGCCCCTGGCTATCACAATATAAAAGCAATTTTGTGCATAGGTGGACAATAAAATGACAGAATCGTAACAAGCAGCGACAAAAAGAGATACATATCTGTGTAGATTGTTGTTGTTGTTGTTCTTGTTGTACACTTTGCATTTCATAATGGATGATATAAATAACAAAAATAAGATATTTTTGGGTTTCATTGTCTTTCTTTATGTTGGTCTCATTTAAATGATGCATGGATGCAGATGGCAAATGGAACCATATGAATATTAAGCACATATTTATTTTATATTTGCCTTTCTCTCTCTTTCTCTCTGAATCTCTTTAAGTCTCCATGTCTTTGTCTCTATCTGTCTTTGACTGCTATCAATGGGCTGCGGCAAGTGCGCTTCAAACGCTTTAAATAAATTTTAATTAAAACAAATGGTACTTGATACAAAACATGACCTGCCAACACAGTAGACAGAGACAGCAACTGTAATTACAGATTGAAATCGAGAGGGAGACAGAGGCACAGGTGGGATGTGAGCATGAGAGAGAGAGAGAGAGAGAGAGAGAGAGAGAGAGAGAGAGAGAGAGAGAGAGAGTAACGTGTTGTTTGTGCATGAAATCAAGTGCTGTTGTTTTCTATTGTTGTTGTTGTTGCTGCAGCGACAAAACTACGCACACATACACCTAAATTAACAGCCGTTGCACCTACACACATACATCTACACACGCACACACACACAGTCACACAACCAAATACACGCAATGTTCGTGACAAGCTGAGACAAAACAAACAGCCCGACAGACGCGCAAACACAACTTCATTTGATTAGGTTAGCAACAGGCGAGCAGGAGCAGACCGAGCATACGAGAGAGAGAGTGAGAGGCAAGAGAGAGAAAGAGAAAGAGTGAGAGAGAAAGGTAGATGCAAAGCTCTGTCGCGCCCGCAGCAGTTTTCACGCTAGAAAATTGGCTACATATACAAACACGCATACATACTAAATTCGTAAGTGGGAGGGAGATGGAGAGCGAGAACAAATGTAAGAGCGAGACAGACTGCAACCATTAGTAAGCAGCGAGGGGACATACATCCATAAAAAAAATATGAGACGCTGGACAAATGCAAAGTGTCTTCCACTGAATTGTAATTAGATAGCAGCCCCTCCTGAGCCAACTCCTGAGCCCACCCCGAAAATAAATATAACCCTCCTGGCGGTACGCTTTAATAACAGTTATTAGCCACAAATGTGACTTTTGGGCAGCTAAGCAGCACGAAATTAGACGGCTTCGGCCCTGTAATCGGCGGCGTTTGTCATATTTGTGTTTAGGAATTGCCACTGCCACATGCCACACAGACGCTGCGCAGAAATGGAACTCGAGACATCCGACAAAATCCACTTGGTTAAGGCGACTCGTCGCAATCCCAAACCCTCTTCAATGCCATTAGGCGGCTCATTGTGTTTAGTTGTGTTTGGGCAGCAGCAACTTTGGCTGTGCCCACGTCTTTGACAATATCCAAACTTGAGCGACGCTTGACACTTGCCACACACAACAAGGGGAGAGAGTGTGACAGGGGGCGTGGCAGAGAGCGTTAGCTGAGCTGCAAATAAATGCCATTTAAGGCCTTAGTATGCTAAACGACATTAACGTGGCACCCAAGTGTCAGTTAACGCCTGTCACACACAACAAAACACAACAACAACAACTCGATGAGTGTTGAGTGCGACGCGCCAAGTTTTCCCATTTCACGCAAAATTTTCAACAGCATTACGCATACGCCACATGGACAGCAGCCAAAAAGCAGCTTCGGCAACAATTACGATACACATTTGTTAGATTTACAGTTGATCGCAAATGTACACGACTAGTAGATGCCCTGTAAATGCTGATATATAAAATAAACACGCACTTTAAAGTAAATGCTAAATAAAATGTGAAAACTATATAGGATTTATTTATTTAAAGCAACTTTTCAGAAGGTTATACGAATCATTTAAAAGCAAACACTTTAAATGATGAAGTCATGAATACTTGCCATCTAGTTTTATTTAAGGACACATTCTAGGAGTATATCAAAGATGAAATGCAATTTTATCAAATTTAAATCATATTGTACTGTTAAGGCTTCCAATCGGGAGTTATTCGTATTAGGATATATATTTTTCTAGTTTTTGAGTTAAGCGCACAATAACAAACTAAACATAGGCAAAAATCCCGCAAAAACTCTTAAATGTGGCTTATCTCAGTCACATTTAAGGCTTCTTCAAATTACAAATTTAATATTTGAGTTAAATTCATATTTTTAGCATAATACTTTTAGGGTAAAAAAAACACAATACTTATAAAGTGCCTTATTTTGTCTCAAATCTCTAGAGAACTCTTGCTTCGGACATAAAAAGTTGCTTTTGTCGTTATTCTTGTCGCAGTCGTTAGCCAGCTCCCACATCTCACTTGTGACTTTGAAAGGGTTTTTGTAGTTCGAGCAGTTTATGGACAGCTGTGGTGCACTTTCATTGTGCATGCAAATGCTGGCTGCAAGTAAATTGCAACAAATGTTGCACTCTGAGCCACAGCTGTGCGGCAAGTTGAATTGGCCTTAGCGCCGACACCAGCCCCACCCACAGCCGCGACTTGTGACAGTTTCAATGAATTCGAAATTCGTTAGCTGAACAAATCACAGCTAGCCGCAAAATGTTGACTCGACTGCCTCTGCTGTTGTTGCTTCGCATGCAAATTGGCCTTTTGGTTTTGGCCCTTTTGGGCGAAACTTCAAATTGTCTTGAAAAGTCGCTGCCGCTGATAAGGCAGCAAATAAGCTGCCAACAGTGCAGACAATTGTGACTTGCCGGTTTGGTATTTTCTTTCGTTTCATTTTACATCCAACTATAAAACTTGGCCAGCAAACAATGAAAATTACTTTTCATATTTAATTGCTGACAACGTTCTTGTGGCAGAGCAGTGCAGTAGGTGCAACAGTGCAAAAGAATGCAAACAAAGTGTCACATGAAATTAAACAAAAACTTTAAGTTGAAAAGCAATTGAAATTACCTGCCGCATGCCAACTGCCATACGCCACATGCCACATGCTACATGCCAACTGCCAACTGCTGCAACACAAACACGAAATGGCGCAAGGACTTCAAGTTCTTGACTTAAACTTGGCCAAAAATTAGACGTGCTAAGTAAGTAATGGAGACAGCAAATGTTTGATATATGCATAAGCTGTTCAGCGCATACATCACACATACACACACAAGCACACACACTCACAGACACAAAGCACACAAATAGCTGGGCTAAGACTAGACAGACTTTGAGGTGTAAAAATGCAAATTGCGTAGCAAATTTATATTTCAGCTAGCAGTTCAGTTGTTAAATTCGCATTAAAAGCACAAAATACTTGTCAGCGCAGCAGCGTACATGCCACATGCCACATGCCACATGCAGCAGCTGCAAAAGAAAACAAAATAAATTACGTTACACATACGCCGCGTTGTACGCGCCAAACCATGCGCAATTTTAGAGAATTCGAAGGGGGGAAAAAAATGAAAGGGAACTTTTCCGCCGGCATACAATGAAAATTCACTTGAAAGCATAAAATTTTCATATTAGCAGGCTAAAAGTAATCTATAATTTAACAAGTCTTTGTTTAACAAATGAGGGTCGGCATTGCCCGGCTAGCTGCTTTTACGAAAATGGTAGCACTCTTTCAAATTAAAAGAGCATAACTCTGGCAGCCTTATGTGGAACGGGCTGAATTTTCTAAACAGTCAGATATTCTGAATCTTTGTATACCTTTCAAAAGTATACACACTAATTTTAATACACCTAAAAACCAAATCTTGAAATCGATTATTATCGATATTTTGCAAATGGAAAGAGATATCGATACACCAAATAGCTTCCGAGTTCGACTCGTTCATACAGAAGAACAGATGGGGAGACGGACATGGCTATATCGACTTAGCTCGTCGTACTGATTAGGAATATATCTACTTCATAGAAATTGGGTTCAGGATATAAAACTTATGGCTGCAAGCAAAACCATAAAGTGTAGTGGATCGGCTCATGGCTCAAACTAAGACCTCGCCAATAGGTTTAGTTCGCGAAACGGATTTTCTTTGACATTAAACCAAACTTTAAATTTGATTGCCTAGTAGAAAGGAACAACTTGCCTGCTAAAATTCGAATCCTAGACCTTGTGCTGGCTTATCAGATTCCTGTTCTTCATATACCTTATACTTTTATAGCAATACAAAAATTGGATTTCCGGGTTTGATTCGATTTGCAGCCTTATTAAAAAATCTAAATACTGATCGAAGTGATACCATATTTAACAGGAACAAAATAACCATTAAGAGTCTTAAAATAAAAATTCTCTTTTACGTAAAATAGTCAAACAAAGCCACAAAGATACCCCTTATGTGCATCATTGCGCCTACAGGGTATTCAGGCAGACCCTCAGCTTATCATTTTTGGGTAATTCTAGAGTGTTTACAAAAAAAAAAAAAAAACCTGCCGCACAAAACTTTTTACTTTGTCGTTGTGAATGCGAATGTGGTTGGTGGCCAAAAAGCGAATGTTGTTGTTGTTGGTGGTGCTGCCGGGTGGTGCCGTTGGTGTTGGGGCATGCGTAGCAGTATTGCCATTCGATGTCAATTTAAAGTTTTTATTTTTATTTAGTTTTTTTTCCCTCATGCTGGGCCGGATAAAGTTTCAGCGCAAAAGTTTTTCGTATTGTTCGGAGCGGAGCTGGCGGGGCTGGCGGGGCTGGCCAGGCTAGTTGGGCCTGGGCAATGGCAAAGGCTAAGGCTAAGCTCGGCATAATCGATTTGCTTTTGCCTTTTCATTTTAATAACTTTTTTCTGCACAGGGCAACAATGGGTAGCTGCAACAAAGAGCGGCAACAATTACGTGCGGCAAACAACCAAACTGCAATCGACAATGCCAACAATGGCTGAAAGCTGGATGGAAAAGGGTGGCAAGTAGCAGGTAGCAGGTAGCAAGTTGCTAGTTGCCAATGCCAAACTGGGTTAAAGACTTCGTCTTCGTTTGCGCCACTTCCCTTGACATTTGGCGCTTGCGAGCAGCTATTTGTGTGGCAGGTGCATTCGCCTCAATGCTGCTGCTGCTGCTGCTGCTGCTGCTGCAAGGTGCCCCATAATTGAGGCACGCGCAACTCGCAACGCCACGCAAAACAAATGCTGAGTACAGCAGCAAACAACAAGATGCGGCAACAATGCGCAGCGATTTCGTGCCACAGTTTTTCATCGCTTTCCTTTTTTTTTTGGGGCAAAGAAAGCCACGGCCAGAGGTGCCGCACACAGTTTGCCGCTTGCTACGTGCCCCACAAAACTATCATTTATAATTTACAATACGCATTTACTAGTTAAAATTGCATGCAACTAATTTATTTATGCAAACACAACTAAACCGCAAATGCAACCGGCTGGCGGGGCTCGGTGCGTGGTCCAACCGCCGAAAAATATGTGCACAAAATCCTATTTTATATATAATACATACAGGAAGATATATATACATATATATATATGTTTCTTTTTTTTTAGCTGGCAGCTCTCGATGCAGTTTAATTCAATTGAAGTTGATTAAAAATTAATTTCAAATTAAATGTGCGCTCAATGATTTTGCCCTTTCAATTGGTGCGTCGAGCGTGTGTGTGTGGGTGTGTGTGTGTCCGAATGAGGGGATAAATGCGGGTGGAGAGAGCTGTGTGGGGTGTCGTTTCCTCATGTGAAATGTCAGGGCTTAGCGAGGTAGTTAAAAGCTGTCAGCCAAAGTAAAAATTCGACACGTTTTTTTCATCCGGCCGATACACACACACACACACACACGTAGCAAATGGCAAAAGTTGCCACATACTCGCACACAAACACACACACGCACAGAGCACACACATTGAGCAACTTACACAATGCTGACTAATAAGTACACGAGCAGCTCAAGCGGAAACGGAAGTTGTTGCAAAGTCCGTTGAAATCAATTTTAAAGGTAAACTTGTTACAAGTTACAGAAACAACAGCAACAACAACGACAACGTCAACGGCAAAGGCAAAACTAATTGCAATACTCATTATACCCTATACCATACAAAAGATGTGTGTGCTTGGGGTATTTTAAAGTGAAGAAGGAATGAAAATTCCATTTAATTTAACCTGAGTATTAATTGAAAGGAATTTGAAGCTTAGGTTTTTAGTATTAACAGCGACAGCAGCAGTGCTGCAAAGCGCTTTTCAATAAAAGATTAATCTTTTAATCTTGTTAAGGTTAATGAAAAAAATGAACTATGGAAAATCAACGAAAAGTAAAAAATATATTTATAAAATATGTATAGAAATGTAAATTGATGAATTGCTCAAAATAACATGAACATTGTACAGAACTGTTTGAGTTGATTTATAGAAATACAAAGTGGTTATAAATACTTGATAATTTTCTTTTCTTTGTCAATAGTTCAATATTGCACATCAAATTGAGATAAGCAAAAACAACTCAAGAAACTGACTATAAATTCAGATCTATTCCTAAAATTTCTTACAAGTTAATATCTGACAATTAGCTCTAACATGTGTATTAACTTTATAAAATAATACGCAGGGCATTTATAAGTTGTATACACATAACTTTAGCTTACTTCGCGGCCTTGTTGTTGTTAATGTGGCTTCAAACGCAGCTGTTGTTGCAATTGTTGCTGTGGCAGTTACAGTTAAAGTTACAGTTGCTGTTATCGATTGTTACACACACACACATATGTAACACTTATATGTTATATGTACGTGCTCCAGATGCGCCCCATTAGCGTTTCGTATGCCCCGGCAAAAGTTTCAAAATTTATTTGCCTCATTTTGTGCACATTGTTTGGCTGGCGGAATCTGCGTGTTGTGGCACGGTAAAGTTGCAACTCCTGCAGGCAGCAATTAAAAGTGAAGCAATCCCCGCCACTGCCCCCTCTTTGCCACGTCTAATGCACAGCACTTTAATGAACTCCCCATCCGCCGAAAAACTTAGTTGTGAGCTCCAGCTAATGGCAATTTATGTGCGTTAATAATCACTAAAATAAAAGCCAACAGGATTTAGCGAACGGCTTTTGCGTTACCCTCAATTTCCAGTCAACGTCTGCAATCAGCTTTATCAAAGCAATTTTATTCTCATAAATCTGGAGAAAGTTGTTAAAAACCCATTTAAAACTGTCACCATAATGAACGCTCAACATCCCCAGTACTTTGATTCCATCTTTCCGTTTCATTCTATACCGTTCCGTTCCGTTGCCTTTTGCTTGTTGCAACTGGAAAACGGCAGCTGCAAGTTGGCAGTCTTTCACTGGGGATGTTAATTAGAAAACTCTTGAAAATGATTAAAAACTTTCGCGGCTGTCAGGCAGCCAAAAGTGTTGCCAACTTTTTGCTTTCTGCTGTAAAACGAGAAGAGATGCCTTCTGCCTGGCTGCCAGTGCTGCCAGATACTTAAAAACTTTGCACAGGTTATTTGCTGCACTTAGAGAATCCGCGAAATATATAAACATAAAACTAAAATTAATCCTACAAAGCTAGTTGGCCTATGAAATACTCCGATTTGAAAGGTAGTCAAAAGCGCGGCTCTTTCACCAATGTTGCCAGATGAATTTTTAGCATTTTTGGAAAGGAACGCTGTATTAATAAAATCAGTGCTGCCAGATGTATAAGTTTTTTCCACATAAAATATCTCTCATCATACTAAACATTGAAAGATCAGTAGCTTTTCACATGTCCAATGTCAAGAAACAATAAAAAACTTTATCTAACGCGACTTAATGATTGATTTACAACTATTTACAGAGTAGATCACACCGAAGCATTAAATTTCAACACTTTAGGCTGACAATAAACACATGCACTCTAATAGGAAGATTCCAAACAATTTGCACAGAACAGCTCTTGAGCTGTGACACCTGCCTCAGGCTCCGCTCCGCGCCCCACTGCAATTCACTTAGCATCTTTTATTAGTGCCAATTAAGCGAAATGCTACAAATAGACGTGTAGATAAAGATGAACAGCATACCGCCGTGAACCAGATAAGCCGGAAAAACAAATTTCACAAAGCGACTTGTAACTAAAATCTGCCAGAGAAATCTCAGCGGTTGCTTTAAGTCGGATTGACTGTGTGCGACAATTGTCAGCGGAATCAGTCGACGACGCGACCTCAAAGTGTGTAGTTCAAGAACCTAGAGACAAGTAGTAGAAGAAGCAGCAACGGGAGCAGCAGTCAAAGATGTCGCAGCAGCAAACGCAGTTAATGCTAGACAACAACAAGGACAAGCCGCAACAGCCGAAGGAACAGTGGGGCAATGGTTTGGAGTTCCTCTTCTCTTGCATCTCACTGTCCGTGGGCTTGGGCAATATCTGGCGCTTTCCCTACATCGCCTTTCAAAATGGCGGCGGCACCTTTGTGATACCCTATTTAATAGCGCTGCTCGTAATTGGACGACCCGTCTACTATTTGGAGATCTCTCTGGGCCAGTTTCGCGGCGGCGGCGTGTTGCGCGCCTTCGATCTGGCGCCCTTGTTAAAGGGCGTGGCCGCCGGACAGGTGCTGGCCACAGGCGCCTCCATCACCTACTATTCGAGCATTATGGCATTAACACTGCGCTTCCTGCTGGCCTCGTTTAGTGCTGTGCTGCCCTGGAGCAGCTGCCGCGAGAGCTGGGGCAGCGATTGCTACGATGGTAGCTCGGTAAATGCCACTGGTAAAATGTCTCCCGCGCAGCTGTACTTTGAGTAAGTGAATCAAAAAGGCTAAGCAAGAAAGAAAAGTTGTCCATTAAATACCCTAGCATAAATGCGACAAAAGGGGCGATTTATAATATAGCGTGACCCGATCTGATACGACCTGAAGGGTATGTTGGGAGAATAGTTAAGTTCGTAATTGCCTTGTTTGATAGATATATTTTGAAAGACAGAGCAATTTCCCAAGTAAAAAATAATTGTTGTCCTTGTATATAGCCATATGTTATAACACTCAGTTGTTGATGAGAAGTTTCGGATATGTTTTTCCGACAAGTTTACTTCCGACAGATCGTTTTTAAGACAGCTAAATGAAGATTTATCAGGACATATTTACAACTGAGTATGTAATTTGTCGATGCAGTCAATTGGCTATAATAATACAATGCGCTCGCCTTTGTAATGCGGATCAAGAATACATATATACTTTATGTGGTCGGCGCTGTCACCAGCACATTCCATTAGACAATTATAACATATGCTCATCCTAATACAGGCGTGAGATTCTCCATGAGCTGCCCAATATTGACCAAGGTCTGGGTCTGCCCAATTGGCAGCTGGTGGCCTGTTTGGCTGTGGCTTGGATCATCATAGGCGGCGTGCTGATACGCGGCATTAAGAGCAGTGGCAAGGCCGCCTACTTCTTGGGCGTGTTTCCGTATGTGGTGCTGCTGTTGCTGCTGCTGCGCGCTGTGACGCTGCCCGGCGCTTGGGATGGCATTGTGTACTTCTTCAAGCCACAATGGCGGGAGCTGCTTAATCCGCTCGTTTGGTATGCAGCTGTTACCCAGGTGTTTTTCTCGCTGGCCATTTGCTTCGGCACCGTGATAACCTATGCCTCCTACAACAATTTCAACAAAAACGTGTACAAGTAGGTGGTGCTCGGGCACAGTTAACCGTTGGAACTACATTTGCAACCACTTCACAGCGACATTGTTATCATCACCACAATGGACTCGTGCTCCTCGATAATTGCCGGCTGCATTACCTTTGGCATTTTGGGCAATTTGGCCAAACAGACGGGCATTGCGGATATTGGCAGCGTGGTGAAGGGCGGCACCGGCTTGGCATTCATCTCCTATCCAGAGGCCATTGCCAAGTTTGAATATGTGCCACAGGTAAGCTATCGAGAACACGGCGCGCCATGTGCGCTTTAAAGCTCAACTACCTAAAGATGTTTGCGGTCCTTTTCTTTCTCATGCTCTTTGTCCTAGGCATTGGCAGCACCGTCGGCATGGGCTCCTGCATATTGCGCGTCATTCGCGACCAATTTGGCAAGCGGGCGGGTCCCAACTGGGCCCTCGCTGGCGCACTGGCTGCGCTGGGCTTCGGTGTGAGCATCGTGTATGTGACACCCGGTGGGCAGTTTATAGTCAATCTGATCGATTTCTATGGCGTTTCCTTCACTGCGCTAATACTCGCCATCGGCGAGCTGCTGGCCGTGGCCTGGTTTTATGGTGGGTTGTTAGCTCCTCCTTGTCATTCTCCTGCCTCTCCTTCGGACTGCCTTTAACTGTGCTGCTTCTCGTTTTTGACAGGCGTACGTCGCTTCTGCGCTGATATCAAATTCATGACGGGCATTGAGACGGGCTGGTATTGGCGTCTATGCTGGGCCTACATTACGCCTGGCCTGATGGCCGCTGTCCTGCTCTACACGCTGCTCAATATGAACGAATTGACGTACAAGGGCGTTGCATATCCTCATATAGCGCATGGTGAGGCAATTTGAATTCATTATATATCATTTCGATACTTATTCAGCTTGGATTGATTTGCAGATTGAATGCAGTTAATATCTTCATTATCATTAGTATATCAATGGGCTTCAATATAGAGTGTTAATCGTAATCTCTTCCGCTTTCAGTTTTTGGCTACTTCTTAGCTGGATTAGGTCTGCTGCAATTGCCCGGCTGGGCCTTGTATGCATTCTACAAGCAGCGCAAAACGGAAGGCAGCTTCTGGGAGGTAGGTGCACCAATCTATGTCCATTAATATATATTATATATTATGTGACTATTGCTTTTCAGCGTCTTTGCGCTGCCAGCAGACCAGCTGAATCTTGGGCACCCGCCATCGCCCAGATGCCACAGGACTAGATGCGTGTGAGTTCAGCAAATGGAAAATTGCTATTGGCTGACGCAGCGTATACGTAATGTGTTTAGAGCTTGTGTCAAGTGCATGCGCAAGTGTTTAGACTTGATTGTATATAGAGTACGAAAAATAAAAGCTTTAAATGTAGGGAACAAAAACCAAACAACAGAGTTCATTTTGTTCGGACAGGAAAAAAGAAGGAAAACCATTCGCGTTGGGTAGACAAAAATTAAATACGCTTTCAAACAAATATGTTTTTTTGACAGCAAAATATGATTTCTGATCTATTCGGCTGATTCTGAGAACTAATTGCTTAGAATGAGAGAAGCAGAGCTTTATTGCTAAGTTTGTTGTCATGATAAAAAATGTATGCATCCTTATCAAAGCGTTGCACGTTTCCCAGCCAAGCTAAAATGCTGCCACTGCCACTGCAAGGGTATACAAAATGCTGCAACAACTGGAACAAGGACAACAACAACTGGTGAAAGAACAACTCGAACAACAAGTCAAACAGCAAAAACAATATGGGTAAACTGAGGGAGCAGCCAACTGCAAGCGCTTTTAATTACCCCAGGGCGTGCCTTGTGCCACGTCAACAGCATGCCGCATGTGGCAAGCAGCAGTCATTGCCGTCGTGACGGAGCGTAGGATGTGCGGATGCATGGCAATGGTTGGGCGAAAGAGCTAAAGCAATTGCAGCTGGAGATGGAGATGGAAAATGGGAAATGGAACTGAAGCTGTGCTTTGTGTGTGTGGGTGTGTGTGTGCGTTTGAAATGCCAGACATGTCGGCAATGCGGAAATGCGCAAATATCAAATGAAAACAAGCGGGTAAAATGAACGAAACGGCAAATAAAACATTTTTCTATCCGTTGTTCGACGTACTCATTTAGAGCGCGTCGACAGTGGGCTGACAGGGCACAGATGAAGCTGCTGCTGCTGCTGCTGTGACATGGGCAACAAATCAAAATGACGCACAAATGGCTTATGCCATATATGTGTGCGTGGGTGGGTGTGTGTGTGTGAGTGACAAAAGTTTAAATGTAAATATGCAAAAGCAAGGCGTGCGAAATGTACTGAGTTTGGCATTGCAACGCTTTTAACGTATTACAACGCATTGGCGTGTGTGTGTGCGAGTGTGTGCAAATGTGTGTGCACGCATCAGTTGTCAAAAAGTGACAGTGTAACATTTTTTCGCTTCTTGTCCAACCCCCATTGCCGCCATCATTCACATCACTTGGCATCGCTGGCAACACGACAACAACAACAACAACAAGAACAAATTGAAGAGTGTGTTGACTTTGACTGACGCGTTGTTAGCCATGAAGTGTGTGTGCCATGCGGCGTCACAACCTTCTGGCATTGCGTGTCCTCACAGCGGGCACACCCACAGCAACACACTCACACACGCACACGCATATTAACACACACACACATGTAGAAATAGATGGCGCAAACTTTGTTGCGCTTAGTACACCCTGTAAAAAATGAACGCCAGCAGGGCTATTTTAACTAGAGTATGCATAAAACAAAATCAAAAACTATAGGTTTGATTTCCGGGCTAGGAGCTAGTTGTCATTATGGCCAACAAATTACTATCTTTAGATTTATTGCTTATCTTTAATATCTTAATATCTTTAATTTAAGCTCTCTCTGATTCCTGATAAACACTAAACAAATTATTAGAGCAGGAATGCCTTCTATTCATAAATTGGTTAGCAAAACACTTAACACTGTTCTTTATAGATTTACAGGGTATGTCTTAACTTAATCACCCAGCTTCGTTTTTCTTTGTTTATTGCTTTAACGATGCGCGTAAATCTTGACATACTTTTCTTTCAAACTGGGGGCGTCGCAAGCAGCCAAAGGGCGGGCATAGCTCTCACACACACACATAAACACTCACACAGACACATTCGCGGGCTTTTATTGGCAGCGGTTGTAGCTGGCAAGGCAACTGCTCATCTCAGCCATAAAGTATGCTTCACATGCCATGCAGCTGCCACACACACACACACACTCGCACGCACACTCGCACACATGCCTTAGACAAGTGGCACAGCTGTCCACAGTTGACTGGCTATTCATCCAATTCCTGCATCCATTTATGTAAAGTGGCCCAAGTTGTTGAGTCAGCCAGGGAGAACATCTGCAAATGCTGAGTTACCTGCCAAATTTTTCCATGTGCCTCAAAGTGCTGACTACGTTTGGTCTTTTTGATTATGAATATGAAAGCGACTCGAAAAATTGATGGCAAAAGTTGTTTATAAAACTCTGAGATGCACTTTGCACATATTGGCTCTTAAAGCGACATGGGCAGGGTCAGGGGCGATGACAGGGGCGAGAAGGGAAGGTCAGAGGGGAGGCATGATAGAATTCTCGTGAACCTAAAACGTTTATCGTGTTTCACATTGACGCTCTGGCCTACAACGTGTCGTATACTTAATGCCAGCAGCTGTTGTTGTTGTTGTCCTAGTTGTTGTCCTGCTTGCTACTGTTCAATGGCTAGTTAAGTGCATAGCCATTTAAATTTAATTGCATTCACAGTTGAGCAGTTAAGACCGATAAGCTCCAAATGGATGAAGCGTTTCATATGTTGGCCTTTTTCGTGTGGCTCCTGTCATTAGAAATTAATGGCTAACAAGTTGCCTAACTGCGCCCATTCATTGTTAGTTAGCTGGTCAGTTGTTGGCTAGTTGGTAATTAGGTAAGTTGTGTTTAAATATGCATTATGCATTGGTCAATAAATGAGACAGACTGCTTGCGCTGGCCAGTTGTCAGCTGTCGCTTGTCAATTAAATCCAACTTGTTAACTTGTTTTATGCCCAGTTAACTTGTCTGCCTTCTATATGGTCTAGACAACATAAATTTTGTGCTGCTTGGCCGGCTTTAGCTTGTCTTTTTATCTAATTTATGTCATTTACGAGCGTTTGCCTCTTATCACAGTCACAATAAATTAAAAGACTGCGCTGATAAATGCCCAGGCTGGCCAAAGCAGACGTACGCTCCTTCGCATTGCGCCCATTCCAAAGCCAATTACGCTTATTACATAATTTAGCAATAAGAACAACAACAAGAACATGTAGATAACCTGAACGAATGATGTTCTGCAATTTCAGCAAAAACCAGCAAGAATAAATTAAATAAGCTGATAGAACAGTTGTCTTGGTCTCCCAAATATTTAATACTCTTGACCGCTTGGAGCTATAAGATATAGTACTCTGATATTAATAAGATTGTGCGGATATGTTAGAAGCAGAGCTCATATTTGCCGAGCTTGCTCAAGACATCTTGAAAAACGAAAAGGTCTTCTTATAAATACTCTGTTTTTTTTCGGCTGGAGGTTCCCACGGGAGCTATTTAGTATAATAAACCCATTATGATACTGTTTAGAATAAAGTCCAAAATGTCTATTTCTATATCAAATTAACTTGGCTTCCTGATCAGTTATATATAAACTATATAAATATCGCTGTGTTTCCTTTATGCGTTACGTATTTCCTATTTATTTCGTATTTCGTATAAAAAAAAAGGCAGCTGAAAAGCCCCTAGAGAGATTCACCGAGACTTGGACGCCATGCAGTTGCTCCCAGTGGCGGGTGAGCGGGGAATTGGTAAAGGAACTAGGGATTTGAGTGACCAGCAGCAATAACGGCAGCGGCAACAGCAGCACAAAAGTAAAGTCAAACAATTAAGAAGGCCTAAAAGCCTTAAGAGCTGCCACAATTTTTAGACAAGAGCCGCACCCCATTTGCCACACCCAAGCAACTAATGCCCAACTGTTCCACGTAGTGTGGGCAACAGGAAAAATGCCTGCAACTGCAAGGAATCAAAAGGAATTCGAAGAACAAGCAGCAACAGCAATGGGACTGAAAAGGAGTTGCCATGCGTGCTGACAGCATAATGCGAATAATGTGGAAAATATTTTCCATGTCTGCTAATGTGTGTGTATGTCTGTCCGTCTGAGAGTGTGCGAGTGTGCGTGTGTGTGAGGTGTTATGCTAGGAGGGGAGAGACACAAACGAAAAGCAGCGACAGTGAAATCCTATTAAGAAGTTTGCTATCGCAAATTAAAATCTAAATACGCCAACCAAATGACGGCGACGTCTGCCCCAAGGGGGTCGAGGGGGGCGTCGAGGGGCGCCATAGCGAGCAGAACAAAAGGCGTTACGCTCCCTACACCGACGCAGCTGCTGCCACGCCCACGCACAGCTAACATTTTGAATTATAAGCAAGCGAACAATTTAATAAAGGTTGTCCCTAAATATGCACGCCAAGGCGAAAAGGCAGACTAAAGACAACCACAACAGAACAGGACAGATTCGAGGTGGGGCGGGGTAGATTGACGAGAACGACGACGAGGACGAGGACGTGGCACAGACTATGACAATGTCAAAGAGTTTGTGCACGCAATGTGGGCGTGGCAGCTGTGGCCGTGGCCCCACAAAGCAATAACAACCTACAAACAACGCGGACGACGGCAAAGTTTTCACTTTTCTTTTTATACCCTGTACCATGGCTAAGAAAGGTGTATGACATACAAGTTGATATAAATGAGTATGGAATGTTTATATATTCTTTATCAGAAGAAGAAATTTAGGCAATCCATCATTTTGAGTCCGAGAATCTCTGAGATATTAAGAGCTAGGCTATACCAACTATACCATGCCTAAATTCGCAACTTCGATAAAAGAACATTTAGAAGATACACATTTGGGAAAGTCGTCAACGACTTTCACGGCTAGTTTATCAATCCAGGATTGCTTCAAGGATATCTCATAGTCGAGCACCTTAGCTTGGAGACACTCTTATTCGTTCTTTATTTCGCATAACTGGCAAATGGCAAAAGTTTTCCATTTTTGTTCTGCCTTTGTTTTCTTGCGTTGCCATTCGCAACTTTAAGTCCTTATTTAATTGGGTGTGTGTGTGTATGTGTGTGCTTGGCTTTGACAACAACAACAACAACAATTGACAGCAAAACAAACGATTGTCATTGTCAAGTGTGTGCGTCAACCTTTGAACCTGCCTCAGAGCACATGGCCTTAAATCGTGTCCAAGCTTCTCTCGAATCCCAATACACCATCCAGCACACCCCCCGAAGCGCCGAATATAAGCGCCTGCTGTCATCCTTTTGTGCCAGCAAGACAGCTCGCTTTAAATTGTATTGTTAATTTTTGGGTTACCCTTTTTATGTCAATCCGATTTTGGCCCAAAAAGGGAAGGAGCTCGCAACTTTTTTTTGGTCCTTTGTGCGCGCTATGCAAACATTGCCTGCCAGAGACAACAACTGTCATTTGCTTAAAATATCCGAGCAGCATCGTGCCGCGTCCCCTCATCCGAACTCTTTGGCATCCTTTGAAGGATTCAGTTCGAACTGCAACAGTTTGTGGCAATTGAAATATTGTTATAGCCACAGAACAAGTTGCCTTTAACTCTATCTTGTTCAGTTTTATTGTTTTTATTGCCTATCTCTCACTCTATTCCGAACTGCAACATCCGTGCTTCTATTTGCAGAATTTCAGTTCGCCATTTGCATATTCCTAGAGCGCACAGTTTCCTGTTCCACCCCACCTGTTCCCGTTTCCATTCCCCCTCTCGCCAACACTGCTTTTAGAATTGTTTGCATGGCGTTGCTCCATTCGCTACCTCAATGCGCATAAATCAAGCGCAAAGCACAAATATTTTGCCAGCGACAACAAATATATAATGACCTCTCCGTTCTCTTATCTCCCGCTTATCATGCACCTATTCCCCCTCCCCCTCTCTCTTTCTCTTCCCTTCATGCACTGCGACTGGCTGGTGGACCCGTCGGCTGCTGAATTTGCCGGTCGCATTGACTGCATTCACAGTTATCGCGTTTCCTCTTAAATACTCTTCATTATAGGACTCTTGAACTTCGCCATGGAGTTTGCACCTGAAAACACAATAGCTCTGTGGGGTTGCTCTCAAGTTTAATTCTTCATAAATTAGATTACATTTATTATCTTCTTGGGTGGTCCAAAAGGACAACTCCTTGAATTTTACTTAAGTTCTTATTGGAAAAATGCTTGTACTTATATATGTGACTCCTTAGTTGCTTATTTTATTTAGAGTGTTCGTTTGTCAGCTTGCTTATTCTCTCTATTCTTTCGCAATATTATTTGTCGCTGCGGCTGTTCCAGTTTTTTTTTTTTTTCGTAGCGTCGCTGCGGTTTGCGCTTTGCTGATTTCATTTTGATTACGGCAAATTGTTTTTAGTTGCCGTCGTTTTCCGTTTTCCTTTTCTACGTATTTATTTCTATTCCAGCTCTTGGTGGGTTTCAATTGCGGATTTGTGCAATTTTCTTTGCCCATTATTTGCATTTCTTGCATAATCACGTTCTATTTATATAATTCTATCAGCGATCAGCACAATAATTATTTTTCTGAGCGGATTATACAAGCATTACCATTTTTATGGATATTATTTGTGCCCAATATCACAGATAAGTCCAATGCAAATAAATATGGCGTGCGCCAGCTTTGACTCCATCAAATATAAATAAACATTTTTTATTTGCAGTGTAATTTAGGCGGACCATAAATGAATACAGTTAAAGTAAACGACTTATGCAATTGATTATGTACATATATACTGGCCATTTCGAGGCGCCATATTAAAGGTGGTAAGTGCGTTAAAACAAATATCATTAGCGAGTGCTGATCGACTATTTAATACTTCGCACTCAGTTCTAGAATAAGCATAAGCATTTACTGGAGTGTTTTGTAGTGAACAAAAAGCACAAATAGCAGCAACGTTTTTTTCAATTTTCCCAACAGCTCGCATAACAAAAGAATTCGACGAGGTCACTAGGCACGTGCTGGAGTTTTCAAAATGGCGACCAGGACAACAACAACAGCAACAAGAACGGCAACCAAATTAGTCGTTGTGAATGCAGTTTTTGTTCTGTTTCATCCTTTTTGTTCGCTTGTTGTTTTGCCCTGATTTGATGCTGCTGGGTTTTTAGGGCCACTTATTATTGAAGCGAGTTATTTTCGCTGGCCCATCGTCAGCTTTTTGGCGCACAAGTTTTAAATGAAATCAAATTAAAATGCATGCGGCTCTTTCTAAAAAATGAAAACGGAAAGGAAACCCTTTTGGCAACGATGAAGTGCTGCTGCTGTGGCAACTCTGGCAGCCAATGGCAGCTTAATGAGCAGCCAACTTCACTCCAGTATTCACTTCATTTTAATTTGCGTCTGGTTTTTGCCCTTTGCCAGAGTTGCCAGTCGGCATTTCTGGTTTTCTACTCCTTCTGCTCCATCCATTCCACCTTACCATTCGCAAACTCTGCGTTGTCGTAATGCAAATTGGTATTTGCTGCGTCTCACATTTTGTGTCAGCTGTCAAGTTGACATTTGTCATTCTCTATGCATTTCTGTAGTTTCAAATATCAATTTTAAGAGCTGACAAATTGCAGTGAAATACGTTGCAAATTGAAATGAATTGTGAGTGGGAGCTGTGGGCGTCGCCTCTATCAGCAATCAACTAGGCAAATTACTTCGTGGCCCATTCCTCATTACGGATGTGTATGTGTGTGTGTGTGTCTACATTAATGCGAGCTGACTTATGTCATATTCATGGCAGGCAGGCACACATGCCACGCCCACACACACACGTGTGCAGTAGGCACGCTTCGATTAAACAAACCTACTCAAATATGCAGTGACATTGAGGCAAAGACAAAAGCCTAGCGTCACGGCAGCGCAAGCTATGTGTGTGTGTGTGTGCGTCTATGAGGCAATGGCACGCACACACACATAGTTGCAGCCGATGGCAAAGGTCAGAGACAGTTGCATAACGTAAAAACAGGACACGGATGCGACTGCGGCTTCTTTGTATTTGGCTAATTAAAAAAATAAAGCTGACGCCTGCTATTGCATAAGCCAAAAAAGGGGCAAAGCAGGCAGCTGTCAGCGCCAGCCGTACGCGTTTATGTGTATGTGTGGGGGTGTGTGTTGCAAAATGTCAACGCAACGCATGCAACATGGACGACGCTCAAGGATATGCACATAAACAAACAAAAAATGGAGCCCGTGTGTGTATATATGTGTGTGTAGTGCTTGCGTAACGTAAAAGTAGCCTTGAACTGCAGCCTGTCGCTTTCAATGGATTTGCATTCCATGCGCTGCTCACACACACACACACACACACACACACTACTACCAAGGTCACGCCAACGCCAGCCGCAAATGACAGTTGGAGTGAGCGGGAGCGACAGAGGGTTATGACATTCACAAGGCGTTAAACGCACACACATACACTGTCAAGCCGCAACCGAAATGTCAGAAAACTGTCGCGAAGTTGTGCCTAATTGGCGCTCAAACGAATGCAGCGATAGAGGCAGAGAGAGAGGGAGAGAGAGAGCCGTAAAGCGACAACAACAGCGCACTATTAAATGCAACTGTGCAAGCCAAAAGCAGCGCACACTTCTCGTCATTCAATGCGTTCATTCTCTGCAATATAATAACGGTTAAGCACGCAGAGTCAAGCAGCGGGCCGCGGCGATGGCACACAAACAAAAACTCAAAAGGCAAATGTGCAAGCAGGGCAGGCAAACGAACAAGGCGAAACAACAGTTGGATAATGACGTCAAATGAAACGCAGAGAGTCGGCGAGAGTGAGAGAGAGATACCCGACGAAGCCTGCTTAAGAGGGTTGCCAGATCAACAGCAGCAGCAGCAGTAGTAATAGGAGCAGACGAGGGTTTGTATCTTTGTCAGCTATAAATAACACAAATGCTTAACTATTTGCATATTAAATAAATACTCATTTGTTTTATATATAGTATAGTATAGTATTATGCATATTAGATTGTCTCGCATTGCCCCAAAAGTCAGACGCTTGCCAATCAGTCAATTAGATAAAATACACAACACTCACACTCACAAATTCGCATATATGCTAATAGCTTGAGTTGCCTTTGAGTCACCCTCGCACACAGACACAGACACACACGCAACTTAACTCGCATCTGAACGTAAAACTGGCGCTGCCCGGCGAGCCATTTAATGGCCTTTTCGCTTTTACTTGCCGCTCGCACCCACACACACAGGCACACACACACATACAGTATAGCCCCTCTAGCCTTAGAAATCGCTATTTGGTTATGCTGGCAGCTCTTTCATTTATTTTTTTTCTGCCTCTCTTTTTCTCTTACGGACTGCGCGTTGTGTGCAAGTTGGTCATAAAAATGGAGTTACATTTATGACCCACATCAGGAGCGCACAGATAGAAACGAAACGCCAAATGAGTTGGCCCCAGGAGTAGGGCGCGGGGAACCGTGGGGCAGAGCGCTGCGAAAATTGCGAGCGCTGCGTGTCGGTGGGCGTGTGTTGGCCCCTGCCATCGCTGTCGCCTTTAAGCAAGCTACATTCACAAGAATATTTTATTTTACTGTTATTTTTGTTTGCTATTTTCACTGTGTACGCTTTGTTATTGTGTTTCCCTCTTCCCTCTTCGATGGCCATTTACTTTTGACTTCAGTTCTACCCTTTGCTCTTTTCACAATTGTTGTTGCTGTGTTTCTTCTTCTACTTCTAATTCTACTTCTTCTTGTTCATTAAATTGCCGCCGTTCTTTTTTTTTTTGCCGCGCGGCCTCAGTTTTCGCCGCCAAATCGCCGTTAACTCGTCGACGACGCCGACGTCTTTACTTGTTTGCCGTACAAATTTTCAAGGCTAAATATGCGTATCGGATTTTGTTGAGGTGCACAAGGATTTGCGTGTCACACACACACACACACATGTGTGTGTGCTAGCCACTTAAACTTGCGCCTGCAGTTAACTTACCCCTTGTTCCGCTTCGGTTTCTGCTGCGGCGTCTTTGGTCATTAAGTATGCAGCACAATTTTGCATGCGCATGCAAGCGCCGCCATTTAATCTTGCGCCCGCCGCTACCCCCTCGCGTCTTTCGCACACTGACCCAGTTCGCTTTGTTTTGCGTGTTTATCTTGCACACGTTTCTATGCTATGCGGCTGCTGTTACCGCCTGTTGTTGTTCCTGTCGTTGCACTGCTTCTGCAGAGTGCCGTTGTTGCCTTTTAAAGGCAGCTCTTTTTTGATATGCATGCAATGGGTAAAACTCTAAGTAACGGGAACTACTTTGCTATGTGTTGTACTTTTGCATATTTTTGCTTTTAAAAGCCAGTTTTTCTTTATCTCCTTTAGACGCTCAGTAACGGGAACTGCAACGGTCACTTTTACAGTGGGTGCGAATTGTTTGTTGCTGCCTAAAGCTGGTGGCTAGAGTTGAGCCCAAAAGTATGCGACATTAAATTGATTACACTTTCACCGTTTCTGTCACTCGCTTTACGCTTTCTTTTCCTTTCTATACACTTAACCCGCTCGTGTGCATTTTTTATGCGCTTGTTTTCACTGTTTGTTTTCCCATTGTGTTGCTAATTTCGTTACTTTCACTTTGTTAGGCTTTCGCCTCGTCTGCCTGTGCGTGTATGTGTGCACTGCTGTGCCTGTGTGTTTGAGTGTGTGTAAGCACACGTGTGCGTGGCTGCAGCCAGTTTCGTTTACTGTTTCTGTGTGTGCGTGTGTGTATCTGTGCGTCGTCAGTTTTCGTTATTCAACTTTTGGTAGCGCATTGATTTTTCACTTAACTTTAATTTGTTGTTGCCTTAATTAAAATAATTTTTTTGTTTGCATTTCTTAACGCAATTTCTCGTGGAACTTTTGTTGCGCGTTTTTCATTTCGTTTTGATTGCTTTTCATTCCAGTTTTGCGCGCGCTTGCCTAACGTTCAACGTGTGCGTCTGTGTGTAAGAGTGTATGTAGCAGGTGGATAATAATATAGTTTGCTCGATGCGGTCCACGGTCGCAGCGTACGTCCGCTCGCCACGACTCTTCACACATTTCTGAGAGCGCGCGCTTCGAAAAATGTTTACGTTTGGCTTCCTTGCATATCACACTATCTCCCTCGCACACTCTCTGAGTCTGTGACTTTGCAATTGGCTTTGCTTTGCTTTTGCGTGCGCTCTCTGTTTTTGCGGAGTATTGGAGCTGAGCAAGCGGCGCCAAAATGTCTACGCATAAATAATACGCACGTGGCTTGTTGAGGCCAGAGAAGAGAGGCAGAGTAGATGAGGTCTAAGATTCACTCTCACTGCAAAGTAAATCCTTGCAGGCAGGTGCGTGAGTTAAAGTGAGAGAGGTATATATGGTAAGCCATGACGACATCGCACGTACCTAACAATGACTGACAATAAACATTTTAAAGAAATATAAATCCTTTTTTGAAAGTTTACTTGACAAATAGGTGCAGAAATTTCTATAGCATATGCGCCATGAACGTTTATATGAGTTTTATAGTGACATTTTTGATATAATTGGTATAAACGAAATGGCTATTGAATTTACAAATTAGATTGCAGGTGCTCTCATAATGTAATGAGTTAATTATTTAAGGTATTTTACTTTTGTACTTTTTATGTATTTATTTTTTTTTTCAGTCTGCTATGCCTTATTCATTGTATTTCATACAATTATAACTGTAAACAAATCGCAGGAGAGAGATTCCGATGCAAGCACACATATATTTGAATTGCGACGCTCTCTCTCTCACTCTCTTTTGCTTTTGTTTTGGCTCATGCGCTCTCTGATATTCGCTCAATGCGCAGCTTCTTAATGTCTTCTTTGGCTGCTGCCCTCTGCCGCTGCCACCAATGCCAACAACTTATGCTTCGCTGCCGCTGCCGCTGCTGCTGCCGCTGCTGCTGCCGCTGCTGCTGGTGCTGCTGACGAATGCGGAGCACGTGAACTTTTGTGTTTACTTTTTAATTTTCTTTCAGCTCGCAGGCCTTAGTGTTGTTGTTTTCCTTGCTGCCTGCTGGCTGCTGGCTCTGCCAGTGTCTGTTGCTCGTTGCTTTTGTTTTGCTTTCTGGCGCTGTGCTTGTTTTGCATTGCATTTCCATTCATCGCATCAAAGTCGAATTTCTGTGAGGTTAGGTTGAGCACTGAGAACCATGCCAACTGCCTTACCATTTACTTAGCCAGCGATCGACATGGAAATTGGCGCAAAATATGCCCCAGTTGGTTCCCTAGGCGCCTGTATGCTTATGTTGTGGCTGACTTGTGCCTGCTTATTCTGTTTCTGTTTCTGCTTCTGCTGCTGCTGCTGCTTCTACTTATGCTAGCACATTTTGGGAGCCCAGTTGCACTTTGCATATGCTAGAAATGCTGCTGTTGCAGGTGTGTGTTTCTTTGAATGCACGTGTGTGTGTGTGTGTGCTGGCGTTGTACATTTTCTTGAATCATGTTAAATCATGTATGCTGATTGCCCTGCGGTCTCAAGGATACCGCAATACTGCAGACAGCTGCTGGCTGCATGCTGATTTGCATCCAAATTTTGTCTTCTTTTTCGAAAAGATTTGTATTAAACCGAAAAAACTGCAGCACTGTTTGGGACTCAGGGCTGCCAATTAGTAAATGTACAAGCCGCACCAAACAGATGCAAATCGTGCAGCGTTGCCAGAGTTTTGCCTAAATACGGTAAACAAAGGCTTTGATTTTGGGCAAACGAAGTGCATGATAAGCAAATAAACAAATGCAGCCTGCAAACCGATGAACACAACAATGGTCGGCCTGAGTGGAGCGGGTGGGGGTGGTGTCTACAGCAACGGATATGCCGGCCGTAACTCATATTGTTGACCCCCCCATTGCCATGAGTAATTGCTCTTGTGCATGCGCCACTGTCTATCTGTCTGGCAATACCCACAGCGACGCTGTGTGTGTGAGTGTGTGCGTGGCTCACGTAGCGCCCACCACATCAAGGTAAGCTGTTGATTTCATGCGACGCTTTGCGGTCGGGGCAGATCCCAACCAAACCCTGCTGACAATGCGCCGTATGCCAAATGTCGCATGTGTGTGCGTGTGTGTGTGCCTATATGTTTGCATATTTTGTTGAGCTGCTGCGGTTCATAATAACATAAGCAGCAACTAAAAGCTGAATGCTAAAAGGTCAACAGTCGTGCGACAAATGCAATGGTAAAAAAAACATTTTACACTCAGCCCCCTCACCACCCCCCCCCCCTACACCCTTTGTAGCATGTTGTATGCTCCTGTATGTTGTATGGCATGCAAATTTCAGCGAACAGCTTTGAGTGCTGCCATAAAATGTGACAAAATGGAGTCGTGGCTTTCGGGCGCAGCAAAGTATGCTATGAAAAATGTAAAACAGAAAGCATGCACACACACACACACACACAGAGGGCTGGTGTGAGTTTGACTGGTTTATTTTCGTATTGAGTCGATAATTTAATGTACGTACAGACACTAGGGAATAGACCCCAAAGGGTTGATAGCAGTCACCCAAAAATACAAAAGCCCACGGGATGAACCCTTTTTTCTTTGAGTGGGTGGGCATTTGGGGCATGGCCTTAATATAGAATTTGCACAGCCGTTAAAGCATTCATTTCACTGACCAATTCAACACACTAAATAGTGCTCAACAGTTGTTGTTGTTGCGAGTATTTCTGTGGTCCCAGCATATCTTCTTATCCCTACAAGCTATGCTAAGCTGTTTTTGAGCCTTACAATCTAGAATACTTAAATAGATATTTAGATATCAAATATAAATATATGGATTCTGTGTGGATAAGTCTTGTAGAACTTGGATTTGTGCTCTGCCTTCATCTTGCCAAACAAATATAAACAGCAGTAGAAGAAGACAGGCTCTGGCAATGAAATGGAATTGATTTATATTTAAACAATATATTAAATAATGCGCTGATAAGTATGCTACAAAAAATAGATATATAGAAAAACTTTATTAATTTATATTAATCTAATGCTTTTATTGAATTTATAGCATGTTTATTTTTTTTGTTCAATTAAAAATTAATGTATTTAATACAAGTTTTCAAAGACCAATTTTAAAGGCAATTTAAAAAATAAACATTTCACGGGCTGCCGCACATTAAATACCCTCTAGATATGTACAAGTTGTGCGATATATTCCTATATATCAATATATATAGTATTCTAGTGTTATGGGGATCATAGTGAAGCTCGTAAATGCCAAGTTTGAGATATCTTAAGATACCTGGATAAAGGCCGATAAAGTTTCTTTGCGTCCAAACTTTGCTCCAAAAGAACGAAAGTGTATCATAAATGTCGACTGCATTTAGTTGTGCGGCGTTTGGCACAAAGCCAACCGCAGATTGTAATTAATTGAATTTATGTGATGTATGGTCCTTATATCATGTGTGCATGCACGTGTGCGTGTGTGTGTGTGTGTGTGTGTGTGCACATTAATCCCATATGCAAATTGGAATCAAATGCAGATACTGTTCAAATTAGCGACTAATACACAACTAACCGCAGACTAAATAACTCATGCACAGCCAAAAATGTTGCTATAAATGCGATTCCCAACGGCTTTCAGCTAAACATAAAGCCTTTGGCATACAATTTTATAATTAAACTCAATATTATAAGCTATATAGCTTACAATTATTATGGAAATTGAATATAAAATTGCTTTGCGTCCAATTTTAATGCGATTGCCTGTGCCCGTTTTATGTGTATGCAGTCATAATTATAACGAAAAATTACGGATTTAATGGCCTTGTAGATATTTGCTTAACGGCTTTGCAGATGTGTGAGAATGATAAAGTTAGACTTTCGTGAAAATATCGCGGAAAAAGGAATATTTCATATTTCTAGCGACGCTTTCCACAGAGCTATATAACCTAGGATTGAGATCTTGGTAAGATTTGGCTTGCTAGTTACACGAGTTAATGTCGGTTTTTTTTAGGATATCCTGATAAATAAAAAAGTCACAAGATGGTTCTTATGGCAGCTATATGATATAGTGATCCGAATGTGGATAGAATTTGGCATATATATTAGCAGGAGACAGGAGAGTAGAAATCTTATAAACTTACTAAGCTTTTCATATAAGAACTTAATTGTCGACCGTTTGTTTTTAAGGCAGCTTTATGATATAGTATTCCGATCCGGTCTGTGCTCACAAATGTACTACCTACAACAGGAAGACGGATCTATGCGAATTTTCAAGGCGTTGGCTTTAGAAACAAACAGACGGACGGACTTGGCTGTTGATGCCGATATAGAATATATATATATTGGTATACTTCACAAGATTTGAAACATTCTATAAAGGTATTAAGCTGTGTAATATAACTAAATCTATTTAAACTGAATGTTTATTTATAGAGAGTTATATAATTTGCTTACACAATGTGTATTAAATACTCGAAGAGCAGCAGCTCGTCCTTATTTTAAGATTAAGCTAAATTTAAAAGCTGTTAGAACTTTTGTTTTTGTTTGCAACACGACAATATTTGTAACAGTGTATATATAGATGTGTTGCTTGTAGCTCAAACCAATTCCTTGCCCCCCGCAGCTGCTGCCAGGTAACACAGGTTTTTTTTAGAAGCTGCCGCAGCAGTTTAGAGATTACGCAATCAGCTTGTCAGTTGGCATTTGGCTGTTTGTTTTGCATTTGCAGCGAGTGCCGCTACGTGCCGCCCGAGGGTCAGAGGTTGCCAGGGGTGGGAGGCGGTGGGCGGTGCTGGTGCCAGCTGCTGCTGGCACAAGATTGTCACTTGAATATTCCATGCGTGATCGATGCACACGGCACGCGAAGCAGACGCTGTACCTGAAGCACTCCTGGGCTAGAGCAAGAAGCCAGCGGAATTGAATTTAGTGCGCGTCGTCTTGGCGCTCCCCGCACCCTTTCAGCTGACTCTCGGGGGCAACATTAATGTCAATTTTGATGCCTGATTTATGGCAACGCATTTGGGATGTCGTGTCACGGCCGCATGACTTCATTTGAATTCAATTGGCTGGATGCAAAGATGCGGCTCTGATTTACCCAGAACTGGCAAGGAATGCGATGAAATAATTCCATATATATGTATATATATATAAATATATATATGTGTGTGTGTGTGTGTGTGTGCGCGCGTGTATACAGCTTGTCACGCCTGAAGAGCACGTGACCCGCTAACCTTAAAAGCGTTTGCCGCCTCTCCGGCTGCCACGCCCACGTCACTGCCAAAGGGCAATAAAAAATTGACAACGTCAGAGAAAGCGACGCCCACTACAAAAATAAGAAAAGTTGCTGCCACTGAATTTACAACATTGTGTAGCGACCCACCCACTCACCCACCCCTTGCCCCCTACACACACCTCTACAGCCTGCCACTGTCTATTCCTAACAGCTGCAAAGGCTCTGCGACACAGTTACGAGCCTTTTGCTTCCTTTAAAGGATGCTGCTAAGTGCAGCCTGTGCCGAAATTGCGCTGCATTTGCATTGTTAGGCCGCAGCCCTAACACCTATTGCAAGCAACACCTGCCATCGGCCATGCTTTACGGTTATTAAAGCGCCACCTGGCGGCAGGCGGCGGAAGCACTTTGCCTGCAGAATTTATGACCAAGATTTGGCCAAGGTAAACGCATGCCAGTTTGCATTCGCAGCTGATAAAGCTGTTCGCACTTGCCACATTCGGTTGCAGCTTTAAGTCGCCTTCAACAGTGTATGCCCAGCTGTGCTGTGTTGCGCAGTGTAATTTACAGTTATGTCATGCCCGTCAACTTGTTTGGCTTTCATTTGCTGTCCATGCAGGAAGGCGGCCTCACTTGACTGCGACACTTGGCAGTAATCCCCGTCAAGCGTCCAATTCTCTGTATATAATCCATTAAAATGAAACGCAACGAGGGCCGCTACAAAAGTTGACCAACTCGAACTATTGTGCACTAAAAGTAACAAAAAAAGTCATACAAATGGAAAACAGCTCAAGGATTTTCACAAATATCTTTAAAAAAAGGGTCTTTGAACTACTTAGAAGTCAAATCTATTTGATTATTTGTCGTCTTATCTATTTAACCTTTTCTTCTTATACAGTGAAGGCTCACATAACTGGACCGGTGTTTGTGGACGGTTACCGGAGTTTTCACTGTATATCTTTAAGGTTTCTGTTCGTTTCTTTATCTATTATTTTCACAAGTTTTTATTTAAACATATTTTTTCTTATATTCTACCATTTTTTTCTGATTTTTAATATTTAATTAGTTTGCACGAGGTCTGGCATTTAATTTATTTAAATATTTTTATTTTAGATAATATTTAAGGTTTATATAGAGGCCACGGTTTTGCGTATGTCGAAAGTTTAAGTACTGATCAAAATAATGTTGGAATCGCTTCACGTCACATTTCACAACTTCTCAAGCAGCCCTCGCTTGGCTAAAATGTTCGCAGTGCTCATCCACTTGGCTCCGCTCTAAGTGTGCTCAATGCAGCACTGAAATTCATTTAACGACTTGGCGCACTTTAACAACGCGCACACACACTCATTCGCACACACACACACACATCCGCCACACACACATAGCCGAAAAAGTACACATGAAAAGTTGTTCCTGTTGCGCGCACATTAAGTTGGGTTTTTTTTTGGGGTGTGAGGAAGGCGGGAGAGGATGGGAGTCGTGTGGCAGGCGGCTGTAGAAAGACAAAAGTCGAAAATGGATGTAACTGTAACTTGACCTTGACACGTTCGACGTTCCAAGCTCTGCGCTTGTCACTCCAGCTGCCCTCGCCCGCGCCACGCAACCAGGAACACGCCCCCCCTCCACGCCCATGGCAATTGCCGCTTGACGTTTTGGGCGCTTTTTTGACATTGGTTTGGCTTATGTAAATTCAATTTTCTGTTTGATGAATGAAAGCCTTGTACAATTTTCTATGCTTGTGTGTGTGTGTGTGTGTAAGGTGTGTGTGTGGTGTGCAGCCTGCAGCTATGCAATGCACTTTCGCGTCTTTGGAACAGGTGGAGGAGCCGAGGGTGTGGAGCGTGCGCCGCTTGATTTACACAATCCGCACACAATTTGACAATTTGAAATTAAATTCGAGGAGCTGGCCAAACTTTGCCAAAGGTCAAAATGTTAATGTATTTGAAATGAGGCAATGCCGCAGCAGATGCGAGATACGACAGAGAAACTTTTACTTTTACTTTTGCCGTATCTGACTCGACTTCATCGTCGCAATTCTGACATTTTTGTGGCAGACCCAAAGTGGAAAACTTGTCCATGTTTATTCATCCATCTCGACATGCCCGCCAGCCGCACGGCAACAACAACAACTGTGGCCAGTGTCTGCCTACAAGTGGCCGGACAATCGCACATGCTGCACAAACGCCAGGAGCCCCTGTCTCCATCTCTATCTTCATCTCTATCTCTATCTCTGTCTGTGTCTGTATCTGTGTTTGTGTCCGTCGCGTGGGCGCCTAATGCGATTTACCACACGTAGACAAGATACTGGACTGGGCAGACAGCTCAAAACAAAAACTCGAACTTTGCTTGGACGTGGGTGAGCTTCCCGCCCATTTAGCAATGAGTAGCACATTGGGGCTACATTGTTGTATTATTTATTCATAAACACTTCAGGCATAAGTAAGTATTGCAACATATTTGTTCTTAGCCTCGATTTGGGTCCAAGACGCACAGCATCGACTCAGGATCTGTTACGCAATCTGCACAACAACAAAATAATCAAAATTATTGAGAAATTGACCAGTTGCAATAAGCCCGCGAATTACCTGCTGCAACGTTGCAAACAGACGCAGTCAGCGCCCAAGCAGCAAGAACTAAAATCTGGACGATGCGTTCCATTGAGAGTATTTTTTTCGAATGTTGGGTTTTTTTTTTTTGCTACTATGCTGCGTAAAAGATCAGCTCAGAATTCTATAAACAAAGACCTACATAATATATAATAGAATATATATGAGCTTATTGCCTTTTCGTTATCAGCTAACAGATTACTTATTTTAATAGTTCAAATCAACAGCTGTGCGTATGTAACCTATTTAAGTTATCAGTATTTTTGAGCACTTGCTTCAATTCGAGCTTACATTTGGATACAGACTTTGTCTCTGTTGACATTTCAATAAGAATTATATTCAATTCAAATCCTATTTGTGTTATTCTACTTTCGAATTGTCGTTGATAGCGCGCTGATTAACTTTTGTGGCGGTCGGTCGATATGCTGTAGATATAGTGTCCACATCAAAACATAGAATCCAACTTGAGTTGCGCGCTCAAATGTATTATTTATATAAGAAATGCCACACAACAGTAAATAGCAAACAAACAACGAACATTGTCAACACATAAATTGGTATCCAACTGCTTGTACAAATCACACAACTTTAATAAAATTAATCTAACGTACAATTTGCTCACACGGCTGTAACACGACTGCGACAATGTTATCGATTGTACAGTGTGTGGGGAGCATTTAACTACGACCCTGTTATCGATGTTAGCTGTGTGAAGCAGTTAACAGCTGTTAATAACAGCTAGGCAACATTTTTAGTATTCACCTAACAGAAACATATGTTTTTGTTTTTAGACAAAAACTAAGTGAATAATAGTTTGTAAATGAGTGCTTAATGAACAAAGTAACGCCAAAAACTACATACCCAATGGACGAAAAGGACAATCCGTTTGATATGGACAGTTCCAGCTTTGATGCAGACAGATATCTGGAGAAGCTGCTGAAGGATTGCTCGTTGAAGCAAATCATGGACACGGAGGCGGCCGTCGTGAAGGACACCCAAACGCTGCACTCGGACATGCAAACGCTCGTCTACGAGAACTACAACAAATTCATCTCGGCAACGGACACCATACGCAAGATGAAGGATGACTTCAAGCAGATGGAGACGGATGTGAATCTGCTGATGACCAAGATGCAGTCCATCACGACGTTCAGCGAGCAGATCACGGGCACACTCCAAGGCACACGCTCCCAGCTGTGTCGCCTCTCAGAGAAGCACTCGCTGCTCAAGCGCCTGCAGTTTCTGTCCACATTGCCAGCCAAACTCAAGTCGTTGATAGAGGAGCAAAACTATGCGCAGGCTGTGCAGGATTATCTGCACGCCCAGAAGGTGTTCGCCCAGTACGGCAGGCAGCCATCCTTCGATGGCATTCAGCGTGACTGCGATGCGATAATGGCCGAGCTGAAGGAGCGTCTGCGCCAGGACTTTCAGCGAGCGGGCAATACAGCCCAATCGCTGACCGAAATTGGAGAGCTGCTGCTGCAGCTGGACGAGAAGACCTCGGATTTGGCCAGCGAGATGTTGAGGTGTGCTGCCAAGCGTCTGCACGAACAAATTGTCATGCTGCAGGATCAGACAGAACGCGATATGCTGGAGTTTGTCGACATGGGCATCGATGGCTTCCTCAACGATCTGGCGCTGGTGGTCACCTCATATTTCGATATGTTTGTGGCCAAGCACTACGAGCACGAACGGTGAGTTAAACAATTTCTAAAGGCACATTGCTAATGGCTCTCTCCATGCGTTTACAGCGATGACTTCCAGGAGAATGCTCTGAACGAGCTAAACCTCTTTCTCAATGAGAACATAGACAAGTATCTGACGCTGGTGCAGGATCGCGTCGAATCGGACATTGGTTATGGCGATACGCAGGTCATGCTGCGTGCCTTGGATCGCCTGCATCGCCGGCTGCAGGCCATGCGCAACATCTGTCGCGGCCTTCAGGTGCAGCGCAACACGCTGGACATCATCATTGCGGCCGCCCATCAGCTCTGCGATGCGCATGGCAAGAGCCTGAGGGATCACTTTGCTGATAGCCTGAGCGCAGTGCGTCTGTCGCTGGTGTCGGCCAAAAGCGATCTGGCTGCGGGCGTGAATCTCAATGATCTTATCAGCAATCTGTATGTGGCCATGGTTGAGAAGATAAAGGGCGTGCTCCAGGATTTAATGATATTTCTGCGCACCGATTGGTCCTTCAACATCAAAGCCGAGCACAAGGGCGCTCTGTGTGTGGAGGGGATTAGGGAGAATCTGCTGATTGGCTTTCTGCGTCACATCTCCAAGGTAATGTGCGGCTTTGCAGATGCCTCCAGCTCCAGTCCTCCCAATTTGCTGCTGGTACTCTCCAAGACTTGCCTCGAACTGGAACAGCAGGGTGTGCATATACTGGTAAATCATCTGATTGAGATCTTTATAATTTATAGTAATTACATTCGCCTGCCTTGCAGATTGCGCTCGTCGATGATCTTTACGAGATTGAGTCGGAGAACAGCGCCACGCTCACACACGAAACGGAAATCTGCGCAGAGATGCGCGAGACAGCACAGTCACTGCTGGATGCCTATGTGCGGCTGCAGGGCACAAACATATCCCAAATGCTGCGCAAGAGCGTCGAGACGCGCGACTGGCTCAACTGCCTGGAGCCTCGTTCGGTGCGGGCCGTGATGAAGCGCGTCGTGGAGGAGCTGGGCAACATTGAGACTGTGGTGGCTAGTCTCTATGAGAGCGCCGGCAATCCCGGATTTCGTACCACGGCCAGCAGCGATTCCAGTCGCAAAACCTACTTCAGCAATTTCAATGCCTCCAAGCCGCAGTATCGCTCCAACTGGTCCAACTACACGCCCTCGCAGCTGGAGTCCAGCTATGTGTCCAACATACATCGCCTATTCTCGGAGCGCGTGGACATATTCACCTCTGTGGAGTTTAGCAAGGCATCCATTGTCATGGGCATCATTAAAATTGGACTCAAGGTGGGTGCTTCTCAGCTTTGTTGATTGCTTCAGTCTCTAATTGTTTCTCTCACAGACGCTGCTGGAGTGCGTGCGTCTGCGCACCTTCAGCAAGTTTGGACTGCAGCAGATTCAGGTGGATGCGCACTATCTGCAAATGAATCTTTGGCGCTTTGTCAGCGATGAGAAGTAAGTGAATCATCTCTGCGAAGAGAAGACTCTAATGTCCTAAACTTAACATTTACCATTAAATTTACAGCCTGGTTAACTTCCTGCTGGACGAAATACTCGGCTCGGCGGTGCATCGCTGTCTGGAATCGGTGCTAATGGAACCGAATGCCGTGGAAATCATTTGCGAGCGTGGTTAGTATTCCACACAGAATATCTCTGTGCAACATTCCTGGTTTGAAGCCTGGCTCTAATCTGTGTCTATTTAATTTTGTTACTTGCTGCTAGCCTAAGGATTTTACTTAATATAAAAATATACTAAATATTATATACCATATATATAAATAGTAAACAGATTGTCTATTCCGCCGGCTGTGGACTGAGTGTGAGCATGAACTCAATGTCCTCGCCCTTGAAATCACCATCGCTGTGCTCCGCCGTCGTGGTTACGAGTATATTGTGCGTCTCCAGCTCGCCGTCGGTCTCGCCCGTGGTAATGGTTATCAGGCTCGTTTGAGATTTGCTTGGGCTTGTGTTGTCGCCCATGCGATTTTGCATGCGGGCCTTGCGCGCCTCCTCGAACTCCTTGGGATGGCACTTTTTTCGATGCGAATGCTTGTTGGCATTCGAATTGAAGGTTTTCGGACAGTGCGGACACTTGTAGAGCACCTCGCCGGTGTGCGTGGCCATGTGCTCCTTGAGATTGATGGCCTTTTTGAACTTCTTATTGCACACACTGCAGCCATGGACCCGATCCGCGTTGTGCACATAGCGCTGGTGGCTGAGCATGGCGCTGCGGTTGGGCGACACCTTGCCGCATATGCTGCAGGTGCACTCCTCGGAGGAGCCGTTGTGCCGTCGCACATGCTTCTTTAGACTATATTTGTTCTTGTGCCACGAGCCGCATATGTCGCACTGCACCTTGGGCTCCGTAATGCCAGCATGCTCCAGCTGATGGCGCTGAAAAGCAGCGCGTCCTCGTATCACCTGGGCACATATGTCGCACATGGTGCCATAGTTGCCGTGCACCATCTTGACGTGCGTGCAGAGCATTGAAACGTTGGGAAATCTGAAACCAGGCAAATAGATCAGTTTATAATTGGAACTTATACAGAAAACATGGAGCTGGTACAAACGCAGCTACATCACATTCGCTCACCGCCGCTCGCATATATCGCAAGGCACGTTGCGCTCCTTGTGTATAATTCTATGCTGATCCAATAAATACTGCTTTGTATAGCGCTTGGGACAATGCTCGCACATGAACTTCTTCTGCTCGTCCGGCTGATGCTTGAGCAGCTCATGATTGCGCAGGCACTGTTTGTCTGCAAAGGTTCTGTCGCAGAGCTCGCACCTAAAAAGAAAGCCAATCATTAGTATTATACGATCTGGGCCTGGATTTGGAGCAGTTGATGATTGATTATAGCCCGCACTTTACCACTCACTTAAATTTCTCGGGGTTCGAGTGGCGATCAATGTGATCTGTGAGAAAGGAACGTTTGTAGAACTTCTTGTTGCAGCACACCGCATAGCCCTTGCGATGGTGCACCTGCATCATGTGCTTGCAGAGCAGCAGAAACGTCTCCTGTCCCTCGTGGCAAATGCTGCAGGTGAGCCGCATATGTTGCGCTATCTTTTCATCGATCTCCAGCATGGATTTCTTGTAATCTGCATAGCGTTTGTTCTTTGGCAATTCCTCGGCGCTTGGGTTGATTTTCTCGGGCTTCGACCTACCTCGGCGCTTGGCCGACACAGGCTGCTCAGCTGCAGCAGTCTCAGCAGCTTGTTGGGCTTTGCTTTTGGCGCGCGTTGAGCGCGTTTCACGACGCTCTTGCACAGCTCCTGGTGCCGCGGCTTGGTCCGGCATATCGGGCGAGTCTGTTGCATGCACATCAGCATCTTGCTGCTGGGCCAGCACATCGTTGAGGAACTGCTCGTTGCTGAATGATGCAGCTGCATCGCTCTCGCTGCCGCTGGCGTACATTGCCTCCACAGCATGGTCGTTCTCCTGAGCCAAGTCTTCCTCGGCGTCGCATTCGCTGTGCAGAGGAAAGTCTTTTGTGTCCTCCTGCTTTTCCTGCTTCTGCTCGCCTGCTACCGAACTGCTGCTGCTTGTAGTAATCCGCTCCGGCTGTTCGCCGCCTTTGATAGAGAATCTCTCGGTGAGCAGACGATGCGCTTTTTCCACGCTGGCATAGAACTCGTTAAAGTCGCTGACACGCGCCCAGCAGCCCACACAAATGTCCGTCGATATGGGATCATCGCTTTTCGGCTGCAATAATGTGCTTTGTGTACAGATGCAATTGGGAATAGGTATAAAGATACAAATACACATACCTGAAACCAGAAATACTTGGCCAGCACTGTTGCTACGTTCAGGGACAAGCCGACGCCCTCAAATATTTGAATGGTGTCGCTTGCGCTGTTCAGGCACAGACGGCAAATCATGGTTGCGTTGATTATTCCATTTAATGCGTCAGCAATAAACACAAAATTCGCACAAATTAAAATAGCGCATCAAAACAATCTGCTGCTTCTTCTTTTGCATACAAGGCTATCGATAATCAATCGACAGCAAATTTGTGTACGTGAGACTGTTATCGATAATTGCTGTAAGGCATAGCTCTGTTAAACACACTGCATATTTTGCCCAACAGGTGGCGCAGCAATAGTTTTGGCGCGTGAATTAAACTGAAATTTCATTTAGTAAATGTAAATGTGATCACCTTATATTAGTATATTGTTTGGAGAATTGGTAATTTATTTAAGATAAAGTTTAATTAATTATTATATAATCATATGTATAACTAAGTTCTTGTTGTTGATTTGTTTGTTTTCTTGTTTATTTTTGTTATGTTTTGTTTGTTTTTCTTGTTTCTGAACTAAATAGTTAATTATATTTAAAATCACAGCAGTCTTTTAATAATAGATTTCTCAATTTGTGTTTAATCAATTTGAACGCATATCGAAGGCGCCATTACTAACCATTAACAAACGAACAAAGTTTTACTAAATACAAAAACCTTTTTTAAATTTAACGGAATCAAGAGCTTACACATAATGCTTACGAATATCGGAGCAAAAACTGTAACTAACTAACTACAGAAATTACTTTAATCGTCATATTATTAGCATATATATAGAATAAAGTGTTTGAAATCGAAATCGTGCCAAATCGTGAGCGCTATACACATTTGTCGTATCGGATTGCACAGAATTTTAAAAGATATTAGGCTTAACTAGATACTACATATTAGATATATCTTTATATATAGTTATATCTGAAAATGTATGAAAAAATTTAGCTACTGGAATGCATTTAACTTGTTTTCGTTTAAGTTGTTCCACAAAAAAAAAGGAGTTTAAGTTTTCTGGATACATTTTAAATAAAAATCCTGCCTGTTTGGCTGTGTGTGTGTGTGTGTGTGTATATATATCTAGATCGTTGCTTTAAGCCTGATGTGCTTTATCATAGCTAAAATTGCAGCTATAAAAATTTGAAAATGCTCGCCAGTTAAATACACGACTATAGCTATTTAGTTTCATATATAGTAAACATTAATAAAATTTTGATTAAAGTTACTAATTTGAGGAATTTGAACAGGGCTAAAAAAAATAATATTCAACTCTTACAATAACAGTATATGAATTGTTTTATAACAAAAACTAATCGAACATGGTTGTTCTTATTTTCTTGTGAATTGCTTAAAAGTATTCGTACGCCTGTTTGATTTTGTATGTATTGTATTTAACACGCACACACACAGATGCATACATACAGTTGAACATAGATACGTTTACATTTGACATATATATGTTTATGTATATATATATATGTACTTATATCGTACATATCGGCTTAAATCACAGCTACGCAGAGTTATAGGCAAGGCGAGTCATTTTTGTTTGGTTTGTCTAAAACTAAAGGACACACAGATACGCATACACATACACATGCACATACAAACACAGACACGTATGCACACACACATGCACATATACTAGTAGGGGGTTTTTGTTTTTTTCTAGACAGTCCTGCTGCCTTAGCCCGCCACCTGTTGCATGGTTATGGTACTAATCAGCTGCTGGCATATTTTGCCATACTCAAACTGATCACCAGAGATGCGCCTCAATTTGATGCCCTTGCCGGCACCATGATGGTCCCGACTGCGTCCCTCGCACACCTGCAGCTCAATCTGCAGCCCGCCCGAATACTCGAGACTCAAGTTCGTGGTGGGCTCGCCATAGCTGGACGCGCTGCAGGCGGGCGCATTGCTGCTCGCGCTGGCGCTGGCTATGGCATGCGGCGTCGCGTCGCTGGACGCATTGGAGGCGCTGCTGTGACGCGACTCGGCGCCACTGTCCTCGGAGCTGATGCTGCCCTTGTGCAGCACAAAGCCCTTGGGCGGCATTGTCGAGTCGATGGTCTGCTTGACCATCTCGAGTATGCGCGTCGAGTCCAGGTTGGAGCATTCGTGCGGCAGCGGCACCTCGTAGCACATCTCATCGGACATGCGACGCGAATCGCACATGGAGTCGGGCGTCAGGTGACCGCATTCGGTGTGATCGCCCATTTCGGAATGTGAGTCGGACTTGAAGCCCGAGCTGGCCGATGGCTCCTGGCAGGAGGGCGACAGATTATTCGAGTCGTTGCTCAACGAATCGTCCGAGAAGCCGAGCGACTTATCGCTGCCACGCCTATGCGCCTCCACATTTGAGGAGGCCTGCGCTTGGGCATGGCAATTGGGTGCAGCATGATTGGAGCCGGGCTCACAGTCCAGGCTGGCCTTGCGTCCAATGCCGCGCGTTATGGAAGGCATATCGCTGCTAGCCTCCGCGATGATGAGACCCTGTTGGGGTACAGTGGAATCAAGGATTAGATCATGATCCCAGCACAGCCAAAGAGTTGATGCTCACCTGCAGCGACATAATGGGCGTATGTGGCTCCAGCGAGTCCTCGCTGTCGCGGCTATTATCCGAGGAGAGGGCCACCAGGGTAATCTCGCTGCCCTGGACATCGGTGAGGCAAATCTGCGGCGTTATGCCGCCCGTGCAGCCCGCATAGGGCGTGCCCGTGCTGATCGTATGACACATTTGCCCGTTGCCGTTCTCCTCCTGTATGATGCACAGATTGGGCGATGCCGGCGGCGTGGGCACCACGCGCACTGGCTGCGCCGGCGACAGATTCAATGGCTTCAGATCATAATACGTTGCCGTGGGCACAAACCAATTGGGCGTGGCATAATCAGCCGGATCGGTGGCAATGGCGCCGCCCATGCTGCACACATCCATGGACAAGTCCAGCGGCTGCTGAGCGGCACCCTCGCTGGCGGCGGAGGTGCCGCGTGTTATGGAGCCACCGCCACCACCCGTGCTCAGGCCCGATATGCCCTTGGTGATCTGATGCAGCGGCGAGGAGGCGCCCGCATTGACACTCACGCAGGGATTGAACGGTCCCGTGCCGGGCAAATAAGGATTCGGATTGGGCGAGCAGCTGCCGCTGAAGCCGCTGCCGCTATTGCTGTTGCTGTATACGGGCGACTGGCAGCCACTGCTGCTATTCGAAGTGCTGGCGCCCAGATTGATGCTGCTGAACTGACCCACCAGCTGCTGATGTGGCTGCAGCGGCAGCGTCAGCGCCAGCGTGGGCATGCCCCCAACTGCTGCCGCCGCCGCCGCCTGATATTGATAGCCACAGATGGGCTGGCCGAACATCTGCTTGGCGGAGGTGAGCGAGGCGTTCGGGCCGTGCGGCAAGGTTAGCGGGGACACACTGTAACTGTGCATGGGCTGCGGCTGGTGCAGATGCGACTGATCCAAATGGCCGCCGCTCACGGCTGCGCCGCTGGCTGCGTGCGCGGCGAGGCCCAGCTGCGGTGCCAGATCGATGGGCACCACATTCGATGAGATTATCTTGTTGGCTATTTCGAAGCTGACGCGCTGCTCCTTCACCAGACGGTCCAAGGCGGGCATCAGATTCTTAATGGCCTCCGGCGGCACCTCGATGTCGTGACCGCGACGCAGCGCCAGCTGCAGATTCGTAGGTTTGCCGTGTATGGGCGAGCCTGTGGAGGATGATAGCGAGAGAGGGAGATTAGTTCATGTGTCCATGGGCAGAGCAACTGCATCAACTAGGTGTTCTCTTCTTTGCGAGCGTATTTTATGATTTCGCTTACCGGGCAGACTGATCGAATTTTCTAAAAGCGGCGGACTGGGTGCAACCAAAAAATTTCTCTGTGCGATACCTTTTTGCAGGGATTGGCATTCCTGCAGCGGACCCTGGAACTGGGAGCGTGAGCCCTCCGAGGCGCGACGCACGGGACTGTAGCGTCCTATGGTCGCTAAGCGGCAGCCAGGCGAGGTCGTCAGAGAAATATACAAAGAGAAGAAGACAGGGAGAGAGAGAGAGCAAAAAGAAATAAGATATTAGTGAAACTCTGGGATGCACGGTCAGTTTGTTGGCTTTGGGAGCAGCAGCAATACTTTTGCATTCAACAAAAGAAAAACTAATCAAAATAAACGCAAACGAGGAAAACATAAAACTTACCACCCTCCTGCACAGTGGGCAGCTTACAGTGGGCGGCGCGATAGGCGCGCCGATTGTTGGCAGCCGTCGTGGGCGCCACCAGCGGCACCGAGTTGCTGCCGCCGGCGATGCTCAGGGGCAGTGAGTGTGGTGTTGCTGCCACGCCCATGGGCAAACCAAAAGTGGGCGCATTGGGCGGGGACTGGCTCAGCGATTTGAGCGTGGGCGGCAAATAGTCGCGATTCATGCGAGATTCAACTTCGCGTATGAGCTCAGGGCAAATGACTGGCAGACGCAGGAGGGGGTGATGGGGAAGAGAGTCAAGCGTGCAGCAGCAGCAGCAGCAGCAGCAGGAGTAGCAGGTTGTTGTTGTTGTTGTTGTTGTTGTGCAGCAGGCGTTGGCGGTTAAGCGGTTAAACACAATGCAATTAACCAAAAATCCAAAAATCATAAAACGAAATACAAACACAAATAAAGAAATCAATTCAATTAAATTTACAAAATTAAAAATAAATAAATTGCTATGGAAATTTAATTTAATTAATTGATTCAACGAAAAAGTTAAAGGCAACTAATTTAAGGCGTGGCTGTTATAAAACGAGGCACCCAATTTCAAAAAGCCCTGTTCTCTAATTTTCATTTAGCTTAAAATTAATTTCTCAGCTGCTGCCATTTTCACTCTGCGAAAGTGAATTTTCCTCATCTCCAAATTTCCATCCTCCAGCAAAATATATCCCCTATTTAATCCCACCTTCAAATTTATGTTGTCTGTTTTAATAATGTCTTTTACTCAAAGTTTTGTGAAACGTTATCAGCAAACATGAAAAAGCATCCAATTTCACGTGAACATGTGAATTCAATTCCCCTTTGTATGACGGCCAGTGAAAGCCCTATCCTGATGTAAATGGATTTATCAAAACATAAAAATAAGATTTGTTGTTAAAAAAAAAGAATTTGTTCTTTACAGCTCTGGTCATTTTCGGATTACTGTGGGATTATGTTGTATTTAAATTATTCTGATTAGACCAAAGTAAAAATCTCTAAAACTAACTTCTTATTTCCCTTTGCCTATTTCCATTGGACCAAAAAGGCAACATAAAATATATATATTAATATTTCCAATATTTGACGCAAAGTAAGCTCCATTTATCGTGTTTCTGAGGACAGGCCAGTCCCAAAAAATGTTAACCCGTCTACTTCTGGTAGGAAATGATACTGAAAAGTACACCTGGTTTAAGCAAGGTCAATATAGTTGTTCATATGGTAGATGCTTCTACCCCGATCACCATGTGAACCACATTTCTACTTCCCCAATTCTCAGTGTTCGTAGTTAGTGTTAGTCTTTCAGGAACGGGCAACACTTGACAACTAGTTAAACAGCTAAGCAGCATGTAAGAAACGTACCAGGAGGTCGTTCCGTAACGGTCAGCAGACCCGTGCGCCGGGTGCGCATATTGCCACCGCCGGCAGCGCTGCCGGTGGGCGTTTGCGCTTGAGCGCCCGGCGGCACCTGCATGTGGCCCAGTTCACCGGGACTGTGGCTAACGGAGAGATCCTCGGTGCAGCCTACGGTATGGCGCTTAACACAGCCGCGCTTCTGCATGTACCTTTAGGGATTAGGGGCAAGTTGAATATAGTGAATGACCAAGGATTCAGGTGGGACTTGCCTCTGTATCTCCTCGCTGCACTCCTCGCCACAGTTTTCCGGGCAGCAGTGCAGCTGACCCATTGACTGCTCGCTGAGCGGCGACAATTCCGGCGGGCCGGGCGCGGTATTCAAGCTGGGATTCATATAGTAGCCCGTGGTGTCCATTTGCTGTGGAGTTACTGCAACGCCGCTGTTGCCCGCCGAGATGCTGGCGGGATAGTAAATATGCAGATTGGCGCCGCCATCCGAAGCGCGACGTCCAAAGGAACCTGGCGAAGGAACAGAGGTTCTTAATAATAAGGTAAAGACTAGATGGGATGGACTTACTAGCACCCATGACGACGGGCGGCTTGAGCAGGTGCTGATCCTTGATGGTCAAATTGTGCAGCGGCTGGTTCTGCAGCATGGGCAAATTTGTGGGATAGTAGAGCGTGGCCTGGGCGGCATCGTTGCACTGCGGCGGGCACTTGAAGTCAATGGGCGGCACATGCGGATTGGCCAGGGCCTGCTCGTGGGCGACATCGCCGGGACCAACTGTGTGGCGACGCGTATTGGCGCCCGAGATGCCACCCGCTGCGGCGCTCAAATGCTGCGGATTGACAGGTGGCTGCAGGGCGAGACAACAAGGATAAGAAGCAGCTAATAGGGCTGTCAGGAAGGCAGAAACTCACCTCGTTGGGTCGCGCCAGGCACTCCAGCTCAAAGTCACCGTACTTCTCCAGATCGACGCCCACATCGGAGCACCAGCCAAAGCCAAGCGCCGAACTGGACGCGTTCGCATTGCTGAGCGGGCTGAGCCGGTCGAGAGATTCCTGTTTAACCGGCTCGGAGCGATCCACAACGCCGGTGGTGATGCTTGTCTTGCGGGATCTCGAGTAGGCAAGGTTCGCATGATGCTGCAGTCTTTGGTTTTCGCGTCGCTTCTGCAGCAGCTTATCCTGCAGCAGATTGTATATGGCATAGATATTATCGAAGCGCTGCTCGTGCACCGACTGCGCAATCATGTCCGCAGTCAGGCCGGGCAGCTGGAGCATGTGCGTCATGACCACCGCATCCAGCTGTGGCGCAGACACCTCTGAGCTATCGGCGCCCGACAACGATGTAGTCGAACTGCCCAACGAGCTGGTCTGCAATTGGCCGCCAGCAGCGCCAAACGGCAGCGTATTGGCGTCCAGGCGCTCCTCCTGCTGCAGCTCCGACTGCCAGTCGCTTAGCCAGCGATGCTTGATGATCTGTTTGATGGTATAACGGCGATCCGGCTCAACGACCAGCATATTTCTGATGAGATGCTCACAATCTGGAGATGATTTCAGTTGATTAGCGGCTGAAAGTCTCACCAGAGCTGCGTCCAGACTCACCCTGCGACATGAAGAAGGGTATGCGAAATTTGCCCTGCACCACGCGGCTCTTAAGCTCCAATATGGTCTTGCCATCGAAGGGCAGGGCGCCGCAGACAAGTGCATAGAGCACCACGCCCAGACTCCATATATCCGACTTGGGTCCATCGTACTCCAGGCCTTGAAATACCTCGGGCGCAGCATAGGGCGGCGAGCCACACCAGGTGCGCAAAAGGCTGCCCTCCTCGTAGTGGTTGCTGAAGCCGAAATCCGCGAGCTGTGAAGGATCATATAACATAAGCAATCGCTTGGATATGCACAGCAGCTGCAATTGATCGGACCCACCTTTATGTTCATGTCCTTGTCGAGCAGCACATTCTCCGCCTTGAGATCCCGATGTACCACGCCGCGCAGATGGCAATAGTGCACCGCCGAGATGAGCTGTGTGAAGACACGGGCCGCCTCTGGCTCCTTCATGCGTCCATTGGCCACCAGATGATCAAAGATCTCGCCATTGGGCGCATACTCGGTGACCAGATAGATCATGGACTGTGATTCCATCACCTCGTAGAGGCGTGTTATGTGCGGATGACGCAGCGATTTGAGTATAGAAATCTCGCGAAATGTCTTGCTCAGATATTCCTCGTTGAGGCATGTCTTATCGATGATCTTGATGGCCACCTGGTCAGAGGAGTACAGGCAGAACAGGAAACAGAAGGTCGTATCAGTTAATGTTGCTCTCAGGCGTTTCGTAAATGCCACAATACCAAAAAAAAATAAGTCGAATGTGGATGCGAAATTTGGGTTTGGTTCCGAAGGTGAACGAACCAGGAGAATGCGACGATTGACAACAGCGAGGCGAGCGCCAAAGAAATTCAAGCTGTGTGGGCTGACAACATCTTGCTCTCCCAAACAAGAGCAAGTGACAAGCAATATATACTCATATATATACACATATATATATATATGCAAGTCGAAGATCAAATACACTTCAAAATATATGTGCTAAAAAATGCTATAATATATATCAAGCTTTGTGGAAAATGTATACATCTCTGAGTAGAATTTTGTAATACTTTAACAAAACTCCTCCTCGATCTTGATGAGAATGGCATACCTTTGAAGAAACTATTATTGCCGAGCTTACTCAGTGCTAAGAATTATAACATAACTTTATACATATATCCCGTTGCTATTTTATTACTATAATTTAATTAATGGTGTTAAATTAGCTGAATACATGCTCAAACTGACGTGAAACTTACTTACTGTCTAGTCAAAAGAAAGTTCTCATAAAAAAATGATCTAATGTTCGCAGCTTTGGCAATATCATTTATCATCTTTAATAATAATACTCTACATTTAACTTTTTACCTTTAAATACTTTGTTGCCTAAATATAAATCTGTATCTATTTTAATGCTCTATATTTACGAACCTATTTAGATCCTTACTTCGAACTTTACCATCAATTACATGTATTACATCAGGTCTTACTATGCTGATGAAAATAATAACTAAATAAATTTCGAACTTCATAAGTGTAAATAGTGTAGATATAGTTTAAATATTTTAGCTATAATTTAAACAAATTGTGTAAGTAATAAAATGTTTGCTATTTATTTCCGAACACTTTCGTATACCTTTTGTTCTCTACCTAACTGATAGTATCAGCAAAATGCCCCATGTAAGGGTATGTACATGCAAAAAATAACAAAAAGAACGTGTCTCGCTGTTGCTGGGGGTCAGGTGGTAGGTGGCGCACTGTCTGCAGTCACAGCAGCAACAACAACAAGAACAACAACAACAAGAACAACAACAAGCACGACAAGCACGACGACGACAACAACGCCAAAGATGGCGTGAGTGTTAAATTCTGTGTGGTTGTCGTAAGAGAGGTGCTAATGATGATGACGACGACGACGACGACAATGATGACGATGTCGACGGGCAGAGGAGCAGGAGCAGGCAGAGAAGGTGTCCACGCAGAGAAGGGCGTCAAGGGGTAGACAAGACAAAAAACATTCTTTACACACACGACTTTCGTCGATGTCGCCGTCTGTTTATTTGCTTCTTTTTTTGTTTGTGTTTTCGCCAAGCATTTCAATAATAATTTAACAAAAACTGAAATAATTAACAATCAAGCGTAAGCGCAGTGAGTGCGAGAGAGTGGGGGAAGAAAGAGAGAGAAGGCGAGAAAGAGAGGTAGATCACTTGCTCTTGCTTACACAATGATAGCAAAAACAGCTACAACAACGACCACAGCAACAACTACAATAACCATAGCAACAACTACAACAACAACAACAGCAACAACAATCTTCATTTTAAGCAACACAGCTTCATCATGATGAGCCGCACACCGGTTTTCGATTTGTTGTTGTTGTTGTTGTTGTCGTTCTGGCTGCCTCAACATTTAAACAAATTTTGTGATTTGTGTCTGCTTTGCCATTGTCTTAGGCAGCATTTGTTGTTGCTCAATTAGAAGGCAATAATAAAATATAAACAAATAATTTACATAAAATTTCTAAAATAATACAATCCCTGCAATACTTGGCGTATGCGTAATGCTTTTTTTTTTTTCGTTCTGTGTACGTCTTGCTGCTTGATGCAACAAATAAATAAATTAGCAACAATTGCTAATAGTTTTAACTAGAGGAACTTTTAATTTGGCACTGCCATACTTGGCGTATGCGTAATTTTTCGGTGTGCTTCTATTTTCTTCTATTGCCTTTGGCAATCCATTCGAATGCAATAAATAAATAATTTATATAACATTTCAGATAACTTTTTTTCTTTTTTTTTTTGCAGCGACTGAAAATAAATGCACTGCTTGAGCACTGGGCGTATGCGCAATATTTCTGCATTGTCATTTGCAAGTCGATTTCTTTTGACATTTTACATAATTGACGGAGCGTTGGGCAACAGTTTTCTGGAACTGTCAATGCCACGTGATCGGCGGGCTTAAAATATATGTAGAAGAAGATACCCTGTGAGCAGGCCACAGTCTTTTGCACTTGCTAGAAAAGATTTTCTTGAGCAGCCGCTGAAGAATAAACAGGTAATTACTCGAACTGTTCAGATATATATTAAATAAAGGCTTGATCTAATTCTTAAGATATATATATATATTAAATATAGGCTTGATCTTGTAAAATGTAGCTGTGAGGTAATTCAATCAATTGGGAAAAGGAACTAGAAGGGAACTCACAAAAAAACTGTTTGTGTGTTTTAAATGAATCAGGTTATATATTACATTTTGCAGATCTTTAAAGCTTCTGATTCCACAAGATAGATAGACAAAGATAGATTGCATAGACATTAAAAATATATACGTGTACATGATTAACATGGCAATGTCACCTTTTGCCAGCTTCATATATTTCACAACGCCTTCAGAGATGTAATATAAAATATGTTAGTACAAACCCACAACATCATACCTCGGGTATTCAAATATGAAAATGATGTACGACAATTGGACAACAATCGTTTGTCACAAGCTGATGGGTAGAGGGTAAGATTGAGAGGGGTTTGTAGCAGCAAAATGCCATTGCCACGTGCCATTTTGACCTTTTGCAGTGAATGCGATGAACCTTAAGAACAAATGCTCGTAAATGAGACATTCAAAGCAAGCGCAACAGCAACAGCAACAGCAACAGCAACAACGTGCACAACAACAATGTCACATTTGGAAATCCTTCGCTTGGCACAACACAAAAAAGCCAAGGCAAATGGCAGTAAGGCTCGCTCCTTGGCGCACGTATTGATTTAAAGGCAAGGACTACAAAGCCTGATTGCCAGAAGTGCTAAATTCTATTACAAAATGTAAATTCCTTTTGATACACAAAGCTGACTCATTTCGCGCCGTTTACTGTTCACATTTTATTCAAAAAAGATGTTAAGAACCTTAGATTTACATGTAATACTCTTCAAGATGGCACATTTATTATATTGCGTCGACTTGGACATGAACATTAAACCAAATCAAATCTTAAGAATTAACCCAAAACCAATTCACAATTAAAGCAACATTAAAGTTCCTCATAACTACAAAATGGAAGCACTTTACGTTTAATTTTGAACTAGTTCTTTGAAATGACTTTTATTATTTAAAGTAAATCAAGCTCTTTTTGTAATAAAAATGAAACCAAAACAGTCGAATTGTTTTCCCATTCCACATTAACCTGTTCGAGTTCCTTACAATGAAACTAAAATGTTTTCCATATCAAATATAAACACACATTCTCTTGAACATAGTTTTTAAAAGCCTTCCTTTCTGTTGAACTAGTTTCAATTCAAATTTCTAACCAACAGATTGATAAGAATCTCAAAATGGAGCCAATTCAACTGATTTATTGAACTGACTTTGTAATATAATAACTTGTTCACAGCTATGGAAATTTATTAAAACCAGTAAAAAAAATTGAACCAGTATAGTCAAATTGTCGTTCCACCTTACATGAATCTGTTCCTACTTAACTAGTTCCTTAAAATGAAACTAAAATAATTTGCTAATCAAATACGGACATAGATAGCCTTGCGAGCATCGTCCTCAAATGCTGCCCTTCCAGACGAGCCCATTCTCTTGCTCCAGTTTCTTGTACTCCTCCCGCAACATCTCCAGCTCCTTGGCGTTCTGCAAGCCCAAGCGCTCCAGCTGGCCATTGAGTACAATGATGCGCTCCCGCACAGCATTCACCGTGTACAGGCTGAGGCGTTCCGGTTGAAAGACATCCTCTTTGAGTGTGCTCATGTAGTGCCACATGTCCTGCAACTGGCCACGTTTTGCCACGTGATGCTTGCGCAGTTTGTCATCCAATTCCAGCTTCAAGCGATCAATGTCATTGATGAGGCCGGCGACTTTGGTGCCACTAGAAGGCCGGCGACAGCCTGGGGGCTTGTCCTCGCCGTCTCCCTCATCAGGGTCGTTGTCATCGAGAAAATTGTTGGCATTCAGTTTGACTTGATTGCATTCGAGATACTTTTGCTGTGCCTTCAGCCGCATCAGTTCGCATAGTAGGCTAGTGGGCGTGGCCGTTGACTTTTTTTTACCACGCAGATGCGGTTGCGACGTCGGTGTCGCCCCCTTCTGGCTGGGTTGAGGGGGGCACGTCTCAATGTCGGGCTGGCCTGACGTGCCTGGCTGGACGTGCTTCGCAGACATGTGACCCGCTGCTGCTCACGTTTGGGGCTCAAATGTTCTACACAGCCAGCGAGTCCTTGTTTTAGTTGCTGTTGCTGTTTACACGTGGTACTCAAACGTGTGTTGCCAGCCAGCCCAAACCCCTCCCCAAGGGCCACGCAGCTGCTTGTGTTTAATCAATAGTTACCCTATGGCCGCGCCCACTAATGCTCAGTGTGGCTGCTGCAATTGATGCTTTCTCTCTCGCTCACGCTTCCTATCTTGCGCTCTCTTTCTGTCCTAACCCTTGTGCCTGTGTCGCGTTTTTATGCCACGGGTCGCTAAACTTTATTTGGGTTCAGTTTGGCGGCGATTTAAAATTTCCAATTGCTTTCAGCAGCAGCGGAAAATCGATTATTATAAATTTCCATTGAATGGCCTACTTAAAAGCACGTGCCTTGCTGATTCAAAAAAAAAAAATAAATGGAAGGTTCAGACTTAAAACAATTTAATAAATGAAGCGAAATAAGTGCGGGGGCTTTGACTTTAATCAGGCGCCGCGCCGAATGTTTGTTGATTAATCATTTATAGAAAGTGGGAAAATACTTGAGATTGTATTCGTTAGATGATGCGAAAGTACAAAGAACCTAAAGATAAATTCAGAACTGACTAAAAGGGGTGAAAGAGAGAGAGAGAGAGAGAGAGAGAGAGAGAGAGAGCGACAGATATAACATTAAGTGAGCGCGAGAGCGAGAGGTTGCAGTGCACGTGATTGATTCGCAAATTGTTGCGTTGTTTACGTAGTTCTTTTTGTTGCTAATTTACGACTGGGAGCACTTTGATAACGCGCTTGTTATCATATGAATGCGAATGTTTATCGAGTGTGCGCGTGTGTGTGCCTGTGTGTGTAAGTGTGGCAGCGGCAGCAACAGCAACTTGCAGACAGTAGACAAATTCAAGCGCGAATCAACAATAAATTAGTTAGGCAAACAAGCCAAGCAGATACCCTGTCAAAGTGTTGGATAACGCTTTTTTGACTGCTTAGCGTGGTAATTCTTAATCAGTGCACTGCTTGGAAGAAAGTTAAGATCAACCAGGAAATATCCGTAAGTACATACTTTCTTTATTACTTTAAAGATTGTATAGTTCTTTTGTTCTTGAGAAAATTGCAGTTTGTAAGAAAACTGAGCATATCTCTTTTCCTATCATAACCCTCAATAACTGAAAACACACTTTCATTCATAAAATTTACAGGGTATTCCGACTGACAGCAAAATACACGCAGACAGTAAGCCTGTGCAATAGAGACAACAAATACCGAAGAGACAAACAATTGGCCTTACACTCTTTGCTTAAAAAAAAAAAATGCCAGACAGGTAAAAGACGCAAAAAAAAGGAGAGAAAATACAAAAAAGAAACACATACACATACAACAAAAGCCGCGAAATAGTTAATGAAAAAGTAAATAAATTTTTAAACGATTTGGGCAGCCATGCGTCTGAGTCGTAAAGCAGAGCTGAAGCTATATCGTACACACATACATATACATATATATGTACGATATGTATGTATATATTTCAGCTCGGATCTTTGAGTGGTCAGCAACAAGTTTTATTATACCCTGAACCCATTAGAAATTAGTAAAAGGGTATTACGATCTTGGGCAAATGTATGTAACATGCGGAACGAGGTACTCCGACCCAAGAAGGGTATATATTCTTGATCATGCGCACAAGTTTATCATTTCTTGTACGATGAGACTTGTTTTTCTTTTAAACCTAACTCGCAAATTACAAGAGCTTAATCCACACAACTTTGTATGTAAGTTTTTGATTGGGAATATATTAGTTTTGTGGACAACTACCCATATTCTCTTTAAACTCGGCTACGCCCTGAAAATTGCATAAAGATCAGACTCTAAGTGCCGAAGCTATTTAAAGATACATTTCCCATTGTGGTATCAAAGTGAAGAGGCACAGCAAAGTACCCTACTTTCGTGTGTGTGGGTTTCTGTGAAGGCAAGCTTGAATGTTTGTTAGCAAGTAGCAAGGGTATCATCAAGTCAGGCACTCCCAATCAGAGCACTCTTGATTTTTGTTTTCGTTTTTTTGACTGAGATCGCATCGTGGCCAGACAGCGTGAGCTCAAGTTAAATATTTGGCCATAGCGAATGATCAATCAAAGTTGCCTCAGTGCGCAACGGGAGCGCAATTATTATTGTGTGATTCGTTGGTTAGAAAACCAAAAAAAAAAAAAAAAGGAAAAAGAAATAAAATACCAATTGATATATTTTCCGATAGCAAATCGGATTATAGCCGCCAGTTGCTGGTGCATGCGTTGGGTGCGTTCTGCAGACGTTTAATTGCATCAATTGGAGCATTAATGGCCAAGGCAAACATCGAGTCGGGGCACGCGCCATGAAGTCAATCAAATTTTCGAACAGCAAGCGATTCCCTTAAATTCTGATATCGAATTCCGAAAATCAATCAGTCAGGAAAACGCCACAGTAAAGCAATTAAAACGGCAACATAATTATCGCAAGGGCGTGACAACAATTGGAATATGAATATGATATATTGACTCCCAGAATTGTATTACAAAGTGCCGATAAAGTTTATGAAACTTAGTTTCAAATGATATCAAATTAAAGATAAGAGCAGAGTTTGAAAAGAAGATATAGTCTGCTTTAATTTATTCAGGGCGCAATTAGAATAGGTGTCCAATTAAAAACGATTAGAAAATGAAATAGTTTTGAGTCCTTTAAAGTGCGGGAAAAGCGTTTACTTTGAAAATGTCTTCAATTGCAGAGTTTTGTAGTGGGAAGTGTTTAATGATTGTTTATTCTTTTCCCCAAGGAAGTAATTCTTTATAGTGAGCAATAGCTTAAGTTAACGCATTTATGCCCTTTATGGCTGTATGAAAATGTGGTTTTTCTTCTAGTTTCCTTTGTTTGTTGACTGGCTTACCCTCTTAACCCATTTTAGTATAGCTAACATATCTCTTCTGTTAAAGATCATCAACTTCTGTAAATTCTTTCTGATTGAATAAGTACAGCACTCTTTAAAAAGGAAGGCAATTCCTCTTAGATTTGTTCCTTGAATCACTCTTTATCTCTCTCACACTTTATTCCTTTCTCACTCTCTCCCTCTCTACCCATCTCTCTCTCTTCTCTCTTCTCACTATCTCTCTCTCTCTCTCTCTCTCTCTGTCTCCTCCTCCCTTCCTTTATCTGTCATATCAATCACGCTTATAATCATTAATTGACTTTATGAGAATCAAATAGAAAGGCGATGTGCAATCTAAAATATATTTTGTTATGCATGAACGTTTGCAAGGGTTTTTCGTTTGGGCAACACTGGCACTGAAAATGTGTCTTAAGCATAATAAACGCGTGTTCTTATCGTTGTTGTTTACACATAATGTGCATTGTACATGTGCTCTATTGATAATAATTGTTAGCGAAATGCGCATAGTAGATAAGCTAAGGCTATAGGCAAATCATAATTATAATAATAATAATAATAACAACAATTATAATCCAGACAAAGTCATGTTGTACTTAAACATTGCATTTGTTACACGCACACACACACACACACACACACACGTGCGGGAGTCCATTGTGAATGTTAAGTATGATAAGTGAGTGCGAATGGACCTTGAAATTGACAAACAGCTGTGTCGGCCTCTCTTATCGGAGTATTGGGGAACAAAAAAAAAAATAAATAAAAATAAATAAAACAAAAAAGAACTGTAAAAGCAAACAGAATGGAAGCGAGAACAAATGAAAATGGAAATAAAGTAAAATTTATAAAATATGCGCGTTGTATGTAAATGTGTTCTTTTTAACAGCCCAGACGCCATTTTGAATTGCAGGCACGTGCTGTTCTCACTAAGATGAATCTCCCCACAGTTGTGTGCGTGTGCGCGCGTGTGTGTGTGTGTGTGTGTGAGTGTGGGACTCTCTCTGTTGACAATTTATTTAGTTGTTGTTGTTGTTTTTTTTTGTATGTGCTCTGCCGTTGTCAATTATGCATATAACGAGCACTTCTGTGTTTGGCCTACAAATTTGCACTTATATGCCCGGTTATTGTTATGATAAACTATTAAAGCGCATGGCTTTTGTTGTTGCTATTATTGTTGCATTTGTCGTTCCAGTTGTGGTGGTTGTTCTTCTCGCTGTTGTTGTTGTTGTTGTGGTTCCTGTGTTCGGTTCTGTTGTGTCACTTGACAGCGCCAATTATCAGCAGTCGCATGTAGTTACAGCAACTGTGACAGCTGTGTTTTGTTGTTTCACCCTATACATACATACTTATATATATATATATATATATGTGCATGTGTCTCTGTGTGTGTGTGTGTGTGTGTGCTTGCCCTCAGCCCACAGAGCCCGATGCCCAGCTGAAGGTGACTCATTATCACTTCTAGCAGCAGCTGTAAAATGCATTCGGAATGTATAATGCAGAGAATGCAGAGAAATTGTCGCTCAGCTGATAGAGCACAAGTGGCAAATGTGCAGCACATGTGGTTGCACGACTATTAAATACCCTGTATAGACATTCTGATATAACGCAACCAAAGACTGAAGAGTTTATACATATTAAATCCACAAAACACTTTTAAATATCGCTACACACAGTTTTATGTTGATTACAATTGCCAGTCAATCTATTTTTTGGCACCTCTTGAAATGTAACCTTAAATCAATTTATATATTTTAAATTCTAGTTTTCTATATTCAGCTAATATACGCTTTGAGCCACTCGCTACAGGGTATTCAAGAAAAGTATGCTTTAAGCGCTTTCAACACAGGTGCGAGTGTACCTCAACTGATTACGCCTCTCGGTAATTAAACGCAGCAGCATCCCAGCTATTTTAGAGATGCATTACTGATAAGTTGTACGGAAATTGTCGAAAATATTTGCGAATGCAAATTACATTTGACAGCGGGAAACAAAAAATAATAAATATACCAAGTGAGATGATCTCAAACAGAACGAAGCAAAACTTAATTACTTCCTCATACACTCAGACAGTGCGAAGGAGAGCGGAAGAGGTTACAAGAAAGAGATCCCATTAGCAGGTGTCGAGGGCTCCGACTTGTCTTGTCTGTTCCCCAAGCGATAGACGCCCAGAGGGCGGCAGGGGCTAAGGTAAATGCCTTTCAATTAGCATCATCTGATCGGACTCGACAGCAGCTGCTGCTGCTGCTCCAAACGCCGTCAATTGAAAGCAACAAAAATATATAAATATATATATTGAGGCAAACAACTCCCCAAATGCTGTTGCCGTTTCCCCATGCCGATCTGCCTGCTGGCAAATATGTATTGTCAATAAGTTGTGTAAACACTAAAGTATACTATGCGCACATATTTACGCGGCAATAAACAAAACAACAAAAGAATCATAATCACTAAAATCAATTTGATTAAACCGAATGCGCAGCCTAACGGCAAAACGAAAACCAAAATAATATAATTCCGATTCGCAATTCGATGAATTTGTGAATTCGATAATCGATAACGATAACATGTTATGTGTTTTTATCAGTTGACTGACTGACTGGTGATCAGGCTAAGTAAGAGTAAGAGCTAAGAAGCGGAAATTTGGCCGTGCGCCTGCGTCGGACCAGCAAGCCAAAGATCGCCGGTTCAAATTCAGCATCAGTTGCCTATTTTACTCATTAATGGATGGATTTTTCATAGTTTTAAGCAAGTCTTCAGTTTATTTTTACTGAGAACTTTAAATGAACTTTAGATAAGTCGGATGATTAGTCACAACATTTTATACAAACGTTTTCCGCTATTTTTTCACATTTTAGGGTGGAATTGCCTAAAACTTGTCTGGGCATGCAGCTTCTACACAGAAGATATCTACAATCAAAATGTCAGCTGCCTAGCTCCTTGCGCTCTGACTTGAGCACCAATCAGTCAGTCAGTCAATCAGGACAAACAGGCTGATAAAGGAATTGTTAAATCTTCTAGATACTTGATACTTTATGCTCCTAAGCATTATAATAGATCTAATAGGTATAATCACCAAGCATTAAGTTTCTTCAATCACCAATCAATCAGTCGGTCAGGACAAGCAGTTATATATGCTGAGATACATACTCTACAGTTCTTTACCATAATATATATGTATATGCAGGATTATCAAAATTTACTTGAATGGACTTGGTAGTTGTATTATATCTTTTGAATAGATGACATTTTGCAGGCATTACTCACCTTGGTCTTGGTTACAATATTTGTGGCTAGTTTGACCACGGCAAAGTTGCCTTTGCCAATTGTCTTCTCCAGCTCGTAGTAGCCGACGCGCAGGAGCTTGTCCACGGATATTTTGCTCGTCGATGGCACTTTGTAGTTTTGTGGCGTTGATGTGGAGGCGGCCATTTCAGTTGCAGTGGGCCACTTGGTTGTTGTTGTTGTAGTAGTAGTTGTTGTTGTAGTTGTTGTTGTTGTTGTTGGGCTTAGTAATTGGCTAATGTTGCGTCGCCTCCTACTCGTTGATGTTGTTGTTGTTGTTGTTGCTGTCGACGCAGGAAGTTCACTTAAGATGCATTTTCTTTTGTTTGCCGAGCTTGAATTCATTTGCTATTCATGCCCGCTGCTGCTGCTGCTGCTGCTGCTGGCGACGCAGACACACACACACACACACACACACCTACATAAACAAAGAAATACACACACAAGTACACCAGACAAGGCGCAGCTTTGGCTGCAGCGGCGCTTGACGACAACGACGACGACCACGACCACGACGAGGATGGCGATGAGGATGAGGATGGAGCGGGAACAGCAGCAGCGCCGCCAGCAAAATTTAATTCGATGCGCAGCTCAAATTGATTGCAACAGCAATTACGTGCGCGTTGCGTCTGCGTCAGCGTCAGCGGCTGCGACTGCGGCTGTGGCAGAGAGTGCGGCAGGGGTCAACGGCAGCTGCGTCGTTGTCGTCGCTATGGCTGTGGCATCTGCTCCAGCTACCGGCGGCGACTGGGCCATTGGGCACGGCCACGTGGCCAGCGCAGCGAGCACGTGAGGCGTCTCCTTTTGTGTGGGTTGTCGTATGCTCCTCACGTTTCCAATTCCACGGAAAGCTGCTGCCCGTTGTTTGTTGTTGTTGTTGTTGCAGTTAGTTGTTGTTGTTGTTGTTGTATGCACGCGTTTTCTCGTTTCACATGTTTAGCCTTGTTGCTGAGGCGCTGCGATTGATTGCAACAGTAAAAAAAAAAAGGAAAAACAATTAAAAGTAATTCACAATTGAAATTTGAGCTTAGCTTTTCTTTATGTTATCATTGCTGCTGCGCTGCAGTGGGCGTGGCTGTGTCTCTTTTATCGATGCACAAAACACTGTGTAAGCCACAGACAGGCGACAACTTTTGGCTGCCAGTGTAAAAAATAACCTGTGTCTGCTCAACGCACTCACACTCCCCCTCCCGCTCACGTTTTTCCAACTCCAACTCCAACTCTCTCTCTCTCTCTCTCTCTCTCTATCTTTGTCTCTCTCTCTGTGAGAGGTGCGCTGTAAGCTGATCGCCTGGACAAGCTGCTTCCTCCTCCTGGCTGCAGCCTGCCTCCTGCTACATTGCGACCACGACAAATCTTAATGGGTTAATGTACAGCATCAAGGTCGCGTGGCCAGGCACACACTCACGCACACTCACACACACACACTCACAGTGATTGAGTGTGTGAACGAGATGGCGCGTGTGGCCCAAGTCAAGTGGCGATGTTTGTTGAAGCTGCGTTCAAGTCAGCGAATTCTTATTGAAATCAATTTAAGGCAGCAACAGCGTGAAATAGTTGTACAAAGAGCAAAAGCAGCGCAAACATAACAAGTAGACACACACACACACACACACACACACACACACACACACACACGCGCACAGACACTCAATTCTAATGCCAATCGAAGCGAAGTACACAAATTTTGGCCATGCAAAGCTTATACACTTTTTTATGCCCTGCAATTCGCATGGTAAACAAGAAAAGCTTTTAGTGAAATAAGCATAGCTTTTGGCGTGGAGAAAGTTACAAGATTAACAAGTTTTTATACAATTTTCCATTTCATATTAGCAAAAGCTGCAGAGATTGACCACTAAAATATCGTTTAAGATCGATCTTCGAAGTTTTTCAATATTTGCTCGTTGAAAAAGTGTTCACATTCACAAAAGAACAACTTACATTATTTGAAATATAAAAGTACGGAGCTTCAAGTTAATAAAGAACAAGCCATAAATTGAGCTTGAAGGAACTTTTGAAGCTTTCGACACTGGAGAAGGCACAAAAGTTAGTAAAATGTTAAACTTAAAAGAAATTATACGAACTGCAAAATCTTGCAATAAAATGTAAGAGACTCTAATTATAACACGAATAAAAGACGAAGTATGAATTGGGTAGAAACGATCTTTACACCTACGAAATAAAATACAAATCAGATCTAAGAGCTTTTAGACACTGAAAACAGAACAACCTTCTCTCGTATAACCGATTCTAGGGTCATTTTGTGCACGTCAAAAGCTAATTGCTATGCACACTTCATAGTGTATGCACATGAAAAAACCTTCTATATTTGTTTTACTCAAATTACCACGCACTTCAAATGCCCTATTGTATTTGCGTTATAGAGTATAACAGCACATTGACACACACACACACACACATACATACAGGCATACGCACACACGCACATGACGTATAAATTGTAAACAATTTGTCGGCGCGAAAGAGCAACGGCAGCTGTGGGCAACAATGCAAAAGCGATATTTAAGTGGGTTTCCTCAAGCATTTAATTTGCACATTTTCACGTTTCTTGAAAATTTCTCAGCGAACACGAGGCAAAAAAACAAAAAAAAAAAAAAAAAACACCAAATCAAATTATTAAATACCAATTGAAAATGTTTTTCTTTTTGTTTACTTATTAATCAAAAAAGACACAAAACAGTTGTAAGCGGTCGTGTCTGTGAGATGAAGCAGCAGCCGCAGGACAAGATTAACGACGCGAAGCGCACACAAGTCAAAGTCAATGGACAAAAATCAACAGACTGCGACTGCTCCGGCTTAGGAAATGGATGGAGAGCGAATGCGGCGACAACCTGTGCCTGGAAGCGCCGCATCAAAGCTGAATGAACTTCCAAATTGGAAGCAGCATTTGAAGCTGGGCCACATTCCAACGCACGCACGAAGAGCACCACCAACAGCAGCAGCAGCAGTCAGAGAGAGAGAGAGAGAATGAGAAAACAAGAGGGAGAGTTGCGAAAGCGAAGACAGCTGTAAAAGACGTCACAAGGCAGCGGCGACAGTGGTATCGGCGAATTTAAGACGAAATCATCAAGCACTGCGTCGATGCGTGCTGTCATTCACAATTGGAGCAGCGCACAGGCAAGTGGGTGGATGGGCGATTGGGTGGTTCTATGGCACAGCAACAGTAGTGCAGTTTTTTGGTCTTAAACTTGAGTTAAGGTTACAGTAAATCAGTCGAATTGAGATAGATCAGTTAATACGGGAGTTACTTGAATACACATGGTACTTAACTTATGGACCGCACTGTAACCATATGTACTTATATTTATATTAGTGTACACACATACATGTGTATATGCACACAATATCTGTTGGGCATTACTGATAACTAAGGCACCGCAGTAGTTGTCGGCTTGTTGTTGTTGTTGTTCTGCTCGCACTCCTGCCCTCTGTGGCTGCTGCTGTTGTTGTTGTTGTTGTTGTTGTTGTTGTTGAACCAACAAAACCGACAGCATAATCAGAAAAGGCAAAATACGAGAATGATTAAAAAATAAAACAAGAATAACAAAAGAAAACCAAAAAACAACAAAAGTCGCGCGCGCACGAAAAAAAAAAACAACACATACAAGTAAAGTAAATGAGCCAACAAATATAAAAGAGCAGAAAAACAAAAGCTAGAGAACGCGACTTCGACTTACAAACAGCAGCCAGACAACGAAAACAACAATAACAACACAACAACAACAACAACAACCGCAGCCCAGAAGCGCCAAGCGCCAACGCCAGCGCTCAAAGCAGAAGGCAAATAAAACGCAAGAGCAGGCAGCAGAGCGCGCGACGGCCTGTGTGTGTGTGTGTAGTCGGCGGGGGCGCAGCAACAGTTACGGGGCAGACAGGTTGCGGTGTGCATGTGTGAGTGCGGTTGTACATACATATATCCATGCACAAGTGTGTGTGTGTGTGTGTGTTTGCCTGGCTTGGTTCAAGGAGTCAAGGAAATTCACAAAAAACAACAGCAGAAATTACAATATGAAGCAGCATGATGACAATTACAAACACATACACACGCACACGAATGTGTGTGTAGAGGGGCGAAAATGAAACTTGTCGAGGTCGAGCATATAAACCACTCGAATAAAACGTATGTATGTACGTTTGTATGTGGGCACACATTCACGCGCGAGAGCGAAAGAGAGATAGAGAAAGCACATAAGCACACACTATTGATAACGGGCGAATGAAATAAATTTACAAACGCAAGGTGTCCAATTAGACCACTCAACAGCAATTAGCTTTTCTTCTTTGGCTTATTTGCGTTTTACTGGAGTTGCTATGACGTTCGCAGTCAAACAAACAAACACACACACACACACACACACACACACGCACGCACACAGAGGCGCGCGCGTGAGAGCAGCGCGCACTCTCACACAAACGCACGCACTAACAGCACAGATACATATGTAGCTATGCAATCGAAATACGTCACGACTTCAAGTGGAAAACCGTACGTAGTTTTAGCCGTCGTTTTGGCTGTGGGCCGAACAATAAGTTGCCGCAACGGCAGCATAATTGCCATTCATGAATGGTTTTTGCTTCCGCATGTCGCCGCACACACACAAAAGCACGTATTTACAAAACTCATAATTACATTACACATGCATTACACAGATGCATGTGTTTGTGTATGTAATTAAAATTCAGCGGCGCTCCCATCTCCTGCTCTAGTACATTGTGTTGTTTTTACAGTTCCAGCCGCAGCAGTAGCAGCAGCAACAATAACAAACGCAGCTCAAGAAACACTTTGTTTAATCTTTGTCTCATTTCATTCGCTTTTGCTCTTTTGCTTACACATTACGATTGCTTTCTATATTATTTTTTCTTCATATGTCGCCAGAGATCTTTTCGCGTTGAATTTTTATTACATATATATTAATTCTTGCGCTGTTATCACTTGTGCCTTGTGGCTGTTGTTGTTGTTGTTGCCTTTTGGCTTTTGTTGGTTGTATTTGCTGCCGTCGCATGCACTGAACTTGAACGCGTGGGCGTAGCATGCGCCGCGATTTATATTATCAAGTGCCTTTGCTTTCGGCTATTGGAATTTTTTCATATTGTTTAAGAGGCGATTCTTATACGATTATAGCGCGAAGCGCGGCCCACCTGCTCACGAAGCAAAAACTCGGCACCAACTGATGGCAATTCGCTCTCTTCGCACACACGCGTACCAACAGAGTTCACTCTCCTGCTCGCACTCTTGCCACAGCACTAAAGGCAGTGTTGATTTCAGAATTTATCGATAACGATATATGTAGACTATTCTGTTAGACGCGACAGTTCTCTGTTAAGATCTAATTCGTAAATGTTGTTTGCCCAGTTGGCAGCCCACTTTTTAAATTGGGCGCGTAAAATGAAACATTTAATTTGGTGGTCGATTAAAATGATTTAATTTCGTTATTTTTAATTTTCGAGTAAAATTTTTTTGCGCTCAATGATTAAAAGGATTTAATTTCCTTATTTCGTAGTAAAAGCGAACAAAAACAGCCAGCTTTCAGTTCCCATATAACAAGTACAGATACCTAAAAATAGAGCAGTTACTGAAAATCAGTACTTTTTATAACGGGAAATGCGCTCACGAAATGGTATGTTTCCTAAAAGTGCACATTATCCACTAACTAATGCTAATTATATGCGATTCGCTTGTCTTGCCGCCGGTAACACATATTTGTTGTAACTTCTTTCGACGACTTTTTTAGGATGATTCGCACCCTTTTTTAAGGTGCACTTGTCGCTGAGCATTGTTTTAGGCACCTCCCTCGCCTCATACCAGTAGGGATTCACTCGCTTCAGCCAGTAACTGCTGCCCATTTGCATACCGCTTAGCAGCTTGGCGACACACCCGGCACTCACCATTCTAATTATATATGATTTTTTTTTAAATTAATGTTTTTTCTTTTTTATTAATTTGCTTCAGTGGATAGTCAATTTTGTACAAAAGATTAAAAAATCCTTTGATATGTTCTGATATTTTTTTAAAATTCCTTTAAATCTATTACGTAAATTTGTCGTTTACCGTTCGAAAACAAACTCGAAATGAACTCCACATTTACTGTTAGAGTCCGACTCGGCTGAACAGCGAACTTAAATTGCGCGCCTACTTAGTAAAAACAAGATAACAACAGCAAATAACTGTGCCTTCCACTTCATCTCACAACAGCTTTGTGAGAGAGCGTAAGAGAGATGCGAACACTTCCAATTGGAGTTGGGAATTTGCACTGGAAGTGAAGTGAAGCAATGAATGAAATCTTCCATTGTGGGCGACCGGCAGCAGGCGCAAAAGCACGCATGCGACGGCCGCACCAAAAGCATGCGTGACGTCAGCTCTAAAAGCTCTCCAGCTGTGGGGTGAACATGTGGGTGCGCTTTTAACCTATACGAAAGAGAAAAGAATAGAAAAGAAAAGCACAGGATACTGCGGCCCTTTGCTTTGCTCGTCAACGTTTTGGACTCGAAAAGGGGCTTTTCCCAATAATTATGGCACGAAGCGTGTATTCAAAATTTTAAATGTTTACCGATTTAAGAGACAAAAAACAAATACAAAAAACAACACAAATTTCAAGTAAAATTGCGAACCATAGCGAGATTTTTTCCCCCCCGTTAACATTTAGATAAGCATGGTGCGACGCCGTGGCATAGTCGGTGGCTTGGCCAAACAGCTCTCCTACAGCGCCTATCAGCACATGATGGCGCCGCCGCCGCCGGGTCAGCACCTCAACATTGGCTGGCTGGGCAGCCCATCCGTGCACTGGCCCCCACAGGCGCCTAGGCCGCCTTCGCTGATGTCCGTCATGTGCAACAAAATGGTGGGCTCACTGCCGCGCATGCCTAGCCTGCCGCAGCCGGAGCTGAGCAGCCGCAGGCTGAGTCGCCTGCGACGCAATCTAATGCAGTCACCGCATCCCCAAGTGCTGCCCGCTTATCCACCGGCGCCTTTGGTGCAGACTGCCAATATTCTGCCCATGTGGTGTCGCTCCGACGAGCAGATGTGGTGCGATCCCGTCAAGCAGCGCCACAGGCTGCCCACGAGCGATATTTCCATACAGCTCAAGCAGCAGCTGCAGCAGCTAAAGCGACAGCAGCAACTGCAGCAGCAACGGCAGCGGCAGCAGCAGCAGCAGCAGCAGCAACAGCAGCAGAGGCAGCTGAGAAGCGGATTCATGCCCTTCAACTTTGGCAAATGTGCGAGCAGTCTGATCAAGTTCCTGGACAGAAGTGGCTCCACTTCGGAATCCTCTCTATATGCGGCCACACATCCCAATCCTGTGCCGGAAGTCCAGCCTGTGCCCACGATTAGCATCGTGAAGCGACCCTATTCAGTGGAGCGACACATTCATGCAGCCGACTTTGACTATGTGAAGCTGGCCAAGCAAATGGTCACATCTAAGGACAAACAGTTCACCGGATGTGGCGTCGGTCGCACCCAGGTGCTGCCCACTCATGGCGAGCCCCATAGGCTGGCCAATCGTGGATCTAGCAAAGCGCCGGTGAGCTTCACAGCTGATTATAGCGCCAGCAGCACAACGTTAACTAACCATTCCGCGGCACAAGCAGGTCGCCAGGAAGAGCTCAAGGCCAAAAGTCAAAGTCTCCAAGGTGAAACCCCAGCGGAGATGCAGCTGAATTATCTGGCCGCCGACATAGACGCCAATTTGCAGCATATACGCAAACTTTTGGGAACAAAGCTGCCACACAAACGGTGCGGCAGTTCCAGAACAGCGAAAGGTCTGGCAACGCTGCAACGACCAGAAATGTGCGCCAAGCTAAAATTTCCACCATTGGCAGGACACGCCGCACGGCTTGCCAGTCTGGCAGCACCGCAACAGTCGGAGACAAGGCTGCCACAGCGAGTCCACCAGCAGCATGGCAGCTCGATAATGTCTGCAAGTCTGGCAGCCCTGCAGCAGTCAGAGTTACCACAACAATTGGAAGCGGGCTTTGATGCAGTGCAGCAAGGAAACCCCACAAGGGTCGCCAGCCTGTCAGAAATGAAGCAGTCAGAGCTGAGCGACAACGTGGAGTTGCCACAGCAAATGGATGTGAGTGGCAATGTAACTCCTACAACGTTGCCCAATCTGACAACGGACAACGCGGGCGCCAAGCAGGAATTCAAGTTCACAACCGCGCAACTGGAGCTGGTGCAAAAGATTTTGCAGGAGAAAGACCAATTGCAGCGGGCAACGGAGCCGGAACCGGAACCGGAAGCGACAATGAAAGCCAAGACACCAAAAAGTGAGGCCCATAAACGGCAAATAAATCTGAATGAACTGTTCAAGGACAAAAATGTGCAGTGCGTCGAGTCGGATAATTCCTTGTGGAACTCGCTGATGCAGTTGGTGGCGCACATGTGCGACGACGGAAAGCGAAACGAGGAACCGGAACGCCTGATGGCTGGCGCCAGTTTGAAACCTTCGAAAAAGGAATATTCCATCTATCTGATGGTTACCTCTGACGAAGAGGACGATGTGGGCGACTCGAACCGGGTGGGCAACCAACGCAATACGCCCATCGCGAGCAGAAAGCCAAGGCAGACTAGGCTCAGAAGAAGGTCCACCATAAAGCCGCTGGATATACCCGCTCCTCACGCCACACTGCGTCAACAGAAGCAGCAGGATCAACTACGCCCTTTGCGTAAAAAAAGACGCCTCTCATTAGGACATCAGAACACTGAGGTCTTCTCCTGCTTATCGCTGCCGGCGCGACGTCCGCTGCACTGGCCCAATCCACGGCACATCAAGTGCCTGGCTCAGGGCAAGAAAAAGAGAAAGAGGCTGCCCCGACGCCCATGCCTCCGGCGACAGGCCAGCAACACATTGGACAGCAGCTATCAGAGCCAATTAATCAATCTAAAAAAAAACAACAATCGCATGTCTAATCCGTTCCTGCCTCAGCCACGTGTTCCAGTCAACTACACAGGGTTTTGGTGACCCGAAGCCCCAATTCTAGATGCATTGATCGTTTATATTTGCAAAGCCTAGTTAAGGAGATAGCTTTATGCTTTAACTATGCTCTGCACATATTTGCGATCCATGCATTAAAGATATATACAAAGCGTATAAATATTTATTGTTAGTTGCTGAAAAGAAAAAACTGTTGCAAATAAAGTTTGAGTTGAGCCAAGCCTACGATTTGTTTTCCTTTAATATGTATCGTAAAAATATGAGATCCGCCTTCTGACTATCTGACGTAACCGGATAGCTTAAGTTCCCACTAGATCCATACGAACTGTTCATCCTGCCAACCCAGCCACCTTGTATTTCCATTCGATTTAATCCAAAATCAAAAGTAATTGATCAAATTAGCTTTGTTTTTTGTGTGTCTTGTCACTGTTTATGTTAAATTCACAAATTTTTCGTGTTTACACTCAACATACCACAGATTATGTGAGCCAAATCTCAGCGGAAGATAAATACGGAACTCCCAGTTGCCGTTGCAATGGCCCCGACAGTTCACAAGCAATGCCAGCTTGGCGTCCCTCGTAGGGGTGCAAGATCCGCCAGATATGGAGGGCACGCAGATTGCCAATGGCAGCAGCAACAAGAGGATCGGCATTCTAGTCAATACAGAGACTCGTACCACGAGCCGTACCAGAAGCAGTACCCGACCGAGCATTTTAGGCCGTACCATGCGTTGTACGAGGAGCAGAGCTTGCGTGGGTACCAGAGTCCGGAGTGCTACCGGCAGAAATTCAATCAACAGTACCAGGATTCGTGCCGGATGTCATCCCGGCTAGCGTACCAGAAGCAGTACTACGCATCGTACCCGCAGCAGTACCAGAGACAGTTTCAGGAACAGAATCCGAAGCAGTACCGACATCGGTTAATGGAGCAGTACCAGATGCAGCACCAGAGATCGACCCAGTCTAAGTCACATGCATTCGACAGAGATAGAAGTAAGCAGTTTAAAAGCCAGATCTATGGCCATCTATGGCCTCCAGCTCGTCAGTATGGTGGTATGGGCCCCTCCAACTTTAGCTGTAACCCTGTTGGCTTCCCGACATGTGCCAATAAAGTGGTGCCAGAAAGTAATCAGGCAGCTTGCAGTCGTGGACAGCGTTCCAGATCTTGTGAGCGAAGTGAACCTCGCCGGGCTTGCAACGGAGCAACTTGTTGCAGGAACCGTAATGTCTCCCGTTCACCGTCTTGTACTAGGTCACACTCTAAGCTACGGCGCGGTCAATCCTGTGCTTCAGTGGGCAACAATGCTTATTGTAAACAACATAATTCATATCGTTCCAGACAAAGTCATGCTGATTACGACAGAACAACACAAACACGCCCCGCATGTCCCTCAAAATCTCGCGATGCTGCGTGCCAATATTCTCAAAGCCAGGACAGTGCTTACAGGACGCCAGATTCGTTATCCAGACACCGCTGTGATTCTTATAGCGATACACAGAAAAAACATAAATCCGTAACACGTGCTCCATCGCGTTGCGAGCCTGCTTGCTTTGGAACACCAGAAAAGAAATGTTCGAGGCAGCCACCAGCCCAGCTTCAATTTCCACCATCATCTTGCTGCAGTTCTTGCTTTTCGCCCCCAGAAAAGCAAAGATCGAGGCGACACGAATCGAATAGCGAGCATCGTAGGCAATCCCGTAGCGATCCTTTCTGCGAACCTTGCTACGACCCTTACCAACAGGATCAATCCGCAGGATGTAGGCAGCTTCGTGGTGAGCCTCGCAGTGAGCATCGTTACGCGCATAAAACTGAGGCTCCACCCAAGGCCCCAAAGCAGCCTCGACCTCGCTGCGAAGGTTGCTACGAGCCCAGACCGAAACCTGAGCCACGTCGCAGTAAATCCGCATGCAGTTGCGGTTTTGGGCCGCGTCCAGTAACTGAGTCAATATTCAGCTGTTGTCCGCCGGAAAAGCCAACGGATTACGTGGAACACAAGCAGTTTACTGGCATGGCACATCGAAATCCCTTGGTGGTTAGATCTCACGGATGCCTAAACGAATGTCCTACCCAAGGTTACCGTAAGAAGACCAAAAAGCCCAGGGACCACAGGGCGAAATCAAATTATGGCACTTATAACTCTTTACCGTGTAAACCACCAAAGCAAGCATGTCCAGGCAATCAGGGCAGAGAATATTATAGGAATCCGCGCTCAGATTATGCGGAGTTGCAATATCAAAGTGGCAGATTCGTCAAGAATCCCCTAACCGTTTCTAGCTGTAGTTGCAACATGCAACCACAATGTCCTGCCAAAACGGTTAAGGAACGCAAGGCCACACCATACTCTTCCTATCAAACCTTCGATGAGGCGCAAGGATCTTGCGCATGTACACCAGGTGCTCCACGGAAAGAATCTTGCCGCAGGCGCACGTCTTTCTATCTGGAAGAATCCAAGGAGATGCCCTACCGTTGTACGGGCAATGGCTTGCCTGAGCTCAATCATAATAATCCACGCACGAATTTTGTGCCTGCAATGTGGTTCAATGCAGAAAGCTCGCCCGAGAAAAAGCCAACAAGTTCCCGTAATGAAAGATCCTACTCGGGCGTAAGGCAACCCTTATATTTCTATCCATTTTCAAATATAAGTAACTCTTTCCTTCTATTTTAGCTGTCGCCTATAACCTCGTCCTTCCTACAGCGGCGCCAGGTGCCCGCCAGATCCTGTGTAAGCATTCCCGGTCAAGGCCGGGTATTATCTGCTGTCGTTTCTTAATTTACCCATGTTCCATCAATTTCCAGAATCGTGGATCTGCACCACACGGTAGCCTACAAATGGCCAAGCAACGGGGAAGTTTGCCCAAGCGACGTCTATCCGGCTGTGGCGTAAGCTTGAGCTATGTCTACCATATCTATTGAATCTAATTGCTACATTCTCAGACTTCCAATGTTAACAAAAAATGCTTGGCCTTGCACATCAAGCACCGACGCTGCCCCGGCAAACTATTCTCGAGCTCAGGTTCAAATAAGGTAAGTTTAAATATTCCAATTGATCTCACTCACTCAGATAAACTGTTCACAGAAGCTACCACTTGTATCCACAAGTAATCTGCTAAAGACCCGCCGCATGCCCAAGGCCAATCCGGGTTCACTTCGGTTCCCCATTAAAGTACACAAGCTACCCGATTGCGCAGGCGTTAAAATAAAGCTACACAAGCAACGCTGTCGCGGCGGCAAGCTGTCATCCGCCGGCAACGGCTCCCAAGGCGCAAGGAACGCAAGTTCCAGGCCTCGAGAGAATCAGATGGGTGGCACTAGAGCCATGCCGGGCTCCCATCCCAAGCCCAGCCGACTGCAGACGACAGTTAGGAGCGACAGAGTGCAAGGTCAAGGCCAATCGCAAAGGCAAGCACAATTGCAGCCGGATGCGGGATATCCCCGTGAACAGCACTCACAGCCCGCAGTAAGACCTAAGCCTCCAGCAGCAGCAGCACGACGCGATCTGCCACAAAGATATCAGATGCAGGCTCCAGACCAACAGATTGCCAGACCTATTCAATGCACAGAGAACATACCAGCATCTGGAGGCACAAGAGCATCGGGCCAACCAGCTAGGAATGTGCCAACTCCCGCGGCAGGGACCCAGCCGGTGACAAGGCAGGAATCCACCGGAGCACCGGCAGAAAAGCGCGAGATAGCTCAAATCCAAAATCAAAATAGAAATCGGGCGCCAGAACGGACAGAGGAGCGGGCGCAGGTGAAAGAACGGGTGCAAGATCGGGCACAGGAACGTGTAGCACCACGCAGTGAAGAAAACACACTGCAGCGTGCGCGTAAGAATAACAACGAGAAGCAAATCACAACACAACGGCCCCAGTACCTGAGAGATGGCCAAGTGCAGCAGCTACCACAGCCTATAGTCCACTCGCACAGCAGGGATGGCTGTATGGGCACGAATATACATCATTTCTATCGCGGCAGCTTTTTGGCCGTGCGCTCAACCCAAATAAGCGAAGCAGGGCCAAGCAACGGCCCCGGCGGATCAAGGAGACGGGAGTCCCTTTTAACAGTCGCCACAAATATGCTGAGACCGCAGATGGTAAAGAAATCACTGCCAAAATGTTCGGCTTTTGTGGTGCCCAACAAATGGCAGTGTACGCAACAGCTCAACGGCTTTGTGGGCGGCAGCCCTATTGTGGAGCTGCAAAAGGTCAAAGGACTACATATAAGCGGCAAGAGCGGCTGGTCATGGCGCAAAATGTTGCCCAGTTGGCTGGTCAATGGCAAGGCAAAGGCAACTAGTGCATAGCCAGCGCTGTCAGAAGGCGAAAAAAAAAAACAAAAAAACAGCAAATTCTCGATGCGTTCCGAAAATTTTCAAATATGACACGATTTGGTTTCAAAAAAATTCTAAGCCACTACAAAAACTCGAATGATGCTAGCCTAGCGGACGACAAGTCCAGAAGCCAGAAGTTCGATGCCCAATCAGACCACACGCAGAATGACAGCAGTTGCGACAATATTGAACCAAAGGCCGCTACGGTAAGAAAACTACCGACTCCACCCCCAGGCGAAACGGTCAATCCCAAGCTACACGATCTGAAGCCCACCGTTAGGACACAATTTGTGCTGGGCAGGACAATGAGGAACAACGATTATAGTTCGGCAGCCATACGGAGAGGCAGCTACATGCGCCGGGACCAGTCTAGGCCGAGCTGGCCAGCCATAAGGAACAGGTCAAAAAAGCCAAAGCCCATACGCCATGTGGGCGGCGGTGTCAGATTGTGTCCTGTCTGCGGTCAGCGGGCAATTGACACCACCTTTACGCCCGATGGACACAATTGCATTTGTGACTTATGCAATGCCAAGATCCACGCCGCTTTGGAAAACTACAACGGTCAATCTGGCAATTACTCACCTTGCTCGTTAGACTGGCGACAGAGTCCGCAGTCGGGAAACCAATGTCAGAGTCAGGGTCAGGGTCAGGGTCAGGCAACGGCACAGAGTTCGTGTCCGGCTGGTAATCCGTGCGAGCCGCCACCGTTCAGCATTGTTGTGCTGCAGGATTGCGAAAATAGTGCACTGATTGATCAGCTGACGACTGCCTTAGCGCGAACCTGTACACAACAATCCAACTTTCACAACAACAGCAGCAATAACAACGATTACAGCACCGAATACAAAAATAATTATTCGAGCGGCTACCCGGATCGGTTTGTATCGTTTTACAAGACAAGACATCTTCGGTCTAGTTCCGAAGCTAAGGATAACTTCAGCAGCTCAGTCCGTCCGGATCCAAGGGCAGCTTTACGTTATAGTACTTCTATGTTAAAAGGAAGTCCAGTAGGACTCCAAGGGCAGCTTTACGTTATAGTACTTGCATATTAAGAGTAAGTCTATATTAGCTCAGTCCGTCCGGATCCAAGGGCATCTTTACGGTATAGTACTTCCATCTTAAAGTGAATTCCGGTTTAGTACTTCCATGTTAAAAGGAAGTCTAAATTAGCACAGTCCGTCGTTTTGCTCAATATTGTATTGTAGGGTCGAGATCATATCTTCCAATATCTTCTAAGCCTTGCCCTTTTTTCAACAGAGCCCCAACGTGTGCATTGCCAGCCCATGACTATGCACCACCCGGCTATATTCAAAATCCCCCACCAACGCCCACGGGCCAGGTATATTATGACGATACTCAAAACCGCATCTATGACACTCCATTGGCCCAAAGTAATTGTGAGTTTATCCTTAGTTCGATTCTAATGATTGAATATTCCTGTATTAGATGCAAGCCAAAGAAACGGGGATTGGACTGACAATGAGCCTTATACCGATAATTATACCGAAAAAAATAGTGAGTTAAGCATTCCCAAGTAAGCAAAGCCCTCAATTAATCCAATATTCCGGTAGTAGCTGCAGCTCCAAGAAACAATGAATGGGCTCCCGATCCAGGTTTCTGCAATGTTCGTCCAGGGCAACGCGACCCGCGTAAGTTGCACTTAACATTTTTGCAAATGTCTAAAGCACGCGCATAATTCATGACTGCTTCAGGTGACAATCCAGGTCCCCCGTTATATCCTCCTAGCGGCACAGGTATGCGTCGAAAGAACGGCCCTGTCAATGTGGATAACAACAGCTACGCTTGCGCGGCTGATCGAGACGATTCGAGTGGCTTTTCTGGACCTGGGTGTACCTGCAATTGCGAATTCTGCAGAAACAGTTACGAAAATAGCGGAAGGCTTATTTGTCTTATCGCACAGGCCCTGGAGATATTCCTGGAAAATAATGTCAGGGAACCAGCAGCCAATAAGGAGAAAAAAACAAAGCATGGTGGCCGCAAGTCGTCCCATTCCCGAAGCGCATCTAACACCGGCGTATCTGCTAAGTCCTCAAACACAAAAACCTCAGCTCAGCATAAGGAGAAGGAGAAGGAAAAAAAAAAGTTTAAGGAGAAATCCAAGAGCAATGGCAAGGAGAGGGCCAAAGGGCCGCCAAAGGATAAAAACAGAACCAAGCATGCCCAACGTCAACTTAATTATTCGAACTTCTTTCTGCCCGACTCAGAGCAGGTCCCATGCAAGTACAAGCATTCAAGTCCCTGCAGCGCAGCTTGTCGCAGTGGCTGCAACAAATCACCTGGCCGCAACAACGGCTACTCCGGCTCGGCAGGCTACAACGGAGGCTGCGTTCCCACCTGTACGGCTTCCTGTGGCAAATGTACGAACTGCTGTGCGGGCTCACGCTCGGCGGAGCACCAGTCCAGTTGTGTCCCAGGCTGTCAAGCCACCTGCAGTAGCTCGATGTCGAGCAACATTAGTGCACCCAGTCGTTCCAATCAGCGGCAGGCTAGATTGGGCGGACGCAACAGAGGGCTTCCAGGCAACCCTGGAACGGGCGGACGCAACCAGCAGTCAGGCGGGCGTGGAGGCGCCGAGTCGTCGGCGGGCCAGAGTGGCCGCTCAAAGCAACCAAATGCACGCTCCAAGTCGCCAGGCGGCAACGGTACGAAATATTGCCGCTGTTGCAACAAGCAACAGGATCGCTTTGGAGCTGGTGATGCCACAAATCGGACGCCATGCGGCTGCTGTGCCGGCTTTACAGGGCGAAGCATGAACAGCCAGACGGCCAGACCCACGGGCAACTGTATTCATGGTCTACAGCCCGTGGCCCACTATCGACCCGGCATGCTGCAATTCCCCATCAACTATACGCTCCGGCGCAACGGCGAATGCGTACGCCGTAGTCTGGTGCGCACAGCGGCGGGGGCCACACTCCACGAGCGGCCACACAGTGAGGAGCACATATCGAATGCCCTGCATGATCAAGGCAGGTCCAAGCCATGCAGTCGATGTCGTTCCAATTTACAGTTTTGGCACTGAGTGCACAAATTACGCATTGTGTAGATCGTATATAGTACTAATCCATCTATATCGAACATATAATGCATAATTTTGTTCGGCCGCGTGGTGGTTTAGTTTTCAAAGCAAAATTCCCGTTGACTTTCAATTAAGCTATAGATCAATATATATAATAAAACCGGTAAAATGCAAACTCAATTGTATCAATTCTCTGCATATGGTATGTTGTTTTCCTACATATTGGAGTTAGGGATTTTTGACATGTGTTTTTTTCAAAAGGTAACAGCTAAAGGATTTTTGCATTTGCAGCTTCCGCTTCCGTTTCCGTTGGCCCAGATTAACTTCTTAGCGGCGCAAATCAAACGGGCCACAGCTACGGGACAAACAATTAACGCCACAGGCGTTTCCTTATTATTCCTCATTCCATTTGGAATTCGACCAGGCGCAAAGTCACTAATCACCAAAAATATTTTGGAAGCGAGTCCCGGACAAAAGGTACAGGAACCTGTACCTGAACCGAGGCCCAATGGCCCATTCGGACGTGAGCGCACAATGGGCGCGTCGAGCTGCTTCCTGCGCTGCATTTCACACTGCGGGACGAACATCTAATTGCCTCCTGGCCACATGTCCTGCTGCGCGGCCAGCAGCTAGCGGAAAATGTTAATTGCAGCTACAGAACGCACTTTTCCACACTCGTTGATGCCGCTAAGCGGCAGCAGGACATCCTTTTCCTTGTTTTTGTTGTTTGCCAACATTTGTTTTTACAACCTGCCCTCTCTCTCTCTCCCTCTCTCTCTCTCTCTGTCGCACACACGCTCTTTGAATTCTCTGTTTGTGTACAAAGTACGCGCCTCCGCAGCGTTTCCGCTCATCATTCGTAAAATTAGTCGGGCCACGCAGCAACAGATGATATGAATGCCCCTTGGTCCCGTCCCGTCCCAGCCCAGGACAGGCTTGAGCCCATGCGCTGTAAGTAATACAGGATGCGTTTGTGCAGGAAGTGCAATTGTTCGATGTTTGCCTCGAATTTGAGCAAATGTTTGCGAAACGTGTTCGTGAGCACAAAAAATGAATGTAAATCGATTTGTTTAACTGGGCTCTTTGTGAGGTGATAAAATATAAAGCATATTTCTCAATTTATGCATATATATTTAACCATATTACGATCAAGGCAGTCAGAAGTCCAAGCCGGAACCGGAAATTAATAGGTTGAACTGCCCAAATCACATATAATAGATAATAGATAAGCAGTATAAGGAATATCAAAGGATCTTAATTAACATGGAGCTCAGGCTAAAGATATATTTAACTACATGAGCTTAGACAATTAATAAGATAAATATATCACTTAATACAGCTCAATCGTAGTTAAAGTAGCCTAACCTGGCTCGCACCTCACCTGCTTGCATTGAAGATCACACCTCAGTTATCTGTTATCTGTTGACAGGCTCTTCCGCAAAACTTCAGATGGCAGCATTTCGTAATTCGATAAGCTTTAACAGCTCAGTTGAGGCTAGGTATGCCCATTTATATTTACATGGGCGACAATTGCCCAACAATGGATGCTCAGTTCTCGCCGAGATCTTCTCTTTTTACAGCAATTTGTGAGCTTTGCTTTTGTTGTTGTTGTTGTTGTTGTTGTTGATTGTTCTTGGGCATGTTGTGGGTTTACTTGGGAAACAAACCATTTACGTGACACATTTCCGAGTCGTTGTAGTTGCCGTTAATCAGATTCACGGCGCATTTCTACAGTTCTTAAGGTTTTTATTTTTCATTGTTATCATTTGAAAATGCCTTAATCCGAATTTATTAAATGAAAGCGGAAGTCTGTGCGGCTTGTTTCCCATTGTGCCCACGAGCACTCGCCATCTCTGTCTTCTACCATCTCCCCCTCTCTCTCTCCCGCTCTCTCTGTCTTCTTCTATCTGATCTTCTTCTCGTAGTACTAGGGGGCTTCTCCGTTTTCGTTTTGTGTGTGGCATTTGAATGGCTGCGGAATCTGTTGTTTTGGTTTTACGAGCGCGCGTTTTCAGCTTCATTTTATATTTTTTGCTTTTACGGTTACCTCGTCTAGTTTTGTGGAGCAATTGATTTAAACATTTGACGTTCTGCGCTCCCAACTGGGCGCAGGTCCACAAAGATTGGTGTTAATGATCGTTTTTTATGTGTGGAGTTAGCTGCCAGCACAAGATGACAAACGATTCCACGCCCATTTATGACGAGCCAAGAAATAACCGCAAGTTTTCAAAACTCGTCTCGAAGATAGTGAAATTACAGGAATTCCCAACCAACACGCACTCCCTCACACCCAACTTGGTATTTCTAGCTGAAAACTTTACGACACATCTGTTTATTGATTTATAGTTCGGGAAAGTGCCAATAAAACTGAGTCCACGAGTCTGCCTAGGATTAGCTACTATGCTGAGGCTGGGTTTTTCCCCCTCTAAGCAAACACTGAAGATCATAAAATTCACTTTTCTGTGTATATATTTTGGTGCACTGTTAATGCCTGGCCTGCGTATATATGAAATTCTTAGCCATTAATCGTTCAGGCGAGGGTGGCTGCTGCAGTCATATATTTGGTATATATACATATGTATAGCTATATATAGGAAGACACCACCAGGCACATTTGGTACTTATGATAACATTTGATTAACGGCGAGTGCGCTGCCTCGATGGGTTTTCCCTTAAAATGCTCGGTCCCTATATTTGGAATCTGATATATGGGCGGCACACGCCCCTGCCACCGCCAGCTGTAACATTTCTGCTTGAAAAACTCCCATTAGAAATTATATAATGTTTGAAATACTCTCAAGCCCTAGACAGGGTTAAAAATAGGGTATAATGAAGTCGTATAGGTGCATGTGACCAGCAGAAGTAAACTTTTCTACGCCATTATGTATATATTCTTAGTTCCGGCAATCTTTAAAAGGAGACACCAAATCAGGTAGATGCCTTCTCTTTCTTAGCTTTCTTCGTTTACTTACAATCGATAAATATCGATTGATGTGTGGGCATCACATGCCCCTACCACCACCCATTATATCATTTATTTGTAATACCCTACCATAGACTAAGTTGAAAATGGGATCTCATGAAGTTTTATAGGTTTATGTGACCAGCAGAAAAATACATATTCTATCTTTAGGAGGAAGAAACACCTTGTTGGCAATGTTGATTCCTTCTTACCGTAAGACATCTTCCTTTATTTACAATCGATAGATACCGATTGATATATGGGTGGCACACGTCTCTGCCACGGCCATTAAAAATAATATAATTTATTTGTAATACGCCAGATCGACTGTAATGCCCTGTAATAACCATAGACTGAGTAAGCCCTCTTCTTCTTCTTCTTTTAATTATATTTATTTATTTATCAAGAAACTCAGAAATAATCTTGCTATGTATAGAGCCCGCAGCTGAGTGAGGGATATCTGCGAGTTGGGCAACCGCGACTAGAGTTTGTGGGTTCGTGTCAAACGCTTACTTCCTTTTGCCTTGCGCATTTATTCGAATTATGCGCCAACACAGAGTTACCTGTAATTGAAAATAAACAGGCTAAGCAAATAGCGAGAAATAATATAGGAAATATGGTAAGAGAAATATATGCTGAATATTAACGCACAAGCCATACAAAGTCACGTACGTAGCTGCGATATTAGTTGCTGAGCCTAAGCAAACATCCTTTGTTGGCCAATCCACCCGGTCTGGCTTCCTGTCGATGCTTATCATGTGTGAGCCGGAGCCTGAGGCCTTTACATGCATTGTGTGGGCCGAAAACAATGGCAATTGCAATTGGAGGCACGGCAGCTGGACAGGATGCCCAGCCTAGGAGGATTAACTGTAGCTGCTTGGCCGGCAGGATGTGTGTAGCTCAAAAAACAAATCGGCTCATACAGAGGAGTAGGTTCGGGTCATGCATCGCTGCTGACTGCTGTCTGCTGGCTGCTGTGCCACATTAGGCCAAGAGACGCCGCTATCAATTAGGCGGCCAATTAAAGCACTTAATTTATTTGGTCTGCGATCAATGCGAGCGATAAACAAGCCATTAGATGCAGAGGCACAATAAGTAGAACTCGCTCTCCTTTGCTCTCCCTCTCCACTTTCTCGCTCAGCGAAATGCGAGCAGGCATCAAAGCAGGCGGCGGCAGGACGAGACAGTTAGCTGCGCAGCCAGACAGCAGTTGCAGCTAGAGATGCAGCTACAGATACAGATACATTCAACAGATGCAGATACATTTACAGAGACAAAGGTGCAATCTTAAGTGAAAACCCAATAGCAATAATTGCGCAGGCTCTGTTGAGATAATTTCAATGGAACTGCCTGCTGCAACAGCAGCTGCTGCTGCAATTTGAACTCACGCACAGGACGCGCGTCCTGTGGTTGCTTGCAACAAACGCCTCGTGCCTTGTGCAACGCCAAGGGGCAAGGCTCGGGGGCGCGTCTCGCTCTCTCTCTCTCTCTCCGCTTTGGGTATTCCAATGAACTGAACTGCAAGCCAAAAGGCTGCGTAATTCAAGTATTCCACTTCACGCTTGTCTATAAATTGATGAAAGGATTCTGGCACTTAGCTGGCAGCCATATGCTAACGCACAGACTCAACACATGCTGCAGGATCTCCCCTCTCCCCTGCCCCGGTCAGTCAAATAAATGATCCTGTTTTTTTTTTTTGGCTGTCAGTTTGAAAAGGAAGTCGACACCGCAAAGCGCGCATTCACAATTTCTAGCTGTGTAGGCAAAAGGATTTCCTGTAATTACAATTCGTCGTCTAGGCAGCGTAATTAGTCAACATACACACATACACACACACACACACACACACACACACACACACACACACACTCGTCTATGGCTCGCATGTGCCCCCCGGTGGCACGTGATGGCCACCGAAATTGTTGGCATTGCCCCACGGAATTGTTTATTAATATGTACAAAAGATATTTCAATGAAAATTAAGTGCGACTTGATTAATTGACGTCTGTCAACGTGTGAGGAAGAGGAAAAGCCAGGGAAAGAGTAATATATAATGGAAATGGTGCCTAACATAGGTGCCAACCCAGTCAAGAAAGGTTCCAATTTTGAATATATCAATTTGTATTAGAAATAAGAAGTGCGAGACAGAGGTTGGAGGCAATGAAATGGAAAATGGTGTTGACTATGTAATTTAAATTTAACAATTGGTAAATGGAAAGTATTTTAAAGTATGCATTATCAGATCATATTAAGCTTATTCTCAGTATTGGTTATTATTTTCATTATAATTATTATTATTATTACGATTTAATTGTATTTATTACTGACTATTATAATATATTTATGAATTATTTAAAACTAACGATAGGAAATATAATAATAATACAAATAAAAATTATATTAATAACAATAATAATAATAATAATAATAATAATAATAATAATAATAATAATAATAATAATAATAATAATAATAATAATAAAAATTACAACTAATAATAATTGTTATGAAAATATTAAGCATGCAGAATACTGAGAATAATTATACTATGTGAATATTATTACTTATATTATTATAACGATTGATTTTTAAATTATTTTTTCAGATTTATGTACATCAGTCTTAAGCGTAAGAAAAGTCTGCAAATTAAAAAATAAAAAAAAAAACAGGAACAGCTCTCTATATCATAAAAATTAGTTCCCCTACATTCGATTTATATCTCAATTGACACAACTTGCGACAATTCTGAATACTTTCTATAGCAAAAACGTTCGACCTACCCCTTAAATCCATGATTTAATCGATTTGATGCTCGACAATGCGGGCTCTACATTTCATGAATGCAAAACCGATTAGGTTTTGGCCCTTTTCAAACAAAGAAAATCTAAAAATGTGTCCACTGCTGTCAGGTAAGCGTATTATCGAAAGAGCTGTAAAGATTAATACTAAAAAAAACACAGCAAATCGAGAATAACCCACATGAAACAACAAAAAAAAAAATTAAATAAAATATATTGCTATATAAAACATATATCATATATCTGTTGGAAAATATATAACATGATGAAGGATTATATTTCTAAATTAAAGGGATGTTTTTGAAAAAGATTATAAATAGTTTATAAATATAATTTATAAATAAAATAGACATTTTTCCAGTTCTACTCAAAGTTTTTAAGATTTTAGTGTCTAAGTTCTTAAAAGGTAAGCCCTATTTTTTTCCGTGTAACAGAGAGTGCCGCTCGCAGTCAGCCGAGAGAGCGTATGAGAGCGGCTATCTGCTTGTGGGAGAGCAAGAGAGAGAGGGTTAGTGCGCTTAACTGAGAGAGAGAGAGAGAGAGAGCGTGAGATTGGCTGAGGCAACAAAACCCGCTGCATGGGCACGATCGCGATCAGTTGAGAACGTGAAGTGCGCGTGCACAGAACGCAGATACACACAGCTACAGATACAAGATACAATACTTGTGTTGCGCTTGCTGAAATACGCAGATACTCGTACGCAATAACAACAACAACAAGAAAAGCGAATTGCAGCTGCAAACTGGAATTTTGTGTTAAGTGAACAAAAAAAAAGAAGAAACAAAAGCAAAAACTAAAGAAACTTGAAGCTGAAAACGTTGCAACAATTTGAAAATAAAGCAACAACAAATAATATTAAAAAACAAAAACAAAAAAAGCAAACTTTCGAAACCCGAGCCAAGCGCACATAGAAAAGTAGCTCAGAGCGCGAAATAATCAAGCGACAGCCGTATTATTGTTGCCGCTTGCCGCTTGTAACTGTGAGATACATTTTTGCAAATTGTGAAATTCGCAATTCGCACACAAATATCTAAGTGTGCCTCCAGCTGCCAGAAGCCGTGCACTAGTGAAAATCGTATTGGGAGAGAGCGCAGAGACAAACAACAAAAAAACAGCTTAAGCGAAAGCGAAACGCCAACAAGTGCAATTTCTATTTTCGCGAAAACCAACAACAAAAACCAAATATATATATATGCATATATATATATATATATATTAAAAATTCGAACGACAACTGAAACTGCATTGGCAATTCCGCGCAGGAAGTTCCATAAACAAAACGCAAATAAAAGAAATTCATAAACAAATTGCAAACAAGCCACATACCAAGCACGTATATATTCGCATATATATATTGAGAGAGAAGAGATATATATATTAAAACGGATATTGTCGTCACTTTGAAAAGCGCCAACTTTTGGATTAACTTTCGACTTGAGGTAAGCAGCATCTATAAGGCAATACGAACATTTGGGAGACCCTAACCGAGGCCAAGTCTAGCTCTAGCGCTCATTAACTGCCAAGTTTGGCTATCATTAAAAACAAAAACAATTTGTTGTTATAGGTTGTTTAAACTTTAAACGGCTTGTTTGACATGTTAAGGAATGCGCTCAATCGGACAATTTATTTTATGCCTTTTGCCTTGTACTATGTTTCGTTTTTTCCCTTTCCCTCTCCCTCCCCATCTCTCTCTGTCTCTGCTTTTTGTGACTCGCTAATTGACCTCTAAAAGGTGCTTCGTAATGACTGTGTATATATACACACATGCATGCCCGTAAGCCAGCTGAAAGACCATTTCAATTAACATAAGCGCAACATTTAACAGATACAGAAAACAATAAAAAAAAAACGATTTGTATAAAATTGAAAGTGCGAGCGCTGCCAAAGCCATTCGATATTTATGAATATTATATGCCACAGCTATAGGTCAGCTCAAGACTTGACAATCAACGTTACCTTGAATTAGGATCGTGTGCTACAAAAGCGTTTTCAAGAGCACAAGTTGAAGTTGAGGCTGTTCAAAGGCTGATCGAAATTGGGCGGGTATATAAGAGATATAAGGGCTATTCGATCCAATTAAAATTAGTTGGAATACTGCAGTCGACTTTCTATTACTCTTCCTCAGTTCAAGAACAATCTGAAAACTAGTTAACAACTAAATTTATCATTAGAGTAACTGATTAGGACTTTACATGGCTTAGATTTGATCACTTTAACTTTAAACTGCAAAAGATATATATTTTCTCGATCTGTATAGCTCACAGTTAATAGAAAAGTTGCGTAAATACGAACAGACATGACGGAATATATTTTTTACACAGATATCTTTTTAGTTTTTATATTGATCATTTGTTGTTTATGTTCATGGAAACTCAGATATACATTGAGTCTAACCTTATGAAGTTGTGCACAATCGTACAGAATTATAATTATATTAAATAGTGCTGCGATACTGGCTCCATTTATAGTTTCTCATAAAAAGTAGCTCACACGAGGTTCTTCCGTTATTATACCTGAAATTCAAGCACTTTGTTTATAGTAGAACCACAGATAAACTTCTTAGCTATAGTATAAAACGCGAGGCACATAAGCGGACTTGCTTTAGTTTAAATAGTTTAAATAATAAAGATATCGCACAATCTCTTTGCGCATTGTTGCCAATTCTTGGTGCACACTTCAAGTCCAGTTATAAGCCAGGTTCGCTGTTGGCCCTTTCAGAGACTGTGCGCGGTTTTGCGCAGCTTAGACTCAATGTGCAGTTGCCATGACCGAATTTATGGTTATGAAAACCTAACAACAGAAATTGTCAAGAGAATAACTGGCAACAGTTTGGGCCAAGTTGCGGCTCAGGCGGGGCAGAGAACCGCAGAGAGAAACCACAAAACAAAGCGACACACTCGAAATGCCAAGACGGCAGCTGCAAAACAAAAACCGACACAGAAGAATCAACTTGAGACAGTCAAGCGAAACAGAGCGAAGTAGAGAGAGGGAGGGAGAATCAGAGTGAGAGAGCACGATATTAAATGCATTTTGGGCGCTTTGTTAGCCTGTTGTGGCCCGCATGAATATTGTGAATGCGCGCGCATGCGCAAAGGATGTGGCCAAGTCGGCAGCGAATGAGAACTTTCTCAGCTGGAACAACTATTGTGGCAGTCGGCTCTTTGTAATCTTTGCAGCTGCTGCCACACATATCAAAACGCACCTGGCCACACAACAGGAACAACAAGAACAACGACAATCACTTAATTAAATTCTGTTGCAGTCGCGAGCGCGCTCTCCCTCTCTCTCTCTCTCTCTCTCTCGTTCTCTCCCCAGGCTGATTCAGTCCGGCGCTGACCCACTAGAGGAAATAACAAACTCATGACATAGCATACTAGACTCTTTAAATGCAATTTCTTAGATAGTACCAGGTAAAGCCCCTATCAATTTTCGTTGCCTCTTGATAAGCTCTTGCTCGCGTTTCCGGCTGCGTCTCTTTTTATACCCTCGTCGAGGGCATTATCTAATATTCGCTAAATTTGTAATGCATAGAAAAAACTCCCTTAAATATACAAATTCTTGATCAGTATCAGCAGCCGAGTCTATATAGTCATGCCTCTCTGTCTTCATATGGAAACTAGTCTCTAAGCTTTTAATACATTGCCATATATCTATTCTTGTTTTTTTCGAGCTCAATTTGCTTCTTAAGCATATAAAATATCATTAAATATATATTAAATATAGGAAGAATCGGTTGAAAGGTAAATTTTGTGCTATGGAAAATGTTTGTGTTTTTCTAGATATTTTGACTAAGCTAAGCAATTACAAGCTTCTGGTTTCCCTTATGATATCTGTTGATACGTCTCAGATCGTATTACTATATATATCATAAGACTTCTATAGGAACAATCGTTTGGAACTAAAGCCTTCGTAAGCAAGAAAGTGTATTCAATCGTCGTGCTACAGTTGCCTATTGCGTTTATTTTGAAGGCTAACCCACCTGAGTTGTAGTCTCCGCGGCAGCTTGTTAGACTGCGTCTGTTTATGGCGCGTGTCGTGCCAGGGCGCATCCTCCTGCCTGTCGGCTGTCCCGCTTCATTGGCCGCGACACGTGTGGGGCGTGAAAAGACAGCGCCTGATGCTGTCAATGTGCAGACAGCGTTGGAGCAGACGAGGGCCACATCAGCAGCTTCGTCATCATCAAAGCATTTGACGGGCTCTGCTTTTATTTAATTTCCAACTAAATATTTACCGGCCCACAGCCGACCCGGCGAGCCCCAGGCGAAATGCATTTGGCGCCGTTTGCTTTTTATTTTTGTAACGAGGAAAAGTCGTCACACATCCGTCCATCAACTGCGCCCTCATGAAAATGATGAATGGCCATGCGATGAGCGCAGTTCCCGCATGCCATGCCCGATCCCCCAATGCCTCCTCCGGCTCTGCCCCAACCCCTAGTTACCTCTAGCCGCCCCCGCGCCCCCGCCACCGTCGCGCCCTAAGCAACCATGCTGCAGCGCCAGCTTTTGCAGACGTCAGGCAGACGCCGCTGCGACAGCGTTACATGATTTGTAATATCAGCAAACATATATATATACACACACACGCACACACACATACGTCACAACAAGTGCATACATGTGGGAATCCGGTTTGTTGTTGCTTGGCTGGCAAAAATGTTTATTTTTAACAAAATTCAGCAGATTATCATCTGTCGTCTGCCGCTGTCTATAGTTGTTGTTGTTGTTCTTGTTGTTGTTGTTGTATGCACTCTGTAAAATATTTGTTATTGAATGAGCAAGTTTATTTGCCTGGAATTGCAGCAAAGCAAACAAGCGAGAAGCAACTGTTTATAATCTTAAATAAATTAATTGAATAGTTTAATAGACCAAAAGATACAAATATGTGCCTGGCCCGCCCACCGGACATTTCCACATGATTAGTTCTCAAAAAGCAAAAAGAAAAACTCTTCAGCTGGAAATTCAACATGATTCTAGAGAAGAAAGCGAATTGACTTAGGAGGAAGCGCATAATTTGGACGTGCGCAATTGTATCTATGAGATACACGTATCTGAGAGATACATTCGTGCGCGCAGAGCAAGAACAGTTTCAAATTGTAATCAAATTAATGGCAGCCCGCAAATTTACATAGTCGCTGTGTTTTCTATTTGTCAGACATTTGATATGTAAGCCAAACAAAATCAACTAGAGAAGACATCTGCTACGATTGCGACTACGCAAATACCCTGTAAAACAACAAAAAGCCAATTTAAAATACAATTCAAATAAAAACTTAAGACTGAATCTGAAGATTTGTTAATTAGGTCAAGTAGAAATTTTAAAATTTACGAAATACTAAAAAACTGGAAACTTTATGAAGTATCTTTAATGCTCACAAATATTTTTATAGCTACATCTGATATAGTTCTACTGTGTCATATTTGGCTTTCGTGTCATGCATGGCACGTGCAAATTGTTTTACAGGGTATAGAAAATCTGTATGCGAAATTGAGCAAAAGTTTGTGTTGCCCGGCAAAGTTCGCGGTAGATGAGTTCTTGAAAAACGGAAGCGACCTGCAGATAAAGATGGGAGGCGTCAACAGACACAAATACACAGCAAAGACTTAAGTGTATACGTGTATGTGTGTGTCAGTGTGTGTGTGTGTGTGTGGGGAGCAAATTACGCACTTAAAGTGCTCGCCAAATGACAGGAAACGCGTCATTTTTACGAACTTCAAATTACGATTTTACGTTTCGTCTTTTTCGTTGTTGCTGCACACTCAAAGAAGAGACGCCTGTGTGTGTGCGTGTGTGTGTGTGTGTGTGTGGGGGTATGTGTCAGTGTTTATATAGTAGCTGCCACTAAGTAGCAGCAACAAGAAGAACAACAACATGCGACAGTGCAAAGTGCAGACGTCAACGTAATTAAAACTGGCGCAAATGCATTTGTATTTGTATTCGTTGTCGTATCTCACATTTGCTGTGTGTCTGTCTGTGTGTGTGTCAGAGTTTCCTTTTGTGCATCCTGTGCGCGGGCGGAGGCGGATATGCGCACATTGCACAGACTTCCTGTCATTGACTCCGACACACACACACACACGCTCACACCCGGACAGCGACAACTAGTAACAGAAAACCATTTCCTACCCAGGCACAGACCCCAGAGCACAAGACCCTGGGCTAAGGGCAACCACGACAACGATTTGCTGTATTGGGCGCGTGCTCAGCACGCGGTTTGTGTGTAGCCAAACCAAACGAATGCCAATGCCAATGTTGACAAAATACAACAATAAAACAAAAAACAATCAGTCAGATAGACAGACAGTCAGAACGATCGCTGGAGCTTGCGTGGGTTAATGATTTAAGCTATTGATGTTGCCCTTGTCGCGACGGAAGCGCAACAGACATGTGCCACACACAATTTTTACCTTTTGGGCAATTGATGTCTGGACTTGATCCTTGCCCCGCCTACAGAAACTGCTTCAATTGCTGACAGCTTTAATGGCCACTTAATCTTTAAACATTTCACACGCCTTCATTTCGCTGTGGGCGCAACTTCGTGAATTTGCTCGCGGAAGTCGCCCCACGGGGTGGTCTCATATAAAATTCAAACTGTTATAATTCTCTAATTTAGCGCGCCCGCTGAGCGGACCACCTGAGGTGCGGCCGGTCACATTTAAAATGCAAATGCTTATCGTTTATCGAAATGCTTATCGAACCTGTGAGCTAATGACATGCCTAACATAGCGTGTGATGTTAAGCCTCGTCTTGGACAAACTTGGGCATGTTTATGGCATCCGCTGCAGTTGAGTCACAGCCAAACATACTGATAGCTTTTATCAAGGCGTAGGCTGGGCTTAATTTTTGTTGGCATGGCTCAAATCTCAGGCAACTTGTTCTGGCCATGGCTTATGCCACAGAGCCGCATTCTCCAATGCCCAATTTATATGTTAATAACTTAGTTTACTCAGCATTTCCCCCACACAGCACGCAACATACATATGCACATACCTCAACAAGTGGCTCTTGGGGCAGCTTCCAAGCGCGGGCATTGTGTGTGGCTTCCTGGCGAGCAAACAAAGAGAACAGCGAAAAGAGTTTTCTGTTTTGTTTTTTTTCATATTTGTTGATTCATTTCATTTGTTTACGCCCGTCGAATTCAGTGTTCGTGGGAAATAACGCGCTGCTGGCAATGAACTGGGCACACTCACACACACACACACAACGCACACACGCATGCACACAGGTATAATTAAAATTGCGGCTTCATACGAATTCGATTCCTTGGCGGATTCTTGGCTTGGTTTTACGCACTTCCTTGGACGGAAGCACTTGAAACGAGTTCCGGAAAACTATTAACGCACGCAAATGACAAATGGGCTAAACTCAAGGGTTCTTCCACAATTGGCTTCCCCACTTTTTCGTACACTGTGTGAAACGAAATTACAGATGACGGTTGCCGTCCCGCCCGCGGCTTCCGTTGCCTTACGCACACACAAACACATACACCTTTTAACTTTGGCTTTGGCTTTGCGCCGGCGGATGTTTTGCTTGTCACTGCCATTTTCATTTCCATGCCCGTTGTTCGCATTGCCATTCTGATTGCCCAAGCTGTGTGTGAGCTGGCTGTCTTTTGTTTTTTCGCTTTTGTTTTGCTCGCCACATTCGCAAGCTGCCAATTCGCCGCCGTCGTCGTCGTCACCGTCACCGTCACCATCACCGTCGCCCGTTCGCTAATTGTTTCCGCTTGCCGCATCGGTTCTGATTGTTATCGTAATCGATGCCATTCCGGTTTGGCACTTGCCTTTCTATGTCAGCCAACAATTGAGCAAACCACTGAGCCATCAGCTAATAGTCAGCAATACAAATGTGGGCCATTTATTTAAATGTGACCATGGCTAACACTCGATTGTTGCTGTTGCTGCTGCTGCTGCTGCTACGGCTACTGTTAGTGTCGCCTCATTGTTGTTGCTGCTGCGGCTGCTGTTGTTGTTGTTGTTGTTATCGATATGACAGCAGCGTAATGATTATTCAGCGCTTCCTTTCGCGTGTGTCCCGCCCCGCTCCGCAACCGTGCGTCCCATTTTGTTCGATGGCAACAAGGTCAGATTTAATATTGCGCTACAATAACAAAATATCATTCAAAGCATAACAACAGAAACGAGCAGACCACTGCGATACGGCGAAATTCGAATACTCTTACTTAACAGCGCTGTTAATAGAGCGACCTACATACCAGCTGTATAACAGTTGACGTTTGTTATATTATGTTAATGAAAAGCTACCAATTGCAAAGGTGGCAATTTGAGACATTTTCGTAGATTGATAATATATATAATTAAATAAAACGATTCTTAGCTACATTTATTTTAGTTCTGCCATTTTGTGTGTTATTCGTTTTAATTGTGTTATTCGTAGAAACTTTACCATGCACCTGCAAACCTGGTGACTAAACTAAAAGGCTTTTTATTTGATTATTGCACGTACAATGCGGCGTATGCGTATTATTGTTGCCGTTGACGCGATTAAACAATTGTCTGCTTGTGAAAGCATTTCCGCCACTTGAATTCTGCCCATGCACACAAACACACACACACACACACACACACACAGTCATATGTATATCCCCCACTCTCAGCTAATGAGTCACTTCCATTAATCGGCGTCATTTCTATCTGTCATTACAGCTGATTGTTTGAGGCAAGTGCACAATGCAAGTGGAGGCCAGTTACCCGAAATACGCCGGACGCGTGCCGCCTCTGGACTTGTCGCAGGTCAATGCCGGCCAGGAGCAGCTGCAGCAGCTGTGGGCGAGCAATGCGGCTGCTGCCATGAAGCGTCATCATCCATACCAAATGCTGGACAAGTGTCGCGGCGGCGTCACAGTGCTCAGCGAAGACATCAACAACAACAACAGCATTGCCACGGGCAACAGTCAGCACAACAACATGAACAACAACACCAGCCTGCACCATCCCATAGGCTCCGATGGGCTGCCGATTGATCCGCGAGACTGGACACGCGCCGATGTCTGGAAATGGCTGATCAGCATGGCCGTCTCCGAGGGCCTCGAGGTGACGCCCGAGCTGCCACAGAAGTTCCCCATGAACGGCAAAGCCCTCTGCCTGATGAGCCTGGACATGTATCTGTGTCGTGTGCCCGTCGGCGGCAAGATGCTCTATCGTGATTTCCGTGTGCGCCTCGCCCGCGCCATGGCGCTGCTCTCCTAGGGTGTGCTCGCCGAGAACACCCATGCGTAATAGCCTAACCAGGTTGTACATATACATAGTATATACATATAGCACCTATGCTTTATATAGCTCACTTAGACCTAACTAGTCGCTAGTGCTCCTAGTCGTAAGTCTTAGACCTAAATGCATTTGTTTATTCGCTTAAGTGGTCGAAGCATGCCCCGCCTGCGCCTGCTCAATTGCGGCCCACCGCGGGGCACACTTCAAATGCTGTCCTATTAGTCGTATAAGTTGCATCTAAGGAAAATATAAAATGAAATTTTATGAAATGAAACTTAACTGTTAGTTTTCACTGCAGTGAGGCGGAAGTTCTTGATATGAATGTATATACGGAAGTGCTGAAAAGATCTTGAAATATGTAAAACAAAGTGTAAGAGCATTTCTTCGAGTCCGAGCTGGTCCCTTAAGTAAGTGAAAGGGTTAGGGCTATAATGAGAGATGCCAAGCTCTTTTAGAAACAATTCTTAATGAAAGAACTTTTGCTAGACAGAATTTGCTAGATATTGTCCAAGATCTTGAAAATAGTCTAGATCGTAGAACAAAAATATCTTACTAGATCATTTAAAAAATTAGATTAGATTATATAAAATGTATCTGTAGAAGATTGAGATAGAGTTTAGATTGGGAAATGTCTTTTAACGGAAGTCTTTAAGACATTTAGTTGATGTTTAATCATGATCTTCTGCTTGGATACTTACATGGCACGAGAAATAAAGTGATTACAATAAAAAAGTAAATCTAGTCATGTTTATAAATGTGATATTGCATATGATGTAGACAGCTAGAAGTCTTTAAAGCATGTGTGTAAATAATAATCTGCATAAGCATGAAGGTTTATTTGCTTACCATTAAGAACAGGTATATCATGATAATTTAATAATGCAATTAACAAGTGGTAACTGTCAACATGTCTAGATATTCCACAGACATTGCCGCGCTATAAAGCCGTACAAAGACGCTTGAGATATGCGTTATCAAAGCATAAAAGAATGTACGATAACTGGGTGAGAATGGAATAAAATGCAAAAGTATATCTAAAGAAAAGCTTCCATTTCCGGACCTAACTGATATTTACAGGTATTTACCGAAGATTGAGCTGCTCACTTCACGCTAAATTTTCCACTCAAGGCATTTGGAGAAGATTAAAGACTTGTCTCTGTGATGGATAAGCGTCTTAATAAATTCTCATGGCTAGAGTAAATCTATTGAGCAACTCTTTGGCCACTTTCTAAACAATTTGGAATGAATGCGCACGAATCGAGTCTACTTAGTTTGTGTTTTATGTGCTGTTTATGTCTTTCACAATTTCGAATGGAACCATATAGAAACTAAAGAGGAAGAGACGCATTGACATGTTGAATACGTTGCCCAATTAGCACATCATTAAGGTTAAACGAGAAACGAGAAATGCTCTCTGAAGCGGCTGCTGCAGAGTTAAAGAAAAGCAACCGAACTCAATGGAAGTGCAATAAACTTTTTGTTATTGTTGGCCAAGAAGTTAATGTTAACATTTATACATGTCGATGCCAGGCGGTAGATCACCCATGATGTTTATTTTTAGAGCGCCGCGTGATTTATGTCTATGGATATAGAACAGCCGCGTTCTCTTCAATATATACGTATTTTATTCCTTTACTGGACTGGGCAGTTGGTAATTGTGGAGCAAATAATATTTGGCAGTTGCCAAAGAGTTGGGTAAACCAAAGCGGGGCTCGTTCTCATAACAGAACACTTTAGCTCTTTCCCCCTTTTTTTTAGTATTATATTTTCTTTTTTGCAAATAATAGTTGAACAATTATGACAATAACAATAACGAGGCATGATAATCAGCAGCGGTAGCCAAATAGAGACCGCACGTAGAGATAGGGCTCTATAGGTACACAGAGAGAAAGGCAGAGAGAGAGGGAGAGGGAGAGAGAGAGAGAGAGGGAGAGAGCAAGAGAGATAGGGAGAGGGCGATGCTGATTCAAGCGCTTCATCCGCCCGTGCATCCGCTCGTTTTGGTTTTTCTATGAATGAACAGCCACAGATACAGATACCCGCACACAGATACAGATACAGATACATTTGCAGATACAGATACAAAAAGCATGTGCGCTGTCTCTTCCTGTATGCGGCTCATTGTCGCTGCTGCTGCTGCTGCTGTTGTAACTTTGGAACTTTGCATTTAGTGCAGTTTTATAAATTTGTCTGTTTTCTGTTTTTAATTCTCTCTTTAGTTGAGCATCCGGGATGTTGTTTGTGCGCACACAGCGCCGGCCTGAAAGGTAAAGGAAGTGAGACAAATGGGCCAGTAGCAACAACAACAATAACAACAGCAACAACAACAACAACGACCAGAAACAACAACAACAACCACTAACAACAACATGGCAAGCACTTTGTTTGTACCTTTGGCAGCTCTACCTTGTAATATGAAACAGATGTCGTGGCCACAACCTCCAAGAGACAGCCACGACCTGCCACATGCCACATGCCACACGGCACAGCTGACGCTGTTTGCAGCGCACGAATATTTTGACAAATAACATATTGACACAACCTATCCACAGAGCTGTGAGGGTAGGTCCTACAGCACAGGATCTGAAGAATGCAGCAGATTCCTGGCGCACATATTTCAATCGTGTTCAGAAATGTTTTCACAGTTTGAGCCTATAGTTGATCCAGCTAGGGATTGGATAACCTTATAGATCAAATGTTGGAAAACCTAGGTAAGATATCCTGAAGGGCCGTGGTAAATAACCTTATAAACAGATCTGTGAAGAATAAAATTAAAAACAAGTAAGAGGTTCTAGTCGGGAGCTCCTGACTAGGGGATACCCTGAACCCTCTTTTTCCAACATCAAACCATGAAGAAAAAGCCAAACTTCGTGGAAATCGGATGAGATTTGGCCGAGATATGGGGGTGGTAATTTTTGACCCATGCCTATATATATATGAATCTTGGGGTAAGTTTTGGACATGAATTTCGACTAAAAAATCGGTGTCGAGATTTGAATGGCAGATTAATCTAGAGGGAAAACCATGAAGAAAACGCCAAGCCCCGTGAAAATCGGATGAGATTTGACCGAGTTATGGGGGTGGTAATTTTTGACCCGTGTCTATATACGAATATTGGGGTAAGTTTTGGACATGAATTTCGACTAAAAAATCGGTGTCGAGATTTGAATGCCAGATTAATCTAAAGGGAAAACCATGAAGGAAAAGCCAAACTTCATGAAAATCGGATGAGATTTGGCCGAGATATGGGGGTGGTAATTTTTGACCCATGTCTATATACGAATCTTGGGGTAAGATTTGAACATGAATTTCGACTAAGAAATCGGTGTCGAGATTTGAATGCCAGATTAATCGAGAGGGAAAACCATGAAGAAAAATCCCAACTTCGTGAAAATCGGATGAGATTTGACCGAGATATGGGGGTGGTAAATAATGACCCATGTCTATACATGAATCTTGGGGTATGTTTTGGACATGAATTTCGACCAAAAAATCGGTGTCGAGATTTGAATGCCAGATTAATCTAAAGGGAAAACCATGAAGAAAAAGCCAAACTTCATGAAAATCGGATGAGATTTGACCGAGTTATGGGGGTGGTAATTTTTGACCCATGTCTATATACGAATCTTGGGGTAAGATTTGAACATGAATTTCGACTAAAAAATCGGTGTCGAGATTTGAATGCCAATGTCTATACATGAATCTTGGGGTATGTTTTGGACATGAATTTCGACCAAAAAATCGGTGTCGAGATTTGAATGCCAGATTAATCGAGAGGGAAAACCATGAAGAAAAAGCCAAACTTCATGAAAATCGGATGAGATTTGGCCGAGATATGGGGTGGAAATTGTTGACCCATGTCTATATATGAATCTTGGGGTAAGATTTGAACATGAATTTCGACTAAAAAATCGGTGTCGAGATTTGAATGCCAGATTAATCTAGAGGGAAGACCATGAAGAAAAATCCCAACTTCGTGAAAATCGGATGAGATTTGACCGAGATATGGGGGTGGTAATTTTTGACCCATGTCTATATATGAATCTTGGGGTAAGTTTTGGACATGAATTTCGACCAAAAAATCGGTGTCGAGATTTGAATGGCAGATTAATCTAGAGGGAAAACCATGAAGAAAAAGCCAAACTTCATGAAAATCGGATGAGATTTGGCCGAGATATGGGGGTGGAAATTTTTGACCCATGTCTATATATGAATCTTGGGGTAAGATTTGAACATGAATTTCGACCAAAAAATTTGAACATGAATTTCGACTAAAAAATCGGTGTCGAGATTTGAATGCCAGATTAATCTTGAGGGAAAATCATGAAGAAAACGCCAAACTTCGTGGAAATCGGATGAGATTTGGCCGAGATATGGGGGTAGTCATTTTTGACCCATGTCTATACATGAATCTTGGGGTATGTTTTGGACATGAATTTCGACCAAAAAATCGGTGTCGAGATTTGAATGCCAGATTAATCTAAAGGGAAAACCATGAAGAAAAAGCCAAACTTCATGAAAATCGGATGAGATTTGACCGAGTTATGGGGGTGGTAATTTTTGACCCATGTCTATATACGAATCTTGGGGTAAGATTTGAACATGAATTTCGACTAAAAAATCGGTGTCGAGATTTGAATACCAGATTAATCTTGAGGGAAAATCATGAAGAAAACGCCAAACTTCGTGGAAATCGGATGAGATTTGGCCGAGATATGAGGGTAGTCATTTTTGACCCATGTCTATATACGAATCTTGGGGTATGTTTTGGACATGAATTTCGACTAAAAAATCGGTGTCGAGATTTGAATGCCAGATTAATCGAGAGGGAAAACCATGAAGAAAAATCCCAACTTCGTGAAAATCGGATGAGATTTGACCGAGATATGGGGGTGGTAAATAATGACCCATGTCTATACATGAATCTTGGGGTATGTTTTGGACATGAATTTCGACCAAAAAATCGGTGTCGAGATTTGAATGCCAGATTAATCGAGAGGGCAAACCATGAAGAAAAAGCCAAACTTCATGAAAATCGGATGAGATTTGGCCGAGATATGGGGGTGGAAATTTTTGACCCATGTCTATATATGAATCTTGGGGTAAGATTTGAACATGAATTTCGACCAAAAAATCGGTGTCGAGATTTGAATGCCAGATTAATCTAGAGGGAAAACCATGAAGTAAACGCCAAACTTCATGAAAATCGGATGAGATTTGGCCGAGATATGGGGGTAGAAATTTTTGACCCATGTCTATATATGAATCTTGAGGTAAGTTTTGGACATGAATTTCGACCAATAAATCGGTGTCGAGATTTGAATGGCAAATTAATCTAGAGGGAAAACTATGAAGAAAACGGCAACCCCGTGAAAATCGGATGAGATTTGACCGAGTTATGGGGGTGGTAATTTTTGACCCATGTCTATATACGAATCTTGGGGTAAGATTTGAACATGAATTTCGACTAAAAAATCGGTGTCGAGATTTGAATGCCAGATTAATCTTGAGGGAAAATCATGAAGAAAACGCCAAACTTCGTGGAAATCGGATGAGATTTGGCCGAGATATGGGGGTAGTCATTTTTGACCCATGTCTATATACGAATCTTGGGGTATGTTTTGGACATGAATTTCGACTAAAAAATCGGTGTCGAGATTTGAATGCCAGATTAATCGAGAGGGAAAACCATGAAGAAAAATCCCAACTTCGTGAAAATCGGATGAGATTTGACCGAGATATGGGGGTGGTAAATAATGACCCATGTCTATACATGAATCTTGGGGTATGTTTTGGACATGAATTTCGACCAAAAAATCGGTGTCGAGATTTGAATGCCAGATTAATCTAAAGGGAAAACCATGAAGAAAAAGCCAAACTTCATGAAAATCGGATGAGATTTGGCCGAGATATGGGGGTGGAAATTTTTGACCCATGTCTATATATGAATCTTGGGGTAAGATTTGAACATGAATTTCGACCAAAAAATCGGTGTCGAGATTTGAATGCCAGATTAATCTAGAGGGAAAACCATGAAGTAAACGCCAAACTTCGTGGAAATCGGATGAGATTTGACCGAGTTATGGGGGTGGTGATTTTTGACCCATGTCTATATATGAATCTTGGGGTAAGATTTGAACATGAATTTCGACCAAAAAATCGGTGTCGAGATTTGAATGCCAGATTAATCTAGAGGGAAAACCATGAAGTAAACGCCAAACTTCGTGGAAATCGGATGAGATTTGACCGAGATATGGGGGTGGTAAATAATGACCCATGTCTATACATGAATCTTGGGGTATGTTTTGGACATGAATTTCGACCAAAAAATCGGTGTCGAGATTTGAATGCCAGATTAATCTAAAGGGAAAACCATGAAGAAAAAGCCAAACTTCATGAAAATCGGATGAGATTTGGCCGAGATATGGGGGTGGAAATTTTTGACCCATGTCTATATATGAATCTTGGGGTAAGATTTGAACATGAATTTCGACCAAAAAATCGGTGTCGAGATTTGAATGCCAGATTAATCTAGAGGGAAAACCATGAAGTAAACGCCAAACTTCGTGGAAATCGGATGAGATTTGACCGAGTTATGGGGGTGGTGATTTTTGACCCATGTCTATATATGAATCTTGGGGTATGTTTTGGACATGAATTTCGACCAAAAAATCGGTGTCGAGATTTGAATGCCAGATTAATCTAAAGGGAAAACCATGAAGAAAAAGCCAAACTTCATGAAAATCGGATGAGGTTTGGCCGAGATATGGGGGTGGAAATTTTTGACCCATGTCTATATATGAATCTTGGGGTAAGATTTGAACATGAATTTCGACCAAAAAATCGGTGTCGAGATTTGAATGCCAGATTAATCTAGAGGGAAAACCATGAAGTAAACGCCAAACTTCGTGGAAATCGGATGAGATTTGACCGAGTTATGGGGGTGGTAATTTTTGACCCATGTCTATATATGAATCTTGGGGTATGTTTTGGACATGAATTTCGACTAAATAATCGGTGTTCAGATTTGAATGCCAGATTAATCTAGGGGAAAAGCATGAAGTAAAATCCTATATCATATATATATTCTATTTTAGAAGCTATATGTTAAGTTTGGAAACGGAGTAGTTATCGACTATCGGAAACAAACTCGATCTGCGCGGGAACTAGGAGCACATACATCTAAAATTTCAGTCTCTAGCTCTTATATGTTCTGAGATCCTTGCGTTCATACATACGGACTGACGGACGGACAGACAGACAGACAGACGGACATGGCTAGATCGACTCAACTATTTATGCTAATCAAGAATGTATATACTTTATGGGGTCGCAGTTGCTTCCTTCTGCCTGTTACATACATTTGGCTTTCGCACAAATACAATATACCCTTTTACCCATTTTTAATGGGTTCATTGCTTGATTTTTAAGAGAGTAAAAGGCAGGTCTCGTTAAATAACTGAAGGAACAGGGCGTACCTTGCGGGAATTCGGTTTCAAGATGTGGCTTCTCTTGCTTTGGTTAAGACTGCAAAAGTCCGTAATATGTATGTGATTAAATTATTGGAGGCCAGAGGTCTTAAGCCTGTACAGCACTCCAAGAAGAGGAAATCAAGGCTAGCACAGCCCAACCCCACACAATTGAGCAGGAGCTCAAGTAATTCCGACGACATTGGAGAACCTTTAAAGGCTCTCAGTCCATCGGCTAGCATATAGGAAGCTATGAAAAAGCATTTATATATTCAGCTTTCAGCAATTTAATTTGATAAATAGTTTTTTTCTACTTTTATAAACTTTTGGTTAATTTTCTATCCAAATCCAAAATGCAGCCACACAGTAATTTTTTGAAGAGGTGCTTAGCCTAAGCCCCACTTGACCCCATCAAATACTAAGTCTTATATGTCTATCCCTAGCATTATGCCGGTACAGATATATAAGTCGACCAGTGCCATCTACATGACCTGCTTGTCGAAGCTGTCGATATCCGCCTTTGTGCCAGAATGCAATCAGAAGCTGGCCGTCGAGCAGGCCATAGTCCAAGCGCTGGACGAGACCATCATGCCCCACAACTATGCCGAACGGCAGGAGGAGGCCGAGGAGCTGCTGCACCGATCCCAAACCAATTTTCGTGAGGTATTTGCCCCTCCTGCAGCGCTGCAAGCCAAAAAAGTTGCGTGGGGCAATAATACCACCATGTGGATCGATTCCGATGATGAGGTGCACCGACCTTTGCATCCGATCAAGGCGGCCCGCTATGATCGCATCTATAGGGCTCACTGTCGTGGCATGAGACCGCAGCAAATGGTCAAAAGGCGAGTGGATGGCCCCGCAACGGATTTTTCAATGCGTGCGTATTCCACTTTACCCCAAATCTTAAAGGTTAATCCTGCTCACTGACCCACAGAGGACCTGATCAAAGCCATGTTCCTGATGGGTACGTTGACCATCACAATTTATTTGATTGCTGATCTTCCCTTCTGAAGACTGTTTCCGCTGGAAGGGGTGGAATGATGGTTTCACTGGAATGTCAAATTGTGAAAACTGTTTTTTGATCAATCAATCAATTTGTAATCTCTTGACTCTAAGCGAATGCGCTTAGCAAAACAAATGCGGCAAAAGCAAATAAATAAGTCCAAAGACCGGGAAAATTGTAGGTAACGCCGCTTATGTAAAGTAGAATATCCGCCGGCGGCCGACGACCGAGCCCGACCCGAGCGCCGTCAAACGGAAGACGAGGTGCGAAAACAATAAACAGTAAACGGAAGTGGAAGCCAGCGACGGTTCCATCCAATCTTCATCATCTACAACTACATCATCATCATCATGATGACCATTTTGAGCTACTGGACAACAGATTTTGCCAATTTGCTCGAAATGGCTTTTCAGTCGTTTTTCCGGCCTTTCTGCTGGAATCTCTTTTCCAAAATTTCGTATAGGAAATGACTTAACTAAAAACTGAGTCACATCAATAGATGTTGGCTCAAGTGGTTGGGTTTTCTTGTTAATCGAGTTCTGGCCGGAGCTGGGGGTCGAGAACGAAACAACAACAAACATTGGGAAATGGGGGAATCGGGGTATGGGGACCCAACTGGGGTTACGATTATGCAATTGAAACTCTTGGAGCGGCCGCCTCTTTAATTAGTTCATTGGCAGCAAACGGAATGGGCGCGATATTTCCCACGAACTCTGAAATCGACGGGGTAAACAAATGAAATGAATCAACAAATATGAAAATAACAAAACTGAAAATTGAGCAAGCGCGTTCTAGTCGAGCCTGCCCAGCTAGAAGATACCCTGCGAAACTTCTCCGGATGCTATGAACAATTTATTCTACACTATCTTCGGATTCTGTTGTCCGATCGTTTTAACAAGTTCAAAAACCAAAAATCGGCCAAATTTGATTTGGAAGAAAAGGGTATATATCTGAAAAATTGAAACTCGATCTGTGGAAATTATACGAGAAGCCTAATACCTTTCAAAATCTACGATATATGATCGAGAACTAGAACTAACTGTCGAAATATCCACTTAAGAGAAAGCCAAATTATTTTAAGGACTTTCCTATACACCCTCATCTGTGGACGCTGAACAAGAATAGATATTCTTTATGGGACTAAAGATGCCTGCTTCGGTCAATTACATAAATTTGATGAACTTCAATAGATACTGGGTATAAGAACAGAACTGAAAACTGGATAAACAGACCCTGTCCCGCTGTGGTGCCACACACAAAGCGAACGCCCGCTTGGAAGCTGCCCCAAGAGCCACTTGTTCGCCGAGGCTTGTCTTTTGTTTGTTTATGTGGAGTTCAGTGAAATGTTGGAACATGCTGTGGCATTAACATATGAATTGGACAGAGTGACTGAGTGTCGCCGAAGTTACATGAAATTCGAGCCACAGTTCCAAACATGACACCAACAACAAAGAAATGCAACCCACGCCACGATAAAAGCTATCAGTGCGTCCGTCTGGCTGTCGCCCCGTCCCAACAACATGTCCATTTGGTGACTCAGTTGCAGCGGATGCCATAAACAATGTCCAAATCCAGCTTCGAACAGACTTTAGACACGATTTGTGTGGCATATCATTAGCACTAAAGTTCAGTCGATTACCGATTAACGATTAACGATAAATATTTTCAGCTCAAATGCCGCAGAGCTTCAGGCGGTACGCAGCATGTGCTCTAGAATTGTGGGCCTAATAGAGAAACTAGAGAATTAATTAATTAATTATTTCATTTAATGCCGCAGTGGCTTGTGGGACCTCCCATGAGTCCACGGGGCAGCAGGGGGGGGGGGGGGGGGGGGGGGGGCAACTTCCGGCCGCGTTAGATGTGGCAATAAAACGTTTTAAGAGTGCAGCTCACACTTGGCCCCGAATGTACTGACGAAAGCAGTTGAAGTTCAGTGGGTTTCTCACGCCCACGCTATGCCAAGATCGTCATGAGAATGGGAAGGGAAAAGCCAAAAGCTGTGTGAAATCGTTTCAAGAAAACGCGACCGCCAAAGACAAAGCGCAAGAGCGAGCGAGTGAGGGCGACGTGGCCACGAAACTGTCACTGACTTTGCCAGAAAGAGCGCGCATGCAAGCAAGCGTGCGCGAGCGAGAGCGAAGAGCATTCTGCATATAGAGCAAACCGATTGCTACACACACACACATATTCAAGTTCATGGGAACTAAACGCTGCGGCTCGATGTAGTCAAGTGAAAAGCAAGCAACTCCTTTGCCCTCGCCCTCGCCCCCGCCCCAGCTCTCTCGCCCTTGGCATTTACCACTCTGTCAGTCTTCGTCTCTGTTTAGCTGCTTTGCCTCATCATCCTCATCCCCATTCATCTTCAGCTTCATTGTTTCGTTTTTCGTGGGCACACGAGAGAGCATTAAATCTGCTTGTAATTTAATAACATGTGTGTGAGTCGAGCGTTTGGAGCGTTTTTGACTGTGGTTTGCTTCTTAGTGACAGTTTCTGGGGAGGATCACCCAAGGATCACTTTTATATTGAACAAAATAATTGACTAAGACGATGATCTCTTAACACTCAATTATCGGGCAACATTTGATCTGCGTCTTTACAAAACATATTTATATACTTCTGTCTGATGATTTTTGGGCACATCTCCCACGCCGTAAAGTACATATATATATTCTTGATCAGTCTCAGCAGCCGAACTAGTCTTTGTCTTATTAAACTCTGTTATATTTCGGAACCGGTCGGAACGGACCCAGATTGTGACAAATGTCCACTATATGGCTGTCATAGGAATTGGTGGAAAATTTACGAGTAATACCATGCTCTTTACAGATACGTCCACATCGGACTACAATATCGTAGAACTCTATAGGAAGAATCTGATCTAATTATAATTACGAGCCTTACAGTTGTAAAGCTTTCCTGCTAATATATGAAAAATGAATATTAGGAATATTTAGTTTTCCAAGATATTTTTATCAAGAATTTCACTATTCTGACATATCTATCTTTAAGATATAATAAGATCTGGATATAAGAAAATCTGGATAAACAAGGCTCGAACCTCATTTTTCTTGGATGTGAACACGTATTCAAAGCGAGTTTAAATATTTGCCTTTGCTTTGAACTCTGAACTGAGTAAGCCACAATTTCGAATAGATTTGCAGTCAGAGAAGTTAGTTGATAGGATTTTTAACACAGGCTTCTCAAGTTTCCATTATTTCTGCTGTAAGGCTCTTGAGCTCTCTGCTGGAGATTATAGAATTCAGCTGTCATAAATAAACCCTTCAGTTCAGGCTATGCTGATGGACAGGCATGCATTTATAAATACATAAATATATAATGAATACAGGTGCACACACACACACACACACACACAGATACACATGTGAGGCAGGTATGAAGATACAATGTTTACAACGTCTACTGTGTGGGCGTGTCAACACTTTCAATTTTTGTGGTCGAGTCAGGCAGTTGGACAGACACCCGGGCCCGGATTGCTGTTCTGTGCTGGCCTTTGTCACGCCGCCTGCATAGCCAAACGAATCTGACAAGGAATAAGCTAGGCCGAGCAGCGGGAGCAACTGCTTTCCGACATTGTCTGCGCCTTGTCTGCCAAAGAAGACGACGGCGACGACAACGACGTCTGCGGGGCTTCCGTTTCCTGCGCATAAATTTTAATGAGCAGCGGTGCGAGCGACGCAATATCAATTGAAGTGAGCGAAAAAAAAAAATAGGGAAAAAAAAAGTATAAATAACAATAAAGCAGGAATTGGCCATGCGTTAGTTTAGACGGCCAGCCTTGACTTTGGACACAAACAAAGTCAGGGCAAAACAAAACAAAAAAGCCCGCAACCAGTTAGCCAGTTTTGAGTGCTTGGCCATGGCTCGTTGGCTCCAATTGAGGCGCTTGGGTTAAAACAGTAAGATGCGGCTTTTACTTGGCTTTCCCGAGCGTTAAATTTGCAGCTATGCGAAAAACTTCAGCCCAACGAAATAACAACAACAAATATTGGCAATCGAAACTAGTTTTTCAGGTTCGGCGCATGGCCAGCGACAGGCTGTGATAACAACAATTGCAATTGCAGGCTCAGAGTCTTAAAGACTGCCCCAACTGGCCACTCGAGACTCGGGAGAGACTCCGGCTATGCGAGGAATGTTAATTGCGCAAAAAAACAGCAAAAACAAAAAGGGGGAGGGGAAAAAAAAGTGCCAGCACAGTGAGAACATATCGCGTGTTGCTGATGAATATAATGGCAATAGCTGGGCTGTCTGCGGCTACACATATGATACCATAATTATGATCTTTTCAGTCTGTACTACGACTGCGAAGAGTAAAGAAACCTAGACAGGGCGAGAAAATCTTACACGCTGCTCGAATTATAAGTCGTCGACATTCTTGCAGTTCTTGCGTCTCGAGCGAACCGAGAAAAATGAGCCAGCACAAATAAACCAGGCAGCAAAATACAATTAGACTTTGCGTATCTGTATCTATAGACCTAGACTGTATCTGTATCTGTAGCTGTATCTGTATCTGTGTATCTGTATCTGTATCTGTGGCTGTTGCTCCGTCTGCTTGTTTGTTGTTGTTATTGCACAAGGCAGAAGAAAAACACAGACTTGGGGTCTTGGGTGTTTGGTCTCTTGGTCGCGCCGCAGTCAGTGGAGCGAGCTGGGCATACGGAAGCCATAAGCTGCACGCTGTTGCCGCTCTTGGCTGCCCAGCAACAACAACGTCTGGCAGATTTCTCTCCAATGCTCATGTTTCGGCGCTGTTGCTCTGGGCTGTTGAACCCAGCGCCAAGGCGCTGGAGCGTTCGAAAGGTGGTCGGCCGCAACTGGGTTGGGTTGGGAATGTGGTGTGCAAATCGCTTCTCATAAACATCATGCTCAAGGATGCAGGTCTTCAAAATCAATCATACAGCTGCAAAATTATGAAACGATGATGCGTGCAGAATCACCCAAAATTACAGGAAGCAAAAGCCAGAGCACTTGCCGAAATGGCCAAAAATCATTCAATTATGTTGAACACGCCACAGGCAACCACAACAAGGATGCGCTGTCAGAACGCACAGCTGCCACAATAAGGGGCGTGTGCAATGGCAACAATTACGCAAGCAACCTGGATTAAGGCCAATCGGCACTAGTTGCCCCGTTTAAGGACAGCCAGTTGTTGTTTATTTATGAGAGGAAGTGGAGCAGGCAATTTGTTGCCCTGAACCTCAGCAAAAATCAGCGCGTAAGCAAATGGGGTCACGCCCGGAAGGCATTTTATTGAAGTCGTTTGCAAATTCAAATTGCGCAGCACACTTGGCGCGCAACTTTTGACAACTTCAATTCGTAAGACTAACAGAGCCATTTTGAGTTGAACAGCACGCTGTTAAACTGTAATGTTAGCTTTGACTATCGCATTATCGAATAGAACGATTAGTTATTGAGCCGACGTCAGACAGCTGCGAGTCATTTTTGTGTTTTCCATGGAAAATGCGTACAACGTAAACAAAGTGCAATAAAACAAAGAACAAACACATTGGCACACACATACTGACGCGCACAGTGTTTTTGCCAGGCCAATGAGTTACGAAGCATATGTGCACACCCTCAACAAAACCCTACAGGCCTTCGCCCAACAAGTTGAACACTTCGCTGGGGTCGCTCTGCAAGCTGCTGTTCAATTTCGCAGCGAATTCAACACCTACACAGGCGACTGGCAGTGGCAGTGGCAAAGTCCCGTTGAGTTTACCGCATTACAGGCAACGCTGCTGAAGGTGCTGCTGGCGCTGCTGCTGGGCACGGGTGTCCTGATTGCCTGGTCGTGGGGCGTCTACGGTCGAGTGATCACTGAGAAGTTTGTCAGGCCGAGTGAGTGACAGGCAAACAAGTCTTGTTTTGTCAAATTCATTTCGATTGTATATGGTTAGCACAAAACATCATAAATTTTTGGTGAAAATCTTTTTAGGCACTTTGAAGGAAATTGAGGAACTTAAATTATCTGTAGCCAAATTGAAGTTGCCCAAGGAGCATTCGCCAAGAATTTAAACCTTGTTAACCATGTCAAAAATTAAACGATTCTTTTCGAAGAAGAAGGAGGAGGCTGCCTTCAAGGTAAGTGCAGTTACCCCCATATTTACTTGCCCATTGTACAAACATTTTTCTCAACAGCTGCGACTAGGTGGTGGCATGGGTCAGGGTCACAAGCTGAATGCGCCCAAGCCGGATGCCCCCACGAGCAGTTCACGGCGTCCAGTGGATATGTATGTGCCGCCCAAGCGCAACGAGCTGAGCAAAGAGGCTCGCGCTGCTGCAAATGCTGCACTGGCACGCATTGAACGCAAGGAATCGCGTGACTTTAACACCTCACTGGCAGCAATCAAGGCTCAGGCCAAACGCGAGCTGGAGGCGGAGCGTCGCCAGAAGGAGGAGCTCTCCAACGCAAGTAGCTCGATTGGAGCCAGCTCGACAGGCGCCAGTACCTCGACTGTGGAAAATCGGAATCTAGCCTGTGAGGGCGTATTCTTTCGCTGCCCACTAATAAGCGAGGAGGTGCTGCCCAAGCAGGCCTGGAAGTTGAAAATCAAGGACTTTCTCTATCAGCAGCTGGAGTTCGAGCGTGGCTTGACCGCCTGCTTGATCATACAGAACTGTAATTTGAAAGAGAAGGCCGATGATTGTACAGCCACACTTATTAAATATTTGGAGAACCTCATCCAGAATCCGGACGATGAGAAGTTCTGCAAAATTCGCATGTCCAATAAAATATTCAGTGACAAGGTGCGCTATGTAGATGGCGCCTTGGATGTGCTCTATGCAGCTGGCTTCAGCGAGGTGGAGGTGGATGGCGAGCCCTTCCTCTTATGGAGCAAAGAACAAATGGAGGAGGGTCTGGATCTGGTCACGCTTGTGGATGCCCTTAAAAATTCAGAGCCAATACAGCTGGAGCTGGATCGCAACATCAAGGTGTTGCTGCCGTCGCAGGCACGACGCGTTGTGCTGCCCGACGATTTCTATCGCATCTCGCCGGAGGAGATCAAGCGGGAACAGCAGCTGCGCGCCGAAGCCATTGAGAGCGCCCAAATTCTGAAGACGAAGGCCATGCGGGAGCGCGAGGAGCAGCGCAATTTGCGCATGTATCGCTACTCCTTGATAAGGATCAAGTTTCCCAATGGTCTCTACATTCAGGTGATCTGTCAAACGGGCTATAAGATTCATTTATTTACTGTGATTAATTTTTTTTTTCCAGGGTACCTTTAATGTATATGAAAAGATCTCTGATATTTTTGAGTTTGTGCAATCGTGCCTAGCGGATGAATCACTCGAGTTTAACCTGGTGGCCACCAATGAGGGTAAATTCAGCGAGGACGACATGGAAAAGACTTTATACGACTGCAAGTGCGTATAAAAAGAAACACATCCTTTACAGCCTTATAAATAATGTGCTTATTTGCAGGCTCATTCCAAATGTTTTGCTACTTTTTGCGGTTCCAGCAATACCAACTCCGGTGGCAGTTGATTTCAACTTTTTGAAGGAGGATCTGCTTATGCTGGTGCAGTCCATGTAGATGTTATATGTATTTCCATGTAACAGTCGATAAGGCATAAGGGCAGCAGTATATTGACCAATGTCAATGTTTTGAATAAAAATTTTGTTATTATTTATTCCCAAAAAATAACTAAGCACACATTTTTGACTAACATAAAATTAAAATGAACCATTTCAGGCTTTGTCAAATTCCGATTGCCTGGAATAATCGATGACAAGTATTGCGCTGTACTGTCAAGTGGTTGTGGTGCAGCGAAATGTTACAATGTACAGAGTTCACTTTCGACGTGCTGTTATCGCATTATTGAGACGTTGCTGTTATCGGCTGGCCGCCACAGTCAATGCACATGAACAGCTGTTTAATAATTATTGTGCTGCGGTCACACAGTGCCGAACTGAATTATTTACCGTGATATTGGAGCTAACAAATAAAAATTAGCTAAACACAAATATGAGCTTAAAATTCTAATTGTAATTAGTGCGTGAAAAGTGTATGTAAATATTTATAAACTTATTGGTGATATGCAAAAACGCAGGTGAGTCATGCGGTTACAAATAACAAAACAATAACAAAGCAGCAGAAGCTACGCTTTGTTTTATATTTTTATTAATAATAAGATTAACTTATGATTAACGCATTTCATTTGTTGTGTGTGTGAGCTTGAGCGTGCTGATGGTGGCAGTTGTCAAAAGAGCCATAACTTTTCAACAATTATTCTTAAATTTGGGGCTGCTGTTGACAGCTGTCTTGGGGAATATCTGCGGCTGCGTTCGCGTCTGTTGCGTGCCGCTGCGGTGCTCGCTCATTAACGAACTTTATTGAATAAACCGAAATTGTAATTTGTAATGCGTTGTTAATTAAGCCAAAAGGGCGCACAGCCATTGACTGCAGCTTGCAGATGTGGGCCATCAAATGACACATGCACACACACACACACACACACACACACACTCGAAATCCTAAAACCCAGCATTTGGATTTAATGAATCCATTTCGCCGCGCTCTGCCGCAGCGCCAATCGGCGCCGCATCAGCGCAACGGTAAAAGAAGAAAGAAGAGTTATTTTTGATGTGGCGAAGTTCAAATACCCTTGCGGGCATACGGCAGATCGCCAATACCTTTCTAGATTAGCTAACCAGCGTTTTTATATCCAACCGAGTTTGTGTGGATAGTTTTCCGATTTTTTTTTTTTTAGAAATTTTGCTCCTATATAGAAGTGGTATATTTCTAATATTTTTTCTATTTGTATGTATTTGACTCTTAATATGACAGTGTATTAAATAGTTAAAAGAAATTGTTTTTTAAACGAACATGTATATAATGACTAATTTGTTTATATAGGAGCAATGTATTTGATATGGTAATCTAATGTTGATAAAGTTTTGCCCACGTATTAATACATATTGATAAGGCTTGTAAATGTCAAGTTTGGTGAATATATCTTGAAAAACAAGATTTTATCTATGAAAGCAATAAATCAAATGGATCCAATGTTGATAAGATTTAGCTCATATATATGGGAGTATATAGACTGCTTGACTGAAAGTCATCTAACAAAAACAAGTACAAGTTGTATAGAAAGGCCCGTTCCCAACAAAATTGTTTGACCCTTTGTAAGGGTATTAAAAAAAGCCTGCAATTGCAGCGCAGGCCAGGCGGGCAGGCAATTTGGCGCAAATCTTTTGAGCCGCAGGCAAGTTGATCTTGGGAAAAGTAAATAGGAGAAAATCTCCTCGTCGCAATCCGCTCCCTGCCCGCAGCCTAAAGGCAAGAAAATTTAATGAATCTTTTGTGTGGGGGGCTCTCCGGCTGGCAGTCGCTGCTAAATTAAATCGAACGGCGGCCCGCAATCGGGCCAAAATCGAAAACTCCAAAGTCGCAGACACGCAGCCAGCTGCTTGGCCAGCGTATAAATTGGCCTGGGCCAATGTTTCCACTGGCGGCCCAGGGCCCATTGTTGGGGCTACTTATTATGGCCATGGGATCTGGGCCTTCATTAAACGCTGCTTGACCAGCGACTAGCTAGGAGCCAGAGGCTCAGGTTCAGTGCCAGGTTCAAGTGCGTGAGATATGCATTATTTATCTAACGTGCAAAAAATTTTACTCATTTCTTGTTGTTGTCCACTTCCTGGTCGCAGCCGAGATGGTGCATTTCTAAGCATCTGCTGGCTCTGATAGAGAAATTGAGCCTTAACTATTTGGGACATTCTCAGGCTGCTGCGGCTATGTGGCTCTGTGGCTTCGGGCCTCTCGGGCTCTGGCTGCTGCACGTGCCACAGCCGTAGCTGATGGCAACCTTTTGCCCCAGTGCCGCTTGGCTGAGGCGCTGATTGAACGATTCGGCAGGGAGAGATCATCACCCGTGCCCATTGCTGCCCATGAGATGGAGAGTTGATGAGGTGCAAATTGTGGCTGCCATGAAATTGCAAATCAACACAAGCCAACCCTTGCACCTCGTTACCCCGCCATGCGCCGCCATGCACCGACATTCGCCTTGCATTTCATTCAAAATTGTTTACTCAACTGCAAAGCCTGAAAATTGCAAATCGAATTCGGATTTTTGCGCGCCCGCTGCCTGTCTGCTGCTGCCTGACGCTTGATTTGTTTTTGCGGTTGCCACAAACCACACAGCAGCAGCAGCAACAACAATGAGAGCCTCAATTTCGAGCGCGCCCTTTAACAAGCGTTTAGTCTGCGCGCCTGCGCCAGGGCCGCCTCCTCCTCCTCCTCCTCCTCCCAGCTCAAAACCAACTGTGGCACCTCGTGACCCGTTCCCAGTGCCCGAAATTGATGTTGTTGTTACTGTGTAATGGTTAAATCGGTTAGAACGAAACCCCCCTATAGACCCGACACGCAAGCGCCCTGCATTTACATATTTTTGCCTGCATTTGAACTCTGAACCCCTAGCTGAATGAATACAACAGCTCCGAACTGTAACTTGCAACTGCAACTGCGACTGCGACAGCAGCTGCGTCAGCTACAAAACGGAAACGCAGCGGCTTGTCACTGCGAAACCCTTTGCTTCAATTAACACTTTTGAACTTGACAAGAGCTGCACACACACACACTCGTGCTGGGTGTCGACTGTGCACAACTCTCCTACTTCTCTGAGTAGCAGGCTACTCTTTAATTATCCAGATAAACACACATACATTTGTCTAGAAAAGAAAATAACATAAAAACTCTCTATTAATGAGAATTAATTATATACTCGATTTTCAACACTGGCACGGGAAGGCAACTGGCTAATTATTGTCCCTGGTTTGGTAGACGGAAAGAAACAGTAAAGACTGCATTTATTTGGTCTGTGAATTTCTCTAAAATATCTTGTTCATTTTCTTCCCAATTCATAATTTAACGTAAACGCTAGCCCAAACTCTCGTTCCCTTTCATTTAATCACGCCAGCTCTTGTGCCTAAATATCACCCTTCTATGCAATTCTCATGGAGTCAAATACGACACATTAAGACACAATAGTTGTATTATGTTTGTTTTGGTTAATTAAAAAAAACATGTTATACTTAAAATATTTAAAGAATGAATACAACTTGCTATATTTCTATACACTAAGCACATACGATTCGCTGTTTAATACACACACGCACACACACACAGATACACACACATAAGAACACACGCAATGAGCAATTTGCAATCCAGAACAAGAACTTCCGGTCAGCATCGTATTTTGTTTCGTCTTCTTTCTTTTTTTGCCTCATTGAACGAGTTAAGTGTTGTTTCCATTTTATGAATGAATGAAAATCTTGTCATCGTGCAGCAGCTGCCACTTCATCGTCGCTCCTGCTCCCGTTCCCTCTTCCCCCGTTGACATATCGCGCGCTGCGCCTCATCATTCGCGTCCAATTAGCGCAATCAAGTGGATGCCACCAAGTACAGCCAAGTACTGAGAATCGTCCACATCCCACCCTCCCTGCCAAGCCCCGCCTAGACAATTGCGCAGCGGCAAGTAAAAAAAATCTACGCAAAAGTTCACAGCTTGATAAGATTAATTGGCTGCATCAATAGCGAGCCCCACTCGGAGGCCCCTCTGGGCCAGCGAGGAGTAGCTGCAGTCAATTCCAAATACATTTGCAATTTGTCAAATTTGGTAGCGAGCAGATAAATTAATTTCGGCATCGATTTGATCGCTTGTCTCTGGCCATTTTGCATTTTCCGATGCTGAGCCAAGTTTGCCGCAGTGTCTGCTGCTGCTGCTGCTGCCTCATTTGGTTGCCGGCCAAGACTCTAGCCAGGCTTTGGGCCATTGTAAATGTGCTTTAATGACCATTGGTCAGCAAATCTCATTTTTTGTCGCTGCCGCCGTGGCTGTAGCCGAACATGCTCGACATGGACCGCCTGCTGACACACACACACACACACTCGAACACACACTCGCACACACACATTCTGGTTGCCAAATAGTAGTCGTAACTGGTACCTGCCCCAAACGAAAATAATGACCACTGTCCACATGCTGCACATTTGCACATATTTTGCGCATTTTCCCATTTTCCTTACCTATTTTATCTTTATCTCGCCTGCCGCCTGCCCCTCACTCTCTCCTCCCTCTTCGATGTGCTTGCATTTTCAACACCCGAAAAAGAAAAGAAAACTTCACACTTGGCTTTTACCCAACTTGGTCGTCATTTGAAAAATGACATTACAAATTGCGCACATTTGTCTAATTAAATCCCTGCTCCAATAACGAGATCTTAGATTACAATCTCACAGCGGTGCGTAATGGCTTTGGTCAGTTGGGGTCCACACTTTGGGGGCTCTCTCGCACTCTCTCTCTCTCTCTCTCTCTCTCTGGTTGGCTTTTCCCGAGCAAAGTTGGCATTTGTTCAGGTGGCAGCTTGTTGAAATATGCTTAAATTTTGATTAGTTGGCTGGCTGGCAAGAAAATAATTGAAGAAGCTGTTGGAAAATTTATAAGTATAGCTTGATAAATACTAAATACATTATAAAACAAGATTTAAGCTGTCTTAAGACTCCTTTCAAATCCGTTGGGATTTATCAGCTGCTATTATGTTTTTTATACCCTGAACCCGTTGGATATGGGTAAACGGGTATACTGGTTTTGTGCAAATGTATGTCACAGGTAGAAGCATCTCCGACACCATTAAGTATATATATAATTATTCAGCATCATTAGCCGAGCAATGTCTCCCCGCGAACAATATGTTTGCGATAGTCTATAAATCGCCTCGTTTCCAAGCAATCGATAAGAGTCTTTATCGAAATCCTGCTTTTATTAGCAAGTCCCTTAGGTTTTAATGGCTATAGTCACCAACTTTGACATGTAGCTTTTAGAATAGTATATACAATTTAAGTATCTTTCATTTTATCACTACCCCCGTCCCCCCTAGCGCGAGCTGGTGTTGGTTGAAGAAGTATCTCCTTATCGGGCACTCCCAACTTACCTATTTAATATTGTAGTGGTACTCGTATTTGATAATATTAATATATACCAAGCCAAGCGACTTACTTTTCTCCGAGCCAGGCGAAACGTTATCGTGTTATCGTCAAAGTAAGCTTGTTTCTCCCAATGGATGTTAAGAAATCGATAATATAGCGATATTGGCAATTAGCCACACCAAAATTGATTAAGCATTATTTTATAATTTAGAAAAAACACAGTCGACATTCACTTGTTATTCCCAAGCAGTTCTAGTTTCAAATTGAATCGCTTGGACTGGGACAATGAATCACTTGATGAATCGTTCAATGAACCTCAAAGAACTAGCTTTGTATATGAGTCGTTCAATAATGTATATGATATATATACATATATATATGACCCTTTTATTATGAAGCTAATATATTTAAGCTATATTTTATTTAAAAACCACGATTCTATAAAAAAGTCCACCTAGCTCTTCTCTTAATTATCTAAGTTTAAAGCTGACACCGTAGCTATTTAATATATTAATTTAATATCAATTTTGCCATTAGCTCGCACGGCTCTCCCACATTTTTGTTAGGCCCCAGTTTATTTTATTATCATCTAATATCGATTGAAAATATGTTTATGCCCCCGACTCGCAGCTAGTCGCATAATACCCGAATAGGGGCTTTGAGGGTTTTAAGTGGCCCTCGTCTGGCATATAAAATGCTTGCTGCTGACCAATTAGAGCTCATCGAGTGGCCAACGTGGCTGCTGGCCAAATGCAACCCCAAGCTGGACGAATGACCGCAGACAACAGCAACAACAAAAACAACAACGCTGCGCCAGCATCTAATGAAATTAAGCAAAAAAAAAAAAAAAAAACAAATAATAAAAAGAAAATAACAATAAGCCAAGACGAAGCACACAAGCTCCACTCAAATCGAACTCAACTCAAGCTAAGCCAACTCAACTCGTTCGCTATCAGCTGCTCGAGCGGAAATTTCACTCGGTTTTAGTTCGGTTCACTCAACTGATAAGAGCACGTGTTGCTGCAAGCGCCATCTCTGTCGCGCATGCATGCAGTGCAGCCCGATGAGACAAACTCTAAGCGCCAGGCTCCATTTTGCCTTTTCACTCAGTGCACGAGGTTGCCAGAAAGCGGCGCCACCAGGTGTGTTGAGCAGTATTTGAGAATTTTCTAAAATACATTTTTAAAGCCATTTTGAGTTATTTGATTGCGATTTTAAGTAATTTAAGTGGCAGCACTTGACAAAAATTAATCCATTTATAAATTAAATTTATATATATAATTCAGTTCTTAGGCTTGATGATCAATACAAGAACGTTTCTTTCATTTACATTTAACGGTTAAATTTTATTTTAATTTTTTGTTGTATTTGCAATTTGGCGCTGACCGGCACCAGCTTCTGCTAAAAGCTGTATGTGTGCGACAGTAACAGATATACGCCAAGACGTAAGCCAGAACGAGAAAGCGTCTGTGCTTAAGCCAGTGAGCAATGTGAGAGAGCGTTTGAGTGTGGGAGAGCGCAACTGCGCCTGGCGGAGTTGCTTGCTCAATATTTTTCATTGCCGGTGGCAGCAAGCATGCGCTCTCTGTTTGGCCAGTTGACTTGGGGCGCAGGCGGCGCTGGCGCTGACGCTGACTCTTTTATACGCGAGCAGCAGCCGCAGCAGCAGCAGCAGCAACGACGCCGACTCGACTTGGACTTGAGCTTCAGTTGCTCAGTCGCAGTCACAGTCACAGCCTCAGTCGCAGTCGCAGTCGTCAACAGAGCTCAGTCCGGTTTTGGAGCCCCCAACGTTGAGCGCGACTCGCGGATTGCAGCAGTAGTTGTTGTTTTTATCGTTGTTGATATTTATTGTTGCCGTTGCCGCAGTCGCTGCCGCTGCCTAAAAAATCCCATTTCCCCATAAATATCCAAGTGCGTCTCCGTGTGCATGCGAAAAAATTAAATAGCCGACGGCTCTCAAGTGCATTTTGTGTGCGAATTTCAAACTAAACAACAAATCATATACACATAAACAGATGCAGCTGAATAAAACTAAATATATGATCAATAGTGTCCAAAACTGAACTGGAAACAAACGTAAGTTAAGCATGCCAGTTGCCTGCTTTATAAGATTAGATAAGACAGCTGCTCCGAAGATGCTGTGCCCCCAGCCCAAGAGGAAAATCGAAAGTGTGGCTCTTTATTTTTGAACGCCCGAAACGCATATTCTGATCTGATTTCTCGGTCTTAGAAGAACTTCTTATCGCCGTACGCTGAATGATCATAAAATATTTTGTAGCTCAGTTCGGCGTTTAATTTTTGAATCAGGCTTTGCCACTGATAAGAGATACGTATTCATAAATCTGTTCGCTTGAGCAATAGAACCAAGCTGATTAGCTGGTTGCCCAGCTTGGGGAGATATATGTATGTATATTTTTGTAAATGTTTTCGAGCTGTATGCGTATTTGATTAGATTGCGTTTGCTTGGGGGCTTTCCCAATGCACATTTCCAAGTACTCGGCGCTGGGCAGAGAATCACTTTTCGTTAAAATTAATAATGCTTGCCACAAAGCTGGCAACGTACAACAGAATCATGTAGAAGTGATTAAATTAATTAATGATATAGACACTGCGCAATAATGTCCACGCACACAAGACCCAAAGTCGCAAAGACTCCTCGTATCTATCCATCTGTGTTGATCTTCCTCTTGGCCGTTGGCTCTTCCTGTTCTTCTTCGCATGCAGCGCAGCGCAGCGCGGCGCACCGCATGATGCTGGCCAGGCGATCTTCTGGCTTGTCGGAGCGCGGAGGCGCACAGATCGTTGTCTTAACTTGTCGTACACGATGTCTTATACGTGTAGCAACAATTTATTTCGCTGCCCGATCCAGTCGCAATCGATGAGGATCGTCGCAACCGGCCACGGCGACGGCGACTCATCCTCCGGCGATCAATCAAGCGACGAACCAGGCACAAGTTAGACCCAATGATCAATATTAGTTAACTAAAAATAATACAAGACGTCTTATCTCTATCTACTTACCAAGTCACAGGACACAGTCCAGGGGCTCGAATTGCGATCTTCATCATTTGTAGATGGGGCAACTGTTAGCTAGGCAGAGTCCTAGGTAGACAGAACTGTAAACTTTATAGAATATATAAATATATATATATATATATATATATATCAATTTGGGGCTAGGTGCTGTGTGGTTTTATTCTTTATATATTTAATTTTATATAGGATATACTTTATATATATTGTATGTATACTCAAAATATCAACTGATCGATGGAAAACTTGTAGATCCCAGTAGATTATACGATTATTATAAAGAAAACGCCTCACTTTTAAGTTGAGACTTTGACATATATTGAAATTCATATTCATCATCTTTTCGTTAATTTCCATAGACTTTTCTTTCTATTCTTATTCATATTTCTATTTACATATTCATATTCTTTTTGCTGATGCTATTTCATTCTCGTTCATACTTAAGTTCAAATTCATGAATATCGCGCTCATATATATGTGTAGCCTATCGCAAGATCGTTAAAATTTCCATATATATACCTTTCCATTTAGGGATTCTTTAACATACGATATCATGATATTATATTGGTACTGGTTCTTGATAAGCAATCCATAGAAACCCGTAGAAAGTTACCAAAGTCTTGAATACTTCTAGCAAATGCTATGGATTAAATTCGCAAAATTGAAATTTTTTTTGTTAAATTCAAAAGAAATAAAAAACAAAGTATTGTTTATCAGTATTGTTATTAATAATTTTTGTTTGATTCACATTAACAATTGTATATTATATATCAATAAGGCTTATCAGTCGTTATGGAATATATATAGAATATATATGTGTTGTATATATAGCAAATAATATATAATAACTCGATAGATACGTCCTATAATCTTTATATAACGGAATACTTGGGTACTTTATTGATGAGTCAGCTTGTATGTAACAGATATGTGCATATGTACGTGCAAATGTCATATAATTTTTGAGGTAATACTTAATTCGGAAAAGCAACTCAGTTGGATAATAGAATATGTATATATATAGATGTATATATTGAATATAGAGCATATAATATATGCTAAATAGATACGTCCTATAATCTCTGGTTACATTATTGATGAGTCAGCTTGTATGTAACAGATATATATGCATAAATACGTGTGTATGTCATATAATTTTTGAGGTAAGACTCCATTAAGAAAAGCTAAACAACTGAAAAGCAACTCATTTGGCTCGCACTTTGGTTTGTTAAGATCTTTTATGACTCTCGTAATTAGTTTTTACTTTAGTCTACATATTTCAAAGATGTTTTATGGTGCAGCTGCCCTCGGTAGAGACTTTATCTTGTCTAGGGTTTTGGATTTTCTCCGATTTCTCGCGTTTTATGTGCCGCCTCACCTAGAGAAAGGGAGTGAGAGAGAGAAGGAAAGAGAAAGAGAGAGAGACCTAGAGATGCTATTAAAACTGGGTGTTCGCGCGAGTAACTGTGCCTGGTTGTTTTTTCCAACTAATATCTGTGTCCAAAGTGCTAATTGAAGCATCTTTAGTCTCGAGCGGGTCAAGGCAGTCAAAGTTCTTTGGTTTTGTGTGCTTTGTTTATAGTCTTGTTTTTGCTTAAATGGAGAACGGACGCTCGAGTGTGTGGGTAGATGTGTCGCTCCAGCTGTCCAACTGTCCAACTGTCCTCTCCGTCTGACTGACGACAAGTGCCTACTACACCTCTTTCAAGTAAACTGTCAAGCTGGAGTTTGTTGTCGAGCCATGTTTACAGTCTTCGATGTCGAATTAATTAAACTAACTTGCAACCCCATTCAGGCTAACAACCAACACACACATACACAGACACACTCACACACAGCCTGCACCTCAATTTGTACTTTTCAAAAGCAAATCTGCCTCTCAGTTGAAATTGGTCAAATGTAACCTGAGGCCATTGACTGACCCGCCCGAGGGGGTCTGCTGTCTCCTGCTGCCCTCCGGCAGCGGTCACTCATCAGTTGTCCTTAGGCCACAGCCGAGAAGAAGGACATAATCGCTTGCAATATATTTAACAAAAGTTGAGACGTTATCCTTGAGTATGCCCGGGCTTTCTTTGACTTTAGTTTAGATTTTTAGCTGGCAAGCTAGAAATGAATTTCTTCTGGCTTCAATAAAACTCTACAAATGCAAGCTTTTCATTTGTCAATTTAATTATATTTCAATAATTGCATAGATATTTTGAACCTCTGCAGCTTATCTATTGGCTAAGACAGCTCTTTTTTAATACCCTATAAGCATCATAAGGGGAAGAGGTTCAGTTCAGTTCAGTTTTATGAGCCAGTTAGAAGGATCCATCTTTTATGCTAAAAAACTTAATTATAAAAACCTTAATAAAATACTTCCAAGATGTTTGCGGGTAACAATATTTTAGATAAAATTTAGGAGTCTAAGATATATCTGTAAGAACGAAAAGAAGAAGAAAATGTATAGAATACGCTTAAAATATCATAACGATCAGACGATTAACAGAGAACAACAGAGAAATGCTACTAGCATAATAAATAAATCATTGTAAAGAGAAAATCTAAATCTTGATTATTTGCTTTTATAATAAAGCTCAAGTTCTTGAAGCTGAAATATTTGCATTGCTGTTAACAGGGTATTTTCTGAACTCACGGAAACCTTCTTAATTCTATATATTCAAAACAAGCTCAAATGAAATTTAATTTCCTGCATATGCAGAAGAGGTCAGATGTTGTATAAAGCTCATCAGCTCAGCTGGCCCACGCCCCTCCACCACCCGCCCACCCCCTGCCACGAGGCATCCTTGTGTAGGAGCTGCAGACAAAGTGTTTGGGCCATTGATTGGAATATTCATTGAATAGTTTTTAAGCTGATTTATATGCCATTGTGTGCTGCTGTCGACAATTTAATAAATATTTAATTTCAATGCTGGTCAACGGCTGCTTCTAAATCCGCACACACATAAAAGATTCAATCAAGCGTAGACGAGCCATGCACCTTCGTCCTGATGATGATGATTACGATGATGATGCTGCACTCAGTTATTAATAATAATAACGAATACTCAGACACGCACACACCCAAGCTGCCGACATCGTTGTCGTAATTTGCAAAACGCACAATCGCTTCCTATAAATCAAGAGCGGGGGGATGGCTAAACCTGTTGTACTCTCGCATATATGAGACCTATTCAGATCAAATGGAGCAGCGCACCGTTGCCATAATTCACCTGGCGTATCATAAAGGTATTCAGTACTCAGTGTACAGCATTCAGCCAGCCTTTGTCAGTGAGTGCACCCACCAAATCCAAAGCCATAGACGTCAACTGCTATCAATCTCAGGTGAAACAGAGCTAGCGTTGCCTTCTATCCAATGCCTCCCGGCAGCCCCTTTCCCGCGCCTTTGGATTGGCTACGTACCGCTCAAAGGAAAGCGCCCGTCGCAATAGATCGCACATTGCAGATAGAGGCGTGCCTGCCACTCCACTCTCCACACAGCTCCACTGAAGAGAGGGGCGGGCTCTGTAACAAAGGCCAAAGTTCTCGGGAACGCAACGAAATTGTAATACTCTAGACCGAATTTGTAATAATGATGGACTCGAATTATTTAGGGAGGAGTATTATATTATAGATGCCCAAATATTTGTAATATTCCATTTTGGCATAAAGTTTCTAAGAATATGGAATACATCTTTAAATATCTTAAACGTACATTTAATACACAAAAGATTTAAAATGAAATCTTTGGACAAAAAGGACTTCTACTAATACTTAACTTGTTAAGCTTGTTTTTGATAGATGCTTATTATATTCCACTGTGGTATGCAAAGTATTTTATGGAATATGGAATATTTCTATACCCAAAATATTTGAATATGACTTCTTTGTAAACCATACAATAAAATACTAATACAAAAAATAAAGGAAAGAATCCAAAGATGTCATTTTCAAATATTAAAATTAAGTCAATTCGATGGAAACTTTTGCAAAAGGGAACTTGTTTTACTTTCATTATTAATGAGGTATACCAAAGTCAACAGCACTTCTTAACCTACATCAAT